CGATGTGGCGCCAATGTCCGTATGGCCTGATCGTTGACTCCGCACCCACCGCAGCTTGCTTGGAGGGGTATTCTCACTACCAAGAACCCCTGCGCTGCCGCATCTTGCTTGTCAAGACGTCGTCCCTCACCGCACGCTACCCAGCCTGGCCGGACTCTCACGAGCATGCCGCCTACATGTCGCCTGGGAGCCTTTGTTTTGACACGTTTCCCGCCCCGGGGGCGCCCCCCCCGCGGAGCGCCGCCGAGCGCAGCGAGGACGAGAGAGACGGAAGGAGGACTGGGTGGTGTGGTTTGTTTGCGTCCCGCGGCGCCGCGCCGTCGGACTTTTTCGCTTGCTCCTCCGCCCGGCGGGCGGCGGCGGGGGTGGCTGGGGGGGTTGGGGGGGGGGGGGGGGGGGGGGGGCCACTGCCATGTCTCTGCACGATGAGATGCTGCAGCACGCCAGATGCAGCAGCTGCCCGAACCCGAATCCGACGGGCTGCATCCTAGGTACTACCCCTGCGACGCTGTGCTTCTCGTCCGTCAGGGGGAAGGGGAAGGGTAGGTATGCAAGCTGCCTGACAAATTGCTCCGATACTACGCGACTACCCATCATTGTCCTGCACTCCTGCATGCTGTAGCTTGCCAACCGACAGCGGAGATTTACCATCTTCAGTGGAACACTGACATCCCGCACGAGCAGTAGCAGCAGCAGCAGCAGCGGCACCGCCGCCGCCGCCGCCGCCAAACCTCTCCTGGGAGGGGTTCCTGTACGACGACGACGATGACGGCGACGACCCCGAAGACCCCCTCCCCCTCCCCCCCCCCCCTGCTGTGTCCCGAGAATATGGTCAAGATCGACGGGTTGACAGGGTCGCACAGGCTCCGAATGCCGACGCTCAGGCCAGCCTGACTGGGCTGTCTGGATGCATTACTACCCTACCAAGCTCTGGCCCTGGATTTCAGCTGTACCATCAGCTGACCTCGCCTCATGTCGTCTCTCTCCCAAGGTTGCACCGGAACGGCCGTTCGGACAAGTTCTGGGGCATTGCCAGGGTTGGGGGGAGGGTTCTCAATTCGAGCCAAGGACCTCTGCTGCTGCTTAATCAAACACACTTGCGCCCGTAGCACCGAGATAGCAGTCTCACTCTTTGAGATGAGTGTCTTTTTCCCTCGCTCTCTCTCTCACTCTTTCTCTTTTGCGCAGCAGTAGCACCGCGTTCCTGATTCAATTTGCTGTTCCTGTCTTTCATTGCCATGCAGTCGCCTTCGGCCCGTCTCTCTCTCTCTTTCTCTTTCATCGCCAATCAAGCGAGCCCCGTCTAGTCAAACCATATGGAAATAGTTACACGGCGTCTTCGTGGCCGCTGCCTCTCCCGACCAACCACGAGTCCACGACCGTTTCGAAACAAACCAGACGGAGAATTCTCTCCCGTGCATTGCACTTCCTGTCATGTCACGTCGTCCTGCTGCTAGTCACTCGTTCGGGGGGGTAGGGGCCTGCGTTGAACCACCGAATCCGGCTCTTTTTTTTCTTTCTGCCTATCAAGCATCGGCTATTCACCCTGCTTTCTCTCTCTCTCCCCTTCGCTCGCCCCCCTCCCCTGGTCCCCCCTGCCTCTGATCGTAAATCCCTGTCCATTCCATCATTTCAGTCGGTCGTTGCCTTTTGACCCGTTAAGGGGGCCCTTAGATTCCAGAGGACTAGGCATTCTGTACGGCGCCCCTGCTTTCCCACCAATCCCATTTCGTGATCTCGTCGTCCGTCCCGATTCGCGCGGGACGTACTCCCGATGACGGAAGCTTGCCTGCAAAACGGGAGATGTCGACGACGGGATACACTAGACAAAGACTCTTGTTACGCGCATCCCTATCCTAATCTGGCCAGAACATCCACACTTTCCAAACCCTGACGGCCTGAACCGCGCCGTTTGCTTCCTTCCCCATCCCTAACTTTCCCCCCCGCGGCCGCTCCGGCTCTCAACTCGCGTCCCGGATCGTCCAGTCACGATCAGGCGGAAAGAACAAAAAAGGTCCTGCCTAGCCCTGCACCATGAACGGAGCCTAGCTCCTCTGAGGTCCGACGTTATCCTTGGCGGGGGAGGAAAGGAAAAAGAGCGCTTGTGGCCTTGCAAAGAGAGCGACGCCAAGCATACCTATCTCGCTCTGGCCGTGCCTTGATCTTGAACTTTGAACAACCCCCCCCTCCCCTTTTTGGACATGTCTCTTCATTCTCTTGGACACATGCCGCCTCGGGGTGGGGAAGTCTTGTAGCCCGAACGGTGATCAGCAAGGTCACCTACCGAGACGAGATAGGGAACGAGAGCTCACTTCAGCTGGGCTTTCGTCAATGATTACAGCCAGAATACAACGCTGCTAGAGATTACACGCAAGATAGTGATCCTACTAGATCTGTGGGGAGTGGGGGGCCGGGGGGCCGGGGGCCGGGGAGGAAGCAAATCAGATATCACCAACAGTATCCGTAGCAAGCAGCAGTACTGCATGCTGTACAGTATGTCTTCTTCCAAGTTTTTTTTTTTTGTTCTTCCATGGGCAAAACTGGGCTGCTTTCGGTCTAGATTGGGGATGCAAGACGCAGCTGAAGGTATAATTTGAGTCGTCTTGATTCCCCAACAACCTGTCAAGTCCGTCATGCAGGGGAGATGTGATAGAAACATTGCGGTCGCACGTATTCGTACATGGCTCTCGGAACTTAGCCTATCTTTTCGTAACGAACCGTAGACTGCCATGGACGTAGGTAGTAGTGACAAGAACCTCCCCAGCTGTGAAAAGATGGTTTTGATTTCTCTTCATATTCTTCTCTCTTCACAATGGTGGTGACAATTCATCATATCAAAATAAAACGTGCGTGTAAAAAATAAAAAAGTGATCTTCAATCCTCGCAACAAGTACGTTGTGGTTATCCAGTACAGAGTAATAGGCCGCCGCCTCCCAAATTCCGTTGCCCCCGAAATTTTCGCCGTTTGAACCCTGCGAACATCACCGCGGGTAGTTACAAAGACAGTTGGCCTCCATTCCCCACCTCCTCCCAGTTTCGCGCCAAGACCAACACTCCCTCCCTCCCTTTGGTATCCGCCTTTTCCTTTTCCCCCACTCCCGCCGTTTTTAGGCTCATACTAGTTCGTTTTTGATGACTTTCAATCGTTAAGAATATATGTAAATCTTTTGAGTTTTTTGTGTGAGTAGGTGAAGTGTGTGTGTGTGTTTGTGTGTGAGTGTGTGTGTGGGTGATATTTCTCCGCGGCAATCGTAAAAAATGCATGTAACGTCGTTGCGTAGGGGAGGATGTTGATGAATCTCCGATAGGTTGGTTTTTCTGATAAGCAAAAGCATCCTCTCCCAGAAATCCAAAAGGAAAATAAAATCCATACAGCAGGATGACAAGTAACAGGTGGACAAAATACCCAAACGGTTTGCCAGAATGTACGCCCAAAAAAGGTTTTTCGTGCAACAGAATTATTACAGGTTGGAAAAAAAAAAAAAGAATGATTTGTGTTTGTTGCAGCATGTTGCAAGGATGCGCAACATGCAGCGTGGCGTGCGCGGGCGTTGGGACTGTGTGTCTTGGACAAGACAGAGACAGACGAGGCAGCCTATCGCCATGGGAATTTTCCCGAATGGGCGGCGGGTTCCGCCCCTCTTTCTCGGCCGGAACGGCTTCCCCCCTCCCCTCCCCCAAGAAACGTCGACATACCGACCCCCGGTTCGGTGATGCCCTGTGTGTCTCACTCTAGCAGCAAGCAGCAGAACAAGCCAAGTGCGAAACGTCTTGCTCAGTTCTTGTTGCTGCCACTACTGCTGGGGCTTGAGCTGGTGCCCGTCTTGACCCGCTTGCGGCTCTTGCTCTGCAGGCACATCTCGTCGTAGAGCTTGGCCGCCTTCTCGTTGTACGGCGTCCTGCTGCTCTTGCCCTGCTTGTGGAGGAGGAGATGGGAGACAAAGTTGTCGCGGCGCTCCTTGAACACGTGGTTGCAATTTGTTGCGGGGCACGTGTAGAGCTCAACCTCCTTCTCGTGGGTACTAGAGAACGTATTGTTAGATAAAGTTGTGTATAGTAAGTTGGGGAAGTGACGGGTAAACCTACGCCTTGAAGTGTCGCTTGAGATGTTCCTTTCTCTTGAACGTCTTGGTGCAGTCGGGATATGTGCACCGCTCCCGTCTGGGCGCTACATGGCGGACCTTCATTGAGCCGCACTCGAGGACGGAGCCGTCCTGGTTGACCTGGATCGACCTCAGTTGCCGCAGGGCCTCCATGTCATTCTGGTTCTTCTGGAGGGCGAGGGTCTTGCGCTGGACCTCGGCGAAGAGCTTGCGCCTGGGGTCTTGACGGTGGTAGGCGGCTGCCGAAGAGGGGGAGCGGAGGGGGGCAGGGGAGTTTGTGGTCTCGCGCTTGACGGCGCCGTGCATGGCCTGAAGGGGCGAGGTTGAGGGCGTGGCCTCGTTGCCGAACATCATGATGGGGCTCTCGCTGCTACAGGACCAGATATGGGCGTTGCTGGGCGTGGAGCTCGGGAGGCCACGGTGAGGAGTCGGCATCACAAAGGGCGACGAGCTCAGCTCGGGGTGGAGCGAGTACTGCTCTGTGTGGTGGTGTTGGTGGTGCTGATGCTGATGCTGGTGCTGATGAGGCGAGGACATGCCAGGCATACAGTGGGAGTTGAGGGTGACGTGAAGCATTGTGTTGTAGTCGAGATGCTCCATGCCGTACCCGGCACTCTGCCTCCTTGAGGGAGTAACATGTGTTGAGGCATACTGCATGGGCATCTGGATCTTCACCTCCTCGGGCTTGGGAAAGTAGCCCTTGGGATCTTGTGATGGGGCATGGTCGAAGGAGAAGGAGCTATGAGAGGAGAAGGAAGGGTCAAAGTCAATGCTGGACTGGCTGTGATCGTGAGGTGTTGAGCGGTCAGAGCGAGGAGTGAAGGGACCGTTGGGGTCGTAGACGGAGGAGGCGGCAGAGAAGCTTGGTGTTGTAGTCCCGCAGCTCATGGAACCGTCAAAGCTAAAGCTGGTCTCGGGGGCAAAGGAGTCCATGATTCCTTCCATGGAGTGGTCCTGCTCCTGTTGCCAGAGGTGCGAGTGCGACATCATTGTGTGAGTGTGTTGTTGATTGTTGTTGCTTACTCGCTGTTGTTCGAGAGAGGGTGTGAGTTCGATTCTCAAGAGGGAGCGAGTTGTCCGGTTAAAAGTAAGATGAAGAATGATGGGATAATGGAAACGTTCCACAGGTGAGCAGTCGAGGCAGTATTATATCGTGGGACGGAGGGGGACGGAGATGAAGATGACGCCCCTAAAGAGTGATGGACAGGTATATCCTCACCTCTGGGGAAATAGTGTCATCAATACACCAGCCGGGAGAGACAGAGAGCCCCAGATAGGAATGTATCGAGGTCTGAGTACGTGATAGTGGAGGTGGAGTGGAGCGTGGGAGGGAGAGTTGGAAAAGCCAGCCGGGGGGTGTAGATGTGGGAAGAATGGGCGTGGAGGAGGAGGAGGTGGTGGAGGTGGTGGTGGTGGGCAACAAGGCTCTAATCTCCTTCGCGGGATCCACCGATCTATGGACGAGTAGAGATGGTGAGGGTCTAGAGCAGAAGAGCGTTTCTTGCGGCGGGAGGAGGGTTCAGTCTAGTTCAGTCCAGTATGTTTCGTCGTCCCTGAGAAACAATGAGACGATCGCCCGGTTCATGAACGCAGACCCACGTACATATAGGTGTCAGATCAATGGATAAGCTGAACCAGGTACGGTGCTCTGGGCGGCTTTAGCTGTTGATCCAAAAACGCTCGAGCCAGTTGCTCTTCTCGCCTACGATTCTGACCCCAGCACGGCAGGCGAAAGAGAGTGAGAGAGGACAAGACAGACGCAAGGCAGGCTCAGGGCTATGCCTGTCTGCATGGGGCTCTGAGTTGAGAAAGCAAAGAGTCCAAATCTGGAGCAACTGGCAGGGTACACAGCCGAGTCCAAGTTTGGGTCTGCTGGGATGCATCATGATCCTTGTACCCATTCGTCAAGCCCAGACAACCAAGGCCTACTCTATCTTGGGTTGCAGCTTTGGTGGATTTACCCTTGTCGGGGGGGGATTCGTAGTGATCGAGTCAACTTTGACCGGGGTCGACCACGGCCGAGGGACTGCCAGGCAGCTGGAGACTCGGAGAGCCGGGGGTAGCATCGACGAAGAAGAAAGAGTACCTGCATGAACCGCTTTGGCTTGTCAAGGATCGCGGGTTGGTGAAGGGTGAGGATGATGGACGACAAGGGGGCAGGATGGTTGCGGCATCCACACTCTCGAGTCTTGGAGACATGGCTCTATTGCTCTGTGCCTCCATCTCCAGATTTGGATGGCCAAGCATAGCGAGACCGACGGTAGACTTCCACTGGTGAGCTCGAAAAGAAGCAGGGAGGCCGGAAGGCTCCATTGTCAGACGTGGGAACAAGAACGCGTCTTCAAGTTTTCTGCTAGCTAACTAGCCATCAAAGGTACATGGCACCGCGGCAAAACATCCCGTGGTGAGCGGGGCAGACAGCTGCGGTGGGAGTGGTGGTGGTGGTGGTGGGGTTCGAGAGAGGAGAGAGAGAGAGAGACAGAAGAGAGAGAGCGTGTGGTATGTGTGACATAGGAGGGGGAGACTGGACGGACGGGAGGCCGAGAGAGAGAGAGAGAGTGGAGACGCCCAGACGTGGTGGGCTGCCGTGTATGTCTCTCAGCATCTGGGTACATGTTTGAATGGGTGTAACCTTGGGGAATGGAGACACGCCTGTCAAGGAATGGAAAGACTGATAACTTGATACGTACGGTGCTCAGTGGCCGAGAATTTGGCCAGCTGTGGTGTGAGACATCAGGTACAGGCCGTCCACCTCTCCCACCCCCCTCTTTCTCGACTACGGAAGATGAATGGTGGTGCATTTGAGACACAGTGCAGAAAATGTGAAAAGTGACCAAGGCCTGAAGACCAGGCCGCAGGACGCGAAGGAAGAGAAGATGTGAGAAAAGCAAAAACCTAGCAGTCCGGCGCTGCCAACCCCGGTCGATTCGGCACGCCATCGCGGACGGAGCTCGCACAGTGAACTGCAAGAAGATTGACCTGACGTAAGGTATGCATGCACATTTCACTTGGTACGGCATGGCTAGTCGTCTCAACCTCTTCCTCTTGCTGTTTTGAGAGAGAGAGAGAGAGGAAAAGAGGCGCTGAAACAGGGACGATGCAGATGAGAGATGTGCAAAAAGCAAATATTGAGAGAATCTGAAGGAGACGGACTCCAAGCCAGAGGGGACTAGAACTGCGGGAAGACCAAAACGAGTAAGAATGACCGGAATGTGTGTGAGAGGCACCGAGGCTATCGGCAGAGATAGAGAGCAGAGAGGTTGAGAGGGAGAGGCAAAAATGATGGAGCGATGAAGTTATCGTCCGACTCGGGGCGCTTGAGTCAGGGCCCTACCGTAAGTTGAAGACGGGCTGACTATTAGGTGATGTGAGAGTTGATAGCGCTTCTCTCTCTGTTCTGTCTCTCTGTCTCTCTGTCTCTCTATCTCTCTCTCTCTCTTGCGCGCGCGCACGCCTGGCGGCTCCTCTCACTGTGTTTGGGTGTGTATGTGTGTGTGTGTGTGTGAGCTCGATAGAGTGAGAGAAAGAAAGAGGACGGGATGAATTGGCGAATTGGCGGTAGAAAGGCAGAAACACGTCCTCTCAACCAACCAGATCGGCCAATTGGCAAGACTCGCCGATGATGCCTGCCGTTGATCCCTCATCTCATTGGTTCCCAGCTTATGTGGCCTTTGATGAGGCGCTGTGTGGGTGCTTATGTCATCCATCCTTCGCTCACCCTCCCCCCATTCAAAAGCCTCGACACAATGGGAACATGACAACCCCCCCCAAAGACGATCAAGGCACGCAGCACGCCTGAAAGGAAAAGCGGGGACGGATTCAGACACCATTGACCATCCATGTTTAGACCCCAGAGATCATTGACAAGGGCAGGGCGCCTCATCAGTAACCACCCCGTCGCACCCCTCCGTCATCGTCACCATAGCCGCAGGTATTCTCTCTCTCTCTCTCTCTCTCTCTCTCTCTCTTTTTTTCCTCGGCCATGACCCTTGTCGCGCATCACTCTCATGCTGTCCACGCCCCAGGGCCCGACGAGATGCTCTACATCCCCTTCACCTCACCTCCCCAGAGCTTCCGTCAGTGTTGGGCAATGGTGGCTCGCCGTCAGTCTGCTCAGTCTGGGCTGGTCACCGGCGCTGCTGCACGTTCCTGCACGTCGTCCGATCCTTGGGACGACGAGCTTTGACCTACCTGTCGACTAACCTTAGCCTCCGATGCTGAGGATTCAACCTACGGCTCCAGCTCCGGGGACGCCAGAACTGATACGGACTGATATCCCGTAGAGCCAGAACTGAACAGATGGAAGGGACCCTTCAAAACATGAACATATTGACAGCAAAGGGCAAACAAGCGAGAATTGCTAGCGTCGGGGAGCCCTCAGCGTTAGCAAAAGTGGCGTCTAACGCGCGCTACTTGGCGCGTCCGTCCGAAGGGATCCCCGCTGAACAGCCTCTCTTCCCTCTCTCCCCGTCCGCAAGCCCGCCCAGTCCAAATCAGGCACCCGAAAATCCGTGCGTCTGCCGTCTTGTCCGTGTGTTTCTCTCGCTCTCTCTCGCTCTTGGTCGTCAAAATTTTTTTTTTTCTGGATGAGTGTCTCCATATCTGTGGCCCACTGCCCAATTCCAATAGCCGGCGAGGTATCCGTATGGGCAAATACGCACAACCCAGCACGCATATCTGTATCGCCAAGCCAAGAGAAACTGTCAATATTTACCCACTTTCCCTCATCCCCCTGTCGAGCTGCAGTCTGTTCGCCCATCTATGATCGACGTCAAGCTGCCGAACCCGAGACTGTCGCTCAGGTGAACAGGGTTGCCCATGTCCCGGTTCCCCCATGCCATTTTTACCCTCTTTCTCTGTCTCTTTCGGATTTCCCATCCCGCGCCGATCGTCGTCATGGCCCACGAGCAACCCCGATCTTTCTTTCTGCTGCCAAATACCTCGCTGATCACCCGGCCTGGCAGGAGGAGGGACACGAGCCATGCAGCAGACGTGGAGAAAGAAACATCCGCACTCGCTATCTCACACCAAGATAGGAACTATTGTTGAATAGACGCCCAGAATAGGGTCCCCTTCACTGCCCCTCTACTAGTATCACCGGAGCGCTGACGGGAAGCCGGGAGATGTGGATTTGTGTGCGTGTGTATGTGTGTGTGATCGTGGTGTATGCCTGGCGTCGGCTCTTGGCTCCCTACCCTCGCAAGGTTGCCCCCCCGTCCGCCCAGCCTCTCACACACATCCAATCCAATCAAGTCAAAGCTTATTATACGACAACTATTCCGGACGAACGTCTCTCTCGCTCTCTGGGGCCGTCGGGAAGGGTTTGGTTCAACGGTCGACGATCATCATCACGACAACCACCCCCGCCATCGTCCAATCTTGACCACCAACTCGAGAACAAAGCGCGACATTGACGTTACTTCATAACCGTTCAGCCCATGACAATCCCAGCGTGGCTAACTCGATTCGTTCATCGACATCTACCTTTAGACTTTCCTGCTGTTTCCCCCGCGGCTCTAAGTCGGCCACATGAGCCTCTGCTCCAGGTGCCTCCAGGTGCCGCCACATTCTTTTCCAAACTTCGTGCGATTTCAAAGAAAAAACCACCCCCCATCGCGCCTCCAACGTTAGTGGCCCATGTTTTGTGCCCCTTGAACGAGGCGGCGGCCAAGAAAGGCCAGTCTAGCAACCTTCGGCCGTTAGTCCACCACCGAGAGAGTCTAGAGATGGGCAAGGGAAGAGGAAAAAAAAGGTGACACAGCACTACCGGTTCAAACGGATTGACTTTCCACCAGGTTCTCTACGGCTTTTCGCCGCCAGTGATTCCGCTCCTCCGCTTTCTCATAGACCTTACCTTTCCACAACGCGTGTCAAACGAGACCTGTCTTTTTTGAGTCTTGTGTGAGGCTTCACCCACACACACACAAACACACACACACACATATCCACGCAGCAAAAAATATCTTTACTTTTCTTGTACTTGGCACACGCGAGAGGAATGCTCACGTTGACCCCTTGGCTCGTTATGTGTGAGAGACGCCCGTCCCCAATCAGGACGCGCGGGAAGTGTCTCCCATTGTTTCCCAAGGAAAAAGAAGTCTTTGCCTTGCCACGACTTCCCACGAGGAACGCAACAATTCTCGCGCGAGCGACGCAGTTTGGGTCTCACCATCGTGGCCCGCGTAACCCGCGTTCCTGGCCGGAGCTGGGCCGTCCTCTCGCCCCGTCCACCCTCTGTCTTTCCCTTCTTCCTAGCTCTGCATCTTTCTCTCTATCTCTCTCTCTGTCTCTCTCTCTAGCAATCTCACACTTCCTCTGGTCCCCTCTTTCCCACCTCCGCCGCCGCCGTCTGGTTGGGCTTGAACCATGTTAGCCTGGATTCAAAACCGATCTCTGTACTACCCCAAGGCACTTGCGATCCAGATGCTACACTAGAGTCCCATCATCAGTCCCCTTGGCCCCCCTCTCTCTCTCAATGGACTCCCACATCTCGCCCCCCTTGAACATTTGGGGACAAGGCCAGGCAGTGTCGGCGAACTACATATCCCGCCAACTTGGCACGAACAGATGACAATGTCCCGAGTCTTTTGTGACCTGTCACTTCCATCAGCAGCAGGCAAATTCCCGATATCGACGTCGGGGGACACGCTAGACCCGCTTAGACCGTAGCATCATCTACTGATGTCTCTCCTCGGGCCTCTCGAGTGGCCCCAATATTGGTGATCCTTGCAGAATCAGTTTGCCCCTGGCAGATGGGCTGATTCTACAGAGGCTCCCCTGAGTCCATCTCTCTCTCTCTGTGTGTGTGTGCATGTGTGTGTGTGTGTGTCTCTTGCCCCTGGCGTGCATCTGAGAGAAAGTTATGGGCAAATAGCTCGTCCACCATGCCCGGCGTTAGGAGATCAAGGGGGTTCTTCGTGCGATTTCCCTCTTCTGCAGCTTTTGGGAGGAGAGGAGGGGAAACTCTGGGGGATGAACCATTGCCTTGGACCGTTCCGATTGAGGGGTTTTCGGACGCTGTTCCGTAGTTTCTGCAAGCTATTGGCAACACTTCATGTGATGTCCCAAGAGAAACTCGTTCCACTTTGAGGGCTCACCAGCTCCCTAGTTTACACATGCTACTGCAGTCAGACCACCATGAAAAAGCCTCATTCGAAGTTTCGCCTCTTTTCTTGCCGAACCAAAATGCCCCCTCGACCCCCCCAGGAATTCCCAATCGATCCAGAAGCTTCCTAAGACATGCCCCTGACGAACTGGCCGAAAGTGAGGACTTACACGAGCTTCAGGAATGTTGTGGGCGGCGGCGAGATCCACTTCGTACCTTTGACGCGCGAGAGGGTTTGGCTCCCGTCGTTTCCGCGAACCTCTCCAGCCCACCGTCGCGATTTCGGTGAATGTCTACCGGATGCTGCCCGGCTTCCCCGAGGTATCTGATGGATACCGTTCCACCGGACCAGTATTCACCGGACCAGTATTATAGTTCAACTAGGGACGTCCGATGTCCTCGAGTACCTCCGGCATCAGGTTCCCGCATTGCACGGCAGTTGTCTTCCTCGTCCGACTCTCGTCCTCGGGTTCGGCCTAGTGAACATTGGCTCGTCCTCCATGGTGGCTGGTACAAAACTTTCGCTCCCCGATCAGTCAGGGTTGCTTGCTGGTCCTTCCGGGTGATGTATACGATGTTCTAGAATGGCGTCCAAGGTCAGCGTAAGATAGAAGATGATGTATCACGGAAAATTAAAATTCAGCCAATGAATCCAGTCGCAGTTTGCAGCGAGGCTTGATCGGCGAAGAGATGCCTGAAGTCTATTCCACTGCCTCCTCGTTCTGGGCCATGATCTCGTTGTCCATGTCTTCCAGCACTCCCTGCATCTCCTCCTCGGTGGCTTCCAAGCCATCGGAACTCATGAGCTTAGTGTCCTTCTCCTCGGCTAAAGCAAGGTCAGCTATGGTCACATACTGCGTGGGACGTGGTTGTACTTACTCCTGGCCTCAACAAGCAAGTTCTCTTGAACTTCGACGTTTGTCAGGACTGACCCATCCCCAATGACACATCGCTTGCCAAGAATGCATCTTGTGAGCTTGCAGTTCTTGCCCACCACGGCACCTTCCATCAGCAAACACTGTGACAACTTGGCCCCCTCCTTGAGCTGACAGCTGGCTCCGACGACGGACTCTTTGATCGCCACCTTTTCCTCCACCGTGACGTTCTCCCCGACCAGACTGTCGGCCTTTGTGATTGTCGTTCGACCCTTGACACCCTCCGGATACGCCACCTTCTTGACGTGTGCGAAAGGGGATGTTGCCTCACTGCCAGTTTCCTCCACTGAAGGGATTTTGGCAAGCTGTAATGATACGTTGAGGAGCAACTGCGCTGTGTCCACGCGGCGTATCATTGGTGCGTCGGCTTGGGAAGGATGCACGTAGGCGATAATTGGAGGCACCTTGAGCGCCGCTCCCTGAGGGTTTGTGCCATCAAAGTCTTTCCCATCGATGGCGTTGTCCTCGATGCCTCTGCTGAGTCGCAGCTCTTCAGGGTCATCATCCTGCGGTGACGTAGTGCTCTCCTGTAGTGAATCGTCGTCGTCATCGTCGTTGTCCTCCTCCTTGCGCAGAACCTCGTCCAGGTGGAGCTTTCCCGCAAGACCCTTCTGCCAACTGGCCTTGGCCCACCATCCAATGACGTCTTCGCCAATGTTCTCCAACCGGTCGTTCTTTTCAACAAAGTCCATGATCCATCTCGGGAGGATGTACAGGTGCGCGTCTCTGTGCGTCGTGAGCATTCTTATCCCAGGGTGGCTCCGCATAAGACCACGGCGGACAGGAAGCCCTTTCCTCTCCTCTGTGAGATCCTTCAGAGAGTCCGTGGGCATAGAGCACACGAGATTCGAGAGGTTAGGAAGCAATGATCCTTTGGGGGGAGCGACGGGGGAGGGAGTGGAAGGTGTTACGGCGATGAAGTCAGTCTCCTCTCCTTTGACTGGGGTCGCTGTCTTCGTCTCGTACCAAACGCCTAAGCCGCCGCTGAAGGGGCTCTGTTTACTTCCTGAAAACTTTGGCGCGCTTAGAAGGTCCGACATGCTGGCGCCCTTGACCATCCATGCCTGTAGCAGCTTCTCGCCGGCAATCTCGCAGATGAGATCGCAGGGGAGAACGACAAAGTCAGAGGTTACGAGCTCCCTGACCTCTGGCAGACGGAGGATCTCAGCCGTGCCTGTAGTCTGGTCCAGGTCCTTGGGGGCGAGGATGTCTGGTCTAGGCAGGGGAAGTGCCGTCAAATAAGGATTGGTGTTCAAGGCAGTGGTGATCGCTGCCTCTGCAGATGCCGGGCAGATGAGAGTGATGTCTACAATGGTCAGTCTCATGAAAATCATTGCTAATGGCTAGAATAGGGGCTCAAAATGAGCTTGGCGATGGATGCAGACCGGCCGCAGGCACTTACTTGTGATGCCCATACGATAGCAGAAGTCGACGGGATACCAAACCATGGGCCTGTTGGCGATGGGCAAGAGCGCCTTGGGGTTCTCATCGGGATTCGAAGTGAAAGTCGGGAATGAAGATCCCGGACCGCAAAGAACCAAGGCTTGGAGCCCTGGCGAGGGCATCGACACAGCGTGGGGCATCTCGATGTGATTTGGCGGGGTACCGCGTTTGCGACAAGCGACTGCAATAAGAGACGCTGGGGTGTGAAAGCCTGAAACTGGATTTGGTGAGATGTACGATGCAAGAAGGATTCTTCCTGCGCTTAGTTGTAGCGTGGATCTGCTTCTTTTCGCACTGCCCACACCAATGCCGGTTCAGTAACCTTTTTCTTAGATATTTTGCCTCGCGCTGAAAGAGTCATCGCCAAAAACCGACCCGCGACGCTACCGCAGGTAATTCGATTGACAGGGACCCACCTTTGACGTCGCGCATCAAGGTGGGATGATCCACGTGATTGCCGGCACATCCTCGGTCCGGCAATCACCTTGGCTGACAAGCCGTCAACTTGGAAGGCAGGTGAGAGTTTTTGGCCCGGCAACCAATGCTAACACGGCCATCCTCGGGATGCCGATACCTCCCTGGCCGGTACCGACTCCTTGCCATTCCCCCCATGTTGATGTCCCCCCAAGACCAGCCACCCGAGCTCGCGATAAGTGGGTGATCTGTAGCCCACCCCCCCATTTGCGATTTCCTGTCTCTTGACAACATTGAAAGACAGACAACGGCGCAATATCAACGATTGCGATACCATTGGCGATTCTGCGAACAAATTAGCCCTGTCACCTACGCGACCGCCTGACCCGTTCTACGAAGCTCAAGAAGCTCGGATACCTCGACGCAAACCCCACATCTCTTATACCTGGGCTACGTGCCTTAGTGCAATGGTTGCGTCCAACTAAATGTCGTGGCCCAACGATCAGAATTCTCGGAGGCGAGGGGTTTGGAGTCATTGGGTACCGCTTGCGGTCACCGTGACTGTTGCGACAGTTGGCCTCGCGGCTTGGGTATGGAGTCAGCGCAAAGATGAAGACGACACGCCCGAGAGCGAGCAATACCCCGATCTCGACTACGACAATGCAAACTATGGCGACAATCCTGCGTACGGGTCTTCAAGAGGGCCCAAGCCTCCATCGAGCAACGTGGGAACCGAAACGTATGGCACGGCTGACGTATCCCGGGATGTGCCTGGGGATGGATGGGGAGCGCGGATGTCTGGCGCATTGAGGCGCACGCCCAGCCCACAGCAGTTCCTTGACGCTGCCGGGAAGACTGTGACTGCCGGTGTCGCGGCAGCCGGTGCTGCAGCTGGTAGGGCCTTGGCCGCTATCAGGGAGGAAGACAAGAATGCCTACGCCGACCATGAGACATGGTCCGAGGAAGCGGATGCCAGAAAAGAACGGTCTTCCGGGCCCAGAGACCCCAGCAAACGACGTAGGACCGTTGCCATTGTCGTATCTGCCGACAACCATGGCGACGACTTTGACGAAGATGGATTCCATGAACACGCCGTAAGCCCTCCTCTCACTTTCCCACTGTCGCTTCTGGAGCGCCTCACTGACTCTCCTTTAGTCCATTCTGTCGCATATCCCGCGCTACACCAACTTCAACGACATCAAGCTCTTCGTTTTGATTTATGCGCCGGGTCTGAAAGAGTCGGCTGGCGAATCTACCAGTAATCTTCCGCCGCCGTCGTTGAGCTCGTCCTTCTCAAACATTGAGCACCATCAAGCCCAAACGCCTGGAGAGGAGTCGTCCAAAAGTCCTCTGATGAACCCTTCGCCTGCAAACCCCGCCTTCAACGCCGTTTACTCCCAGGCGTTGGCCTTGGTTGAGAAGGAGACCATGGTGATGCCTTTCACCACTGCCAACGGCCACACGCATATCCTTCGCCATCTGCAGCCCGAGATCATCTATCTTCAGGAGTCTCTAGCGGGCGAAAATGGGGCCCTGGTCTCTAACCTACAGACCTGGCTGCGCCACGACATCATTCTCGTCGTGGGTGCCGAGGGTGGCGACGGTGGTCTCGCTGATAGCGAATCCGAGGCAGAGAGGCCTGGTAAGGAAGAAAAGTGGTGGCAGCGATCGGACCGCGTTGGGCGTGGCCGAGGCGTTGTCGTCGTTGACGGCATGCGGGTCCATGACGACTGGGCCCGCCGTGTCCAGGGCAAGGAGTAAATACACTCTCCACTGTATAAACGAAGACTTCCAATATGGAGATGGATCCCATGGGAGGGCAGGAAGGATATGAAATATGTGTGTGTTTTTATTGGATTGGTACATGTATATACCACGAGACATCATGTGACGTTTTCACGAGCAGATAGGTAATTGACGGTTGCGACGCGAGATGAGGTGTTTTAGTAGTGACTTATTTTGCTGAATTGTACCTCGGTATCAGCCTTGCAGTCATCAACATGGTATTTAAATGCTACCTACAGTGTTGGCAATTAATTGGCAATCCAAATTTCCCCAGTGGTGTTCCAATTTTCTTGGTTGTGAACAAGAACTAAAAGCGAATTGTATGATCACCACCTTCTTATCTAAGCAGAAGATATGAGGCAACCCAATTGTTATTAACCCCAGTTAAACTGCCGTCAGCCCAAAAGGCTAACCAAACAATCGAAGAAGCTCGCTCTAGTGAATGGACCTAAGCCCCAGGGTTCCTATCTTGGACAGGTAAAAACGGGTTTTTAATGCGTTTTCAAATTCCCATTCGGATGCACTCGTGGGGTGGTGAGATTGTACCGTCTACACACTGTACAGACACCGTGGTCCGTGTACATGTCTATCCGGGGTTTTGCCTGAGGCTCTGCTTCGCTCCACGCCCGCGTCTCCGTCTCGGAGACTTGCGGCGGCTCCTGGCAGCCATCCTCCGACTCACGCGGAAGCCTGACTACATCTCAACCCCACACGCTTGGAATCCATCCATCGGGGCTGTTGTGCATCTTTTCCACCGTCTTTTTTTTTCTGAATTTTAACGTCTTCCTTTCTTGATCCTTGGCTGACGATAAATCCGATACAACTGCGACCACGTCCTCGACCACAACTACCCTGCTCCACGCCGACGTCACTCGATTTGTCAACGCGCATCATCCACCCGCTCGACCACCCCCGTAACCCCATCGCGATCGACGAGCCGAATATCTCCTTCAATGATTGCCCTGTGACACAGCTTCGGGCATCATTCGACAGTGGGAGAATAGCCACGCGACGCTCTTTCTGGCCTGCTGCGCTCCGTTAGCCGCCCCATTCGGCAAATATGGCGCCAGTTGTGACGGCGGTTCAGCCGCCTTCTGTCGCGTCCAAGATCAAGCGTCCTGTGCCCCCTGGCATCCAAACCAATGGAGCGAGCTCTATCCGATCATCGCCATCGCCTTCAATGTCGACAAAGAAACCTCCCAACTCCGCAGCAACGAATGGCGCGAACCTACAATCAGCGCGGCCAATCAATCGCACGCGCCGTGAACAGTCGGCCCAAGGCAGTCGCATTTCTAGGAATAGCGTTGGACTCCGGTCGGCATCGCTTGTCGGCGATATGGCAGCCGCCCAGCCTTCGCAGCCATTGCCATACAGTCAGTCACTTTTAGACTTGCCGTAAGCACCAAAGAGACACCAATGCTGACAGGTGACAGTTGTGACGGATGAATACATTTTAAAGAAGTTCGCAGGCAACGCGCCATCCCTAGTCGTACATATGCACGCAACTCATTTCCGGTTCGATCAGCAGGATGGCATTTTCCCATACAAGTCTCCGATGCGGTTGTTTCTGGAGCACTTGCGCGAGCGCACCGTGCCTCATGATCTAATCGAATACTTCTCAGATGCGGGTGTGCCTTTCTACGAGGGATGCCTGATTGTCCAGGTCCACGACCACAAGTCGGTAGCTCAGTCGAAGGAAGTCCAGCGACCGACGTCGGCATCGAGCAAGGTTGTGCCCTCCTCAATTCACAATCACAACCCATATATTGTCCCTTCACCATACGTTCCGTATCCTAAAGAGTCACTCGGTGCGCAACCCGATGCTGCATCCGCCGCTCAGGAGGACACCAAACCAAAAACTGCAGAAGAGAAGGATAAGCAGAGCATGCCGGCACCTAGTCTGCCTGGCGAGGGTCAGAAAAGCAAGACGCCTGCAAAGCCCAAGACTTTCACCGTAGTTCTCCACCCTACGCCTGAAAGTCTTCAGGCAGACCTGCTGATAAAGGCTACAACCCCTCGGGGCGCGGCAGACGCGCGAGGAAATGTTGATGGCACTGGAATTGTGCCTCCATCAACGCCGATAACCATGGTGCCGCCTACTCCTACCGCAGGCAGCATGCCTCCTCCCGCCAAGAAGCCAAAGCGCGAGCGGATGGAGCTTGATGGAAGCAACATCTATCAAGCAGAGTCACAGATTTTACTTGCGACCAACGCCCCTCTTTTCTTGGAGCCAACTCGAGATACGGAGGAGACCATTTCTCTGCTTGATGCGTTGGCACATCCCCAACATTCGGACTCGCCCCCTCAGCCCAAAACCCGCAAGAGAACTGTCGCAGAGATGGCTGCCGACGAGGCTGCAGCGGCAGACCAAGAGAGATATATGCTTATCCTGGACGAGCGCCTCTCGTCAGCTGCGAATGGCTCGCAAGGTGGGGCCAATGCAGCAGACAAAGAAGGTCCGGCTGTTGTGTCTACTTTCGAGCCCAGGTTCGAGCGATTCAAGGTCATCGCCGACATCAAACGGGAGCACGAGGAGAGAAAGGAGCAAGAGAAGGTCGAGGCTGCTGCCAAAGAACGTCAGCTTGCACAAGAGAAGCAAAAACAGATGCAGGAGCAGCAAGCAGTCATTGCAGCGCAGCGCCAGGCTGAAGCTGAGAAGATGCGGCGCGAACACCAAATGGCCCAGGAACTCAAGGCTCGCCAAGACCAACAACAACAACAACAACTGCAGCAGCAACAGAGGGATGCGCAGAGACAACGGGCTATGGCTGCGAAGGCTGCTGCTAATCAAGCTGCTCAGAACAATCAAAACGCAGCGGCAAACTTGGCACAGCAGCAGCAGGTGAACGTATCTATGCCCAACGGCACATCTGGTCCAATACCAAGTGGTGTTCCGGCTCAGACCCAGGCACGCTTCTCTCAGGCATCTCAACCTCCTGTTTCTCCCGTCGTCAGACAGGGCACACCCCACAGCATGTCGTCTCCCATGCCCGGCGCTGTACCTATGCAGCAGAACAACTCTCAAATGGCCAACAGTCCTCCACGCCCGCCCTCGGCCGTTCAAGGTCATCCTCCCAACGTTGGTGGAGTCCCGATGGCGCACAGCATGTCTGCTCGCGCTAGCCAGCAGAGTCACCAGGCCGCCACACCTCGCATACAGCACGGTACCCCAAATATGCAGGGCACGCCTGTACCCCGGCCAGCGGTTGCCGCAACGCCTCGTATGAATCAAGCAAGCCCACCTCCCAACATGATGCAGTCAAACTCCCAGATGGGCCAGCACGTTATGATGGGTACTCCGGGTTCCATGCCGCAAGCTGCGCATAACCCTAACATGATTGCCGCCCAAGTTGCTCAACAACAACGAGCTATTCAGCAACAGCAGATGGCCGCTGCGATGCAGAATGGCATGGGCGGCATGATGAACGGCAACATGATGAACGGCAACATAAACCCCCAGCAGATGACGCCGCAGCAGCAGCAATTCATGCAGCAGCAGATGCAGCATAGGCTGATGATGCAGCAGCAGCAACAGCAGCAGCGCGGCAATATGGGTGGCAATATGGGCGGCAACATGAGTAACATGATGAATCAGCAGTTGGCGCAGAGATACGCCCAACAGCTGAGTCAGATGGGCGCCAATCAAATGAACGGCGGTCAAATGACGCCGCAGATGCAAGCACAGCTTCAGGCCCAGCTCCAGGCGCAGATGGGCAACCCAATGCAGCGCCAAATGGCCGGCGGCGGGCAAAACATGATGAATGGCCAAAACATGAACATGCAGGCCATGATGCAGATGCAGCAACAACAAGCTATGAACAACAATAACGCGTTGACGAATCAAGTCAAGCTCCAGGGCCAAGCGATATACAACAAGCAGATCGCCAATCTCGCTGCCAAATTCGGCGGCGCCGTTGAGAACATTCCGCAGGATCAGATGGAGGCCTTCAAGAGGAACTGTATGATGGAGGCAAAGAATCAGATTCAGAATGTTCTTGCCCAGCGTAGGGCACACCAGGTGATGATGCAGCAGCAGCAACAGCAGCAGCAGCAACAGCAACAGATGCAGGGCATGGGCGGTATGATGGGACCTCACGGGATGTAGGACAAGCCTTGGACCTCAGCGCAGCAGCGGCTTATGCAGCGGATGAGAAAGCTCCTCACAGGCCCTCACAAGTCGACTAAGGCTGAATATGGGAAACGCCGCCATCTCCAATCGAGTCAGGTCAAACATGGAATATGCCATCACAAATCGACTCAGGTTGCGGAAAATCACGGGGGTCAAAATGAGGGTGAGAGATGATGAGGGGACTATGGTGTGGACGGATTGGGTTGTGAGCGTCTTTTACGGGATTTCGGCGTCTGGGAACTTCAGGGACGGATTGGCTGTTTGATCTCGCATGGTCTTATATACCCCTACGAAGGCGCACTTACCTTATCCTTCGAGGTGCGGTTAGGGATGGACGGCAATTGCTTTTCATGGGTCACGAAGGACGGACTGGAATGGTGCATAGCCCCAGAGCAGGCTGAGGCTCGGCGGAGCGAGCTAATGTATCATTTGATGTATCAAATCAGTTTATCAAGCTCCAGTGCCTTCTTGAAGTGTCGAGTGATATTAGCACGTTTCACTTGAGGCTGAAGGTGAGTGATTCCGGAATGGCAGTGCGTCCCATAGAGCCGAGGTGAGCTACGGGTGGCTCACAACCGTCGCCTGCGTAGGTGAGGCAAGGTGAGGTTGAGGATACAGTGCTTATGTCAGCCTGGCCAATGACTGTGTGGCCAGACCCGTGCTGGTTGTCCACTTCCCCACCGCCTGGCCATCGCACGTGATTCGCTAGATCTTCGGCATGACGATGATGCAACGAGCCAGGCGGCATTTACACTCACCTTACTAGCCAAAACGGTCAGGTCCCTTTTTCCTAGCAGCAGCAGCCAAAACGAGGTCACCCACCCGCTGCCACAGTCCACTTGGTCGGCTTCCCAAGCCACATGAACGAGACGCCGTGACCTACCCGTCTTCTGTTGCCTGCCCAGCGTCCAGAACCACACTCATTACGGACTAATACTACTCTTTTTCCTACCTGTCCCCATTTCCCCCAATACTTTACGCAACCTTGCAGCTTTGCTTGCTAAGCTTTCCGTCTTGATCTGCGCGCCCCAGCCGATCTGCTTCCCCCAATCTCCATCGAAGCTCAGACGTCCGTTTCCATCTCGAGAACGCTTGGCCGGCCCTTCCGCGATGCATTTCCCTCGACTACCACAGGCCGAAGCAGCCTTTGTGCTGGCACTGCTGTTGTCGCCACTGCCGGCGGCCGCAATGCTCGATTGCAAACACATTCGAGTGGATGACGTCTCATTCAACCTCGAGAAACTCGGCGGACCGCACAGCGTCGTGACTAGCCAGTGGCATCCTCCTACTTTCACCAACACGTCCTACACCGTCGATATCTGTGCTCCCCTGAAGCGCAAAGGAGACGTAAAGAAGGAGGAGCAATGCCCCAGTTTCACAAGAGGTATGGACCTCTGCGAAACTCGTCGGATGATTGAATGGTGGCAATCTCGAAGAATTTGATGGCTAACATTGTCTGAACAGTATGTGCCATTGAACGCAACATCCATCCGGGCGACGAGAAGAAAGACGAGGTCGAGAAAGTGATACCCATTGCCGGCGAGCTGGGCAACCACGGGGGAAGAGCCCTGGACGCCACAGCGGAACGACTCAAGTCGAGCGACTCCAACTCGGACGCGAAGAAGGAGGGCGTCCGTCTGATCCTCAACGGAGGCTCTTACCCCCTCAACAAGAGCGGCAGAAACCAAAAGGCCATTATCGAGTTCATCTGCGACCGCAACAAGACCGGTCTGGAGGGCGAGGTCAAATCCGAGGAAGAATATGACAGCAGTCAGTTACGGGCACGTGAGGAGGGCAAGGAGGGCGAAGGCGACGAACCCTCGCCCGACGAGAAGCAGATCGTGATGCCTGATACAGCTCTGATCTGGAACAGCTACGGACCCAATGAGAAGAATGACATGGATGTGCTGAGATTGACGTGGCACACCAGGTACGCGTGCGAGGACGCGTACGATAAGCCGCCTGCGGAGGGTGGCAGTGGTGGTGACTCGAGCAGCCACTGGGGCTTCTTCACCTGGCTCTTCGTCTTGTAAGTCTGATGACGGATCAACGTACTGTTTCTTGCGCTGGCTAATGATTATGTTTCATGCAGGGTCTTCCTCGGTATCGCTGCGTACCTCATCTTCGGCTCGTGGCTGAACTACAACCGATACGGCGCTAGGGGCTGGGATCTTTTGCCGCACGGAGACACTATTCGCGATATTCCCTACCTGGTGAAGGACTGGACTAGGAACGTGCTCAACACTGTGAACACCAGTGGTGGCCGGGGCGGCTACAGCGCCGTCTAAGTATAGAATGGGACGATTCTCATCACCCGTCGCTCAGTGATGGCAGAGAGAGAGAAAGAGAGAGAGAGAGATAAGAGTGTACATTTATAGTTGTAAACTGGATCAGTGGCTACGGTTCTGGGTGCATTGTCTTTTTGGAAGGGCATCATTTCGCGAGTCTAGTCGCGGCTTGGAGTTGGGACCGGCTCTGCTCCTCGGAGCTTGTCACATTTAAATTGTTTATCTAAGAAACGCACGCTTTGATCAACCTGACGCTGGTGACAGATTGCCGGGGGCAGACAATTCTCGAGCTCCGCGGGAACTGAACTAAGGTTTGGTGGACCCGAGTTTGGTGGGGCCGGCCTGCCCGCAGGGCTACAGCACGGTGCATCGAAGCTTGCTACCCCGGTCGATGTATCCTCCGGCTTACCTCCGTGTACTTCATCCGCAACGTCAATAACGGGCCATGAATACCAACCACTATAAGGCCGAAGATGCGGCTCTCGAAAAAGCCGGGGAGGACTCCGATGTTGAAAACCTCGACGATGAAGAATTCACCCCCGCGCCTCTCCCACAACTCACAAACGAGCCTCAGGGCCATCCGGATTCCTGCCTAAGCCTCTCCCTCCCTCTCATCAGGGCGCTTCACACCCAGCTGCCGCCGGCGCCGGACCTCGTCCTCTCCATAGGCAGCGGGACGGGCCTCGTCGAGGCGCTCCTCGACTCCCTCGCCGCCGATGACCAGGACCGCGACCCGCCCACTCGGAAAACTCCTCGCCACACGGCGGCGGCGCTCAACCTCGCGAGCGTCGAGATCGCGCCCAGCCCAAACAGGTACCACGCTGCTCACCGCCATCACACCGTCCCGGGGACCTGGGCTCTCGACCCGGCTGCGGGACGGGCAAAGGCGTGGGTTTTTGTGTATCCGAAGCAGGTGGCCCTTGTGCAGAGTTACATGGCGTCGTCGTTCGCGTCCGGCGAGAAAGGGGCCGTGGAGGTGGTGTTGTATGTTGGGCCGAGGATGGACTGGGATGATTTCCGGGGTGCGTTTGCGCCGTTTGCCGAGGATATCGAGGTCTGGGGGGAGGAGAGGATGGAGGAGGTTGGGGGGCGGGCTTGGGAGTGCGTTGCTGTTGTGAGGCTGAGGAGGTGAGTGGGACGGCACAAGATGCGGATTGGCGCAGGGTATGTGGCATATAAAGAAGCAAGATTTGGCTTGAATGCAATAATTGATGAATTTGTTCTTGGTGGGAAGGTGTTTTCGTGGTCGCTGCTCTTGATTGCCTGGTCGTCTGTCTCGTATTGACCGATGCCGAGAGCCAAGGTGGAGATTTTCATACTCGGATTTCTCTCTTATGTCTACCTACTAATGTCATCTGTTTCTCTTGGTTTTCTGTTCACAGGGACAGCCGCATGGATATGTTTGAATATGATGGAAATGCGTGGGTTATGGCACAGTCGAGAAGTTGAACAGTCGGCCTGGAGATAATCGACACCCTACCCGATTCGATACGTCTGTCCCGGTACCGAACACTGGTCAGCGACTGCGACGACTATGCACTCCTGTCTATCGATTAACGAGAAATCACAGGAGCAAGATCGTTTTCGCCAATGAAATGAACAACTCTCGGCTCTCCATCTCAGAGACATATCCTGGAAACTCCTCACTGGTGAGTAGAGGTATGGTACTGTAGTCAAGCCTCTCTCTCCATGGGCACCAGGCCCTCCCATCGTACATTCTCTATATTCATGAAGCATGGCGCTGAAACAGACCAAGTAGCATGTGGTCGCGGATGCTTACACTTTCGTACAACACCGGTTCTGGAGTTGGTGTTGTCCGACGCCTTTAGTTGTTATGCCATAACACAGTACCAGGTCACAAGATACATCGGTCTAGATTTAATACTACTGTGGCTACGGAAATGATAAATCTATGCCAATGATGATGACCAAACACCAACCCATTTCGCCCCCCCCCCATCCCCCTCGCCAATGAGAAGAGGTACACCCTTCTCGCTTTCTCCCCACATTATAGATTTCCACACAAAAACAATAGGTACTATGTAGATAGGTGAGTGAGTGCAACCTTTTGGTTTGGGCTTTTTTGCACGCAAAATAAAAAGTATTTACGAAATGTATATACAAAAAGAGTGTGGGTTAAAAAAGCCTCCGAGGTCAACTCTGAGAAGGCTCCCGGGGCCCTCAAGCCGCAGCAGGGGCCGCAGCAGCCGGCATCATCGAGGCGGCAAAGGTGGCGGCATCATCGGCGTCGTTGCCGTACGTCAGGTGAGCGCGTCTGATCTGGTTGCCGCCCTCGCAAATGTTGTCGCCGTCGTGGCAGATGACCTTTGTCTTGGATGGATCCACGCCCTGGACGGCCTGTCCGTTGACTATATGGGAGATGAATTAGTGTCGGCCAGTAAAATGAAGAGGAATTGTTTTGCCAACTTGGCGTCGCATGGGGAAACTTACGTGGGTCGCCAAAGATGACGGCACCGGCAACCTTGGCCACCATGTCGGCTGGCATCATGGCAGCAGCGTTGTGGACGAGCTGTCCACCCTGGGAGTAGCCAGATATGATGACGGCCGAGTTCGGACAGTTGGTGATGGCCTGCTCTGTGAGGGTGGCCATCATCTGAGATCCGTTGGCGTCGCCTCCGGCCAAGAAGCCGGGGATATCGGCGGGATACTCGACACCCTGTACGGCGAGATTGCCGCCGACCTGGGTTGACAGGGACTGGAAGAATGGCGGACCAGCAATAGTACCGACGTTGCCTCCCTCGGTCGTGCCGCGAGCGAAGATGACGATCATGGACTTGCACCCAGCGGCGAGTCCATCTTGCTGACTGCCCGAGAAGTCGGCCTGGCGGGGTTGGATCGTGACAGGTGAACAACTCGCCGTGCCCAGCAGGGCGAGAAGGAAGGCTGCTGATGAGCTGTGCATTTTTGCGTGCTAATTGTAAAGACTGGTTATTATAGTTGGTAATTATTACTAAGGAGTGTATGTGGGTTATCCGATGCTAGCTGAAAGTTGGATCAACAACTTTTCATGGTTCTTGGCCGTCACATGAAATGGGAGAGGGGGGATGACCGGCGACCTTTGGACTCTTATAGCGGAGCTAGTGTGAGCATCTCCCGCTTCCTTACCCGAGTGCCTAGCCGGCCAGTGACACGGAGGCGACACTAAGCTTATTTCCCTCGTCTATGCCGTGTTGGATGTTCCTGCAGCACAATGGCTTCAGGTACCGCAACCTCACCCCAATAGGGAAAAGAGGGCGGATCAGAGGCAGGGACCTCACGTGGGATCGGCCTGATCCCGACACTAGACCAGGGGGCCAGGGACGGACTTTGCTGATTGTTCAAGATTCGAGATTCGCAGGCTGGTCTATAAGCCAGCCGCCAAGCTGAGCTGAGCAAAACAGGTGGACCCCTGGAAAGCTTGGGGGGGCGTGCCTGGGGTTCCTTACTTTCCTCACGCAGCCTGGGCAGGCTGAAAAGTCTGTTGACAAGTTGACGGGGCAGATAACATCCCACAATGGCACGGACTACCGTTATCTTGGCCGGTTGCGATTGGCTACAGTCTGATTCATGAGTGAAGCTGGGTCCGATCTCTTCTCGCCCCTGGGGAAGGGGGGGGGGAGACATGTTTCGAAACAACTGGGTGGGCTGTGCGCAACATCAGCGGAATGGGAGGGCACCGAAGGTCTCCAAGCTTTTTTAAAATGTACCCTGACGTTTGGTGTGGTTTGATGGGGCTGGATAGGGCGAATGGCGGGATGGAAGATTCGCGGTGGTGGACTGAAGTGGAAGTATCCGTTGGACTTTGCTATGGTAGATGGCAGGTCTCTGACAGCGCTTTGTTCTGGTCTCATGCCTTGTTGCCGTTTCTCATCAGCTTGACACAGAAAACTTGGGATCCATCCATTCGTAAGGAAGGGAAGGGAGGGCTGGAAAGGTGGCATCGCTACCAGGGGCGAGGGTGACCGCTGACATGCGTTTAGGTAAGACTGGCGTTGGGAGACAGCTTGACCGTCGGATTTCGAGGGCCTTCCGTTTCGCCGTGTGGCCCTCTGCCAAGATCATCTCGACTTGTTCTTCGTTTATCTTTTCATGCTCTCCTTTGACGAAGGAGGCACTGGACGAAGATCCGGACTTTGACTCAGGGAAGATGCGGTGAGATGACCCAGTGGCACGGCATCAACTTCGGTATCCGGCGTGGTGTTGGTGTGGTGACACACCATCAACGCAACGGGGCGATTTCGGCAAGATGATTAATCAGCCGTGACCGAGTAATGCAGTCCGAAATAACCATTGATTGGGACGTCGACTAGGCTCGTTCGAGCAAGTAGGTTGGAGGCTATCGAGGAGACCCCGCTCCGTGGTTCTCGAAGTCTTGATATGGTAGATGCTTTGAGGTTTAAACGCGGAAGCAAGATGGAGTCGGAGGGTTTCTGCGGAGCCAGGAGAGGTCACCGAGAAGAGTCTTGTTACACCGAAGTCCAACGGCTTTGGCATTGTGGAAGTGGGAAACGAAATAAGGAAACGCGGGGGTGGGGCCGTCAAGGCAGGGACAGCCGGCAAGGTCGGTCCCGCCTCGCGGGAGGGGATTTTAGCAGGGACCCATATTTCAAGGTTGGCCTTCCTGGCGCCGTTCGACGTGGGAATTTCACTGGTCTTGCCGTCTGAGGTAGCTTCCTGTGATCAAAATTCCAGTCTCTGCTTGAATGCTTGGGTATATCAGAGTACACCGTGCGAACTTACACCACTCCAATACGCGTCTCTTGTTTAAAAAAAAAAAAGCAAAGTCTCCTTCTTTCTGTCTACTTTGGTTGCGATTTTGTTTGACGCCCTGAAGCTTTCTGCATCGTCATTCAGCCAACCTGGACTAGCCTAAAGTCGCTTCAAGCCATGTTGAAGTTTTTCTTAGCTTACCACAGCAGCGGGAAAAATCGTTGCTCGTTGGTGCATAGTTCAGATTAGAAACAGCAGGGTTCCAAGAATAAATCGAACGGTTCATAAGTCATATGATAATATCATCAACGCAGCTATCTGGGGAGCAGATAATCTACACAACTGCTAGCCAAGGCCGATTATTTTCTTTTCTTGTTTTCCTTTTTCATCAAAATGGACGGTGCGAGGTATCCCTGACAAAGTTTTATTGCCAGAAGACGATCAAGACGTCGTAGTCCGACCCTAGCTTATGTTACTTATTGGTGGAAAGGGAATGGAATATAAAATTCTTGAATTGATGGATAAGACGTCTCGGTGTGCTTAGCGCAACCAAGGTCACGACAGTATCAACACTGGGAGCAGGAGCATCATTTGCAGGCCAAGTGGTCTAGCGGCATCATTCATGAGAAACTACTCGTTGTGTATCAATGCCTCTTCAAACCTGTTTTCATTTCCTCAGGTACCGAATATGCTGCTTCTCGTATCCTTCCCCGTGAAGCTTCCATTCATGAGTTTTCAATCATTAGAGTGAGTTGTCAGCCTCGAGCTCTTTGACCTCCAGGCCCTCCCAATCCACTAGCTCTTTCGGGCCGAGGGGTCTCATCTCGATGCGAACGAACTTGTGATCATTATTCATATCCAGGATAATGACTTTGCGTTGCTTGATGCTGGTGCGACCTTCCACAGGGTCAGACATGAAGTCGACGGGGCAGATGACGCGAAGGCGGTCGACAATGGTGATGAGCTCGTACGAATCGCCGCTGTTCATCTTGCAGTATTCTCTGATCTCGTCGAGGCCCTCGTAGATCTGTCCGGGGCTTTTGAGTTCCGCGAGAAGTCTGACGTTGGGAGCGCAGAGCTCTGTGATTTGTTCGAAATCGGTATTGTCCAGGGGCCAGATGAGACGACGGGCCTTGCTCTCAAGCCCAGCGCGGAAAGGCCGGTCGCTCGACTCTCCCCGCAACTCTTCAAACCATCGCTTCTCGTGCTCCTTCTCGGTCACCATAATGATCTTTAGTGTATATTAGTACGATTCACCAAACATGTTGGTAAGGCAGCCGTGACTTACGATTGTCAGGTGTAGTATGTGGGCTAGAGCCTTGTATTTTTGCTGAGCAGATCAACGTGGAATTTCGTCGTAAGCGTATGATGGTAATACTCAAAAGCCGTCTTCTCGTTCTGGTAGAGGATGTCTCGCCAAGGCTAGTGATAAAACCCCTTGGGGGATGGAGAGGCCAAGCTCGTATGCCGAAGCTCTGGAGGTGACGAGTGGATAAAAGATTGACAAGTTTGGAAGGTTGGAAATTGGAAGGAATTTATCCGGTGAGAGGCCTAGAAGACTCCCGGGGGAGCGTACGTGCTGGCCCTTCACGGCTTCCGTATCTTTGACAATGGAATGTCTCAGGCTTGAGCGAAGAAGGTGTTACTGGAAGCGTCGAGAGTAAAGTTCGGTGAAAGAAACCGCTCTTGATGTCATCACCAAATCGAGTGAGGGAGGAGGTTGAGGAAAAGACGTCCATGCCCCTGAGGGTATTAGGCTTTGTCTGCTAATACTCGTCATCCAATGCTTTTAATCGCAACTATTTTCATTTTATTCATCTCAGCAAGGTAGGTAGAAGGGTGGGTACGTGATCTGAACACAGCAAGCCTCAAAGCAACTGCTTCCTCAAAACTACAACGCTTCGCTGCTTGCGTTGTTGGAATCTAGGTCTAAGTGTCGTCAGGTTTTGAACGCCGGCGCCAAACGATTTAATTACATGGATCGAAAAAATCTTCACATAAGAGGGGGTTCCATCATCCTTCATGAGTGGGTGACGGAGATGGCCTCCTCTAGGATATCCAAGCCCTGCTGGATCTCCTCCTCAGTAATGGTCAACGGGGGCACGAAACGCAGGGTGTTGGTGCCGGCAGTGATGATCAGCAGACCGCGCTCGCGGGCGGCCTTGACGATCGGCGTGGGATCCTGGGTGAGCTGGAGACCGAGAATGAGGCCGCGGCCGCGGACCTCCTTAATCAGTTCGGGGAAGCGCTCGCGCAGGGAGTCGAAGCGGGTCTTGAAGATTTCGGCCTTGGCGGCGACGGCCTTTTGCAGGCTGGGGTCGGCGAGGCGGGAGACGATGTTGTGGGCCAGGCGGCAGGCGAGGGGGTTGCCGCCAAAGGTGGTGCCGTGGTCGCCGACCTTGATCTTCTCCGAGACGTTGTTGTTGACGATGGTTGCACCGATGGGGAAGCCGTTGCCGAGCGCCTTGGCGGTGGTGATAATGTCCGGGTGGGCCTCCCTGGGCAGGTGGGTGTGGGCCCAGAAGGTGCCGGTGCGGGACAGACCGCACTGAATCTCATCATAGATGAGGACGGCGCCGACCTCGCGGCAGCGCTTGGCCAGGGCGATCAGGAAATCGTCCGTCGCGGGCGTGACGCCGCCCTCGCCCTGGATGGGCTCGACGATAACGCCGCAGGTCTTTTCGGTGACGGTCTCGTTGATGGCGGCGACGTCGTTGAAGGCGCCGAGCTTGAAGCCGGGCAGCATCGGCGCAAAGGGCTCCTGGTACTTGGGGTTGTGGGTGGCGGACAAGCTGCCCATGGTGCGGCCGTGGAAGGCATTATTGAAGGAGACAACCTCGTACTTGTCGCCCGAGGGCTGGCTGACTTTGGCGGCCTTCCTGGCGAACTTGATGGCGGCCTCGTTGGCCTCGGAGCCCGAATTGCAGACAAAGACCGAGTTGGCGTCGTGCATGGCACCGGCCTCGCGGGTCTTTTCGATCAGCAGCTTGGAGAGGGCGCCGGTCCAGGGGTTGTAGTAGAGGTTCGAGGCGTGCATGAGCGTGCTACCCTGTAAGGTTGGGCATGTACTGTCAGCGCAACTCTTTTTATAATGACTCACGGCGGCTCGGATTTACCCACCTGCTCCGTCAGAATCTGGGTCAGCTCTGGGTCGCAGTGTCCCAAGGCATTGACGGCGATACCAGCGGTGAAGTCGAGGTATTTCCTACCCTCGACGTCCCAGAGCAGAGATCCTTGGCCCTGCACGAAGACGGGCGGTGGCCGGGCATATGTGGCGACCATGTACGGCGCATGTTCGCGGACGAGAGCGGCGCTCGGTGAGTCTTCGGTCGGATCAGGGTTGGTTACTGAGGACTGCTTCTACTCGTTGCCAGTGTTAGTAATGTGATGAGTCACTCGAAGAGTTCGTGGCTTCGCGGGATCACCTACGCCGAAGTTGCTCTTGACGTCTTTCGTGGCGGCAGCGGCCGCAGAAGAGAGCGCGCGGGTGTTGATACGCGGGGCGACGGCCAGACCGAGCTGGCACTTGGCCAATTGAAGTCGCAGAGGAGCACGGAACGCCATCATTGTATCTTGTAGACCTAACAGGACTCTGCGCAAACGGACTGGAGAAATAAGAATGGTGTTGAAGAGAAGTCGTCAATTAAAATTTGGGCCGTTCGCGCTTGCATGGGCAGAGGTGACTCGTCAAACCCCGTTATCGATAAGGCGCGCATTTTCCCACTTTTTGCGCTGTTTGGAGGGGCAGATCCACCTTTCCCGGCGCTACGTGCGCTGTGCCCTGGGGATATCCCTCCGATCTCGGTCGGGCTCGGACGAACTGCCGATGTCTTGAAACGGTTTTCTTGTGCAACTGATTTTTTTGATTGACTCATATGTGCACCTTGCTCAGGTAGTCAATCAACCTGGGTTGGGTAACCTTCTTATTTTCTTGGGCTGAACTCCTCTAAGCGTGCGCGATTCCCTAGTCTGTAGAGTTTATTGTACATTTCGCGAGGGACGTTGTCCCAGTCCAGGGTTGCATTTGCACACAAACCGTTGTTGAATTCCGCCTCCACTCTTACCGATCGAACGTCACGATCCATATTCTCTCTGATATATTCTATCTCCTTCCAGGTTGCAGCCGAGCCTGATTCGGACGTCAAAATCGAGGACCAGAGAATAATCTCGTCTGGAGGGTTCCCCAAAGCAAAAATGCCGACTTTCTTGAAATAGCGCCTAAGCAGCAACAGCACTTTTTCCTCGTCAAAAAACCGCAGCAACCATAGTAACCCACTCATCTCAAGTTCCGTTCGCTCGCCTAACCATTCGAGGAGCATCGCGCTAATCTCTCCAGGCTCTTCTCCAGGCTCTTCTTCCTGCCGATTTCGAGAAGCTGATTCAAGAATTTGGCTGGTGATTAGGTACACTTGTGTTTGCTGCTCGACAAGCATTTTGATGATTGTCAGATCAAAACGCCCAATCAACTCAGAAAATCCGTCTTGTGTCATTTTGATGGAGCAGTTATCACATTCGATAAGAAACCTTTTCATGTCGATTGGGGGGACTCTCCAATTCTTTCGGAAAAACAAGACTTCAACAACTCGACGATTAATACTGATCTTTTCTCCGTAAAGGCGCAAAAGCTTCTCCGCCGTTGCATAGTCGCAGAGCTCCAATGAGGACTCTACACCTTCCAGATCAAACTGGAAATTAGGGTGTTCAACTTGACTTAGATTAGAAAGGGCCTCGGCAGGTCTCCAGTGGTGTATTTTATCAATGACTTCCTTGTTTACGGTGAACTTTTGTCCCCTTTCAAGAAGCGTACGAATGTGGTCTGGGATGCCGGCAGCCACAATTCCATTGAGTACTCTTCCTGTCCATTGAGGTAACTCTTCAAGAAATGATACCATCGTCCGCGCGAGGATAACCTTGCAATATCTCAAATCAAGAAACAAATATTTTTTGAGGTCTTGAACGAGCTGCTCTTCGGTCTTGAAGTAGTCCGGCAAAAGTAGTGATCCCGAGTCGCTTTGCGATACGTCAGAGGCTATTGCAAGCAGGGCGTAGACCATGTCCCGAGGGTCGCTCGCCTTGCTCTTTCGGAATCGTTGCAACAAGACCGAGAGCATGTTCTTTCTTGGAGATCTCCGGGTAAACGAATCTGGGAATAGGTCCAGAACCGCTTGGCATCCATCGTCTGGGGCGACGCCAATAACCTTCGCAGCGATATTCAGCGTGGAAGCCTGAATGGACCATCTCCCGCAATAGATCGAAGCTGCGCGCGCATTTGACACTTCCTGCAAGACCCATATCCTGGTAAACCAAGGCTCATCCAGGAGAGAAACGAGGGCGTTTCTTTGGACATCGGCGAAGACAGCCTGATCGAGATCTGAGCTGTGGCGGATCGCCGACCCATTCTTTTGCGCCCAAGTGAGATCTGCGTGACTTTTCTGGCGTTTCCATCCCTGTTGAAGCTTTCTTAGGCATTCCAGCAATAGTTTTCTCTCAAACGTGGAAGGGCCCAGCCATATGACGACCTGTTCCGCTTTTCTGTAGATGCTGGCCATCTGTCCAACCTGATGGCCTCGCTCAGCAATGTTGTTCTGGTCGATACAGATAGCGTCAATCCACATGACTCTGCTCAAAAAGTCGTCTCGGAGATCTTTCAAAGCAGTGAATAGATTGTTCGTGATGCAAAGGGTTTCCCCGTTGGCTGTGATGGAGGCCGAGAGCTCTGTGCTGCCCCAGGCATAGGACAAGGCTTCGTAGGGGATGATCACATCCAGATCCAGACTTGCTTGAAAGATATCGCATGATATCTGGCTTGTGGATCCAGGATGAAGCATGAGGAGTCGGAAAGATTGCCCCGTGAGGTCTAGCGGCTCGTACTGAAAGAGGCTCATGATATGATTGACGTTTGGACGTTCGCGCGAATTTCCGGTGGCGTAGCTAGGAAGCTCAATGTGGTCGTCAAGCGTTCGTATGCCTTTGAATCACGCTGAAAAGATGCTCGTGGTGGGATTGAATGTCTCCCAAATACCCCTGGGCGCAAAGCAATCAGGCTGAATGAGGGGTATAGTTGTCTGACAGGTAGCCAAGCCAGGCTGCTTGTCGAGCTGCTCCGCCAGCGAATTTGCCTTGTAACACCACATGGCTGATGTACCCTTTGCATGAGGATTTGGCCAATGATATGTTGTTACGATCGCGGGTGATATTTGTGTGGTGGCGAAGCCAAAGTGTATCATTTGCCCGATGGGCGGATTTGCACACCTCATGGCGAACCGGCGACACGCGAGCCAACGTACCCAATATCAAGAGTTCTGAATGAAGATTTGTCAAACGCGTCTCACCTTACAAGGTAAAAGGACTGATGCGACATTTTGTCAGAGAGCACTACCGCAAAGCAGCGGAGAAGCAAGGAGGCGAGGCTAGTTGCCAATCGTTGTTTCATAGCAAGAAACTAACGATCGACTGTCTTCCCGACCGGAGTGTCGTATATTTACACAGCTTCGGGGTGGACGGGACTGGAGATCTCGGGGGTCGGCGTTATCCACGATGCCGGATTGCATCGGGATTCTATCGGCTCGTGACTCGTCATGTGGACATCGGATGCGTTCCTGGAGAAGCTCGCTCTACCCCAATGCGGGGATGGCGAGCCCCCCTTTGGTGCTTAGGTAACCTTCGTGCCTTCCAAGTTTCTTGGTTGGTCAAAAGTCCTGCAGTGCACTACAGTGCAGCAATCTTCAGTGGAGTTGGACAGCGGTTCAGCAGCTGCCAGCGGTAGAACCGGCGAGCGAACAGCGCCAGATGTGCCAGCCGGCTGTCCCTGATTGGCCATCCTTGGTGTCGGATCCGGGGTGGATGCCAAAGCGGCCTAGTGCCGGAGGGAGCAGTGCCCGCGTGCCCCTCTACCCCGTGCGGGTTGACTCGAATCTCGAGCACCCACGCTGGGCACCCACGCAACCCGCGCAACCCACGCACCTTATGGTGAGGTGGGCGAAGTGGGTTTGGGCCTCTTCACATGTCAGCTGCCCCCCAAACCCAAACAAACGTCACCATCTCACCTCAGAAGCCAGTAATTGAACCGAGCCCACCAGAGGCACTCACTCGACCGCTTTCACATTGAAACATGTGCCGTCGGTACCCTGCTCAAGGACCCTCTTTCACGAGCAATGTCGGCCGTTGCTGCTGCTGCTGCTGCTGTTGCTCCCCTTTCCCTTCGCAATCTTCTTTGACAGCTCTCTACACTTCTCCGCCAGATCCGTCGCGAAACATATCGTCATTCATTCCTGGCTGTCGTCTTCCGTCGTCTCAGCCTTCTAGCTTCCCGTGCCGTCTCGTACAACCATCCAAAACGTAGGATCCAAAACAACCGGAGCAGCTCCGGCCTTCCCTTTCGAACCAGTCCAACATCGGGTGGCGGTCCGTGGTATCGAGCCGTCCGTTGCTGCACCTCGCTCGCCAAGCGCTTCCCCCGAGCCTGGACGCATTACTATGGCCTTTTAGCCCTGAATTACAACATTACTCGCGCTGCGCCGTCCCGCCGACGACTTCAACGCCATCGTTGTCCCAGCCACAACCTCGTGGTTTTGCGCTGCTCGCTTGGTCAGCCGCCTTCCGGCTGTCCTCGGTGCCAAGATCCATGACCCTGCGACGGAATCTGCAAACACTTGCTTCTTCTTTCGCACCTCTTCCACTGCACCGGTGTCCGTCGTAGTATACCCCAGTCGACATGATAGACCACGTCCTTGGACGGCCGTCGGTCAAGTCGCGCCGCCTTCAGGTGCTGGCGGTGCTGGCTTTCTGGTCGGCATACATCTTTAGGTAAGATGCGACGTCTTGAACTCTGGGCAACGTCGCCGCGATAGGAGCTGATTCAATCTCTTGCAGAGGACACCCTCACGGCCCTCCCGTCATCCGCTTCTTCTCCAAGCTCACGACGAAGCGCCTCACGACATGGCAGACCGTCGTCGTCACCATGATCTACCTGTACGCTGCCCGACACTTTAGCACTCTAGTCGGCCTTGCGAGTCCCGAGCCCATGTCTAACATGTACGACGCCACCTACTTCCGCGCAACCTGGATCTTGACTGCCCTGGATGCTGGCTTTTGGACCGCCATGAAGATCCGCGCAAAGTGGCTCCGCGACTTAGCCAGCATCGTCTTCTCCGTATTCTACATGTTTGCCGCTGAAAAGGCCGACGAAAAGGTGCGCAAGGTGCGCGGCATGTTGACCGTAGAGCACCTGCGCGTGTCTTGGGACAAAGGAACGACGCCATACTTGAAATTCTTCCAAGGCCTCATGCGACCTCGCTTCTCCCGCTGGCCGCCGCGCGCACTCCGCATTCCCAGGCCCGCTGGCAGCGACTACAAGGAGCCGGTGTCGGCCTGGCTCTACTTCGATGGCCCATTGACGGACCTCGTGCGACACAGTAGAATTATTCTGGATATCCCCGGTGGTGGGTTTGTGGCCATGGATCCTAGGTGCAACGACGACAAGCTGTTCGCGTGGGCATCCAAGACTGGCATGCCAGTTCTGAGCCTAGACTACAAGAAAGCCCCCGAGTTCCCGTACCCCTTTGCCCTGAACGAGTGTTTCGACGTGTACACGACACTCATTCGCAGCAAGGGAAGATGCATCGGCATGTCCGGAAGAGAGACACCCCGAATCGTGCTTACAGGCGACAGCGCTGGTGGCAACTTGGCTACGGCAACAACTCTCATGATTGTAGAACGAACATCAGTACCAATGCGGCGCTATTCGAGCACCGGAGATCTGCCACTGCCCGATGGATTGGTCTTGTTCTATCCGGCACTCGATATGAATATTGGCAACTGGATGTCAGACGAACAAATGTCGCTTATGAAAGATAGAAGGTTGAGGAGCACGAACCAATCGATCATCAGGAGGAAGAGCATGCAGTATAACGACCTCGTCGGCACGCCCCATCACACTGATGACGAGGAAGAGGCCAACAAGCAGTCGACCGAGCTGACAGCAAAGGAGGTCCAGATCGCCTCACAACAAGCGCTTGCTAGTCCCCATCCCGAATTTTCGCATGGGGGGCCGCAGAGTGTGTCCAATGCAGAGCTATCAGCTCCGGATATCAAGCGTCAGCAGAGTGCATCCCATCACTCGGAACCGCTTCGAACCCGCCTTGCCATGTCCTCCATGATCTCCTACTTTAACGATCGCGTGCTCACGCCTGAGATGATGCGGGCCATGATTATTCTCTACATCGGTCCTCACAACCGGCCCGACTTCAGCAAGGACTACCTCCTTTCGCCCGTCCTTACCCCCGACTCCCTTCTCGCGCGTTTCCCCAAGGTCTACTTCCTGACCGGTGAGCGGGACCCCCTGGTGGACGATACAGTCATCTTCTCAGCCCGCCTGCGCAAGGTGAAGGAAACCATGTTCGATCAGGCTCAATCCGAGCGCTCCGACTTTGGCGATGGCCTCGAACCCGTCTTCAACCCCAAGGACGTCGCAGAGGTGATGCTGATCCCGGGCATCTCCCACGGTTTCCTGCAGTTCCCGACCGTCTACCCACCCGCATGGAAACACTTTGAGAGGTCGGCAGAGTGGATCACGGAAATCTTTGCCTCAGCGGATGCCGCTCGGGAGCGGGAGAGCCGGGGTCGTCGACGAGTCGGCGGCGGGCCCATAACGAACGGCAACAGCGAGGGAAGGCACCACAACCGCGCCGAATCCAGCGGCGACGAGGACAGGCCGCTGGAGATCAGTATGACGAGGGCAAACCGCAAGAACACCCTGACAAGGGAGCCGCAGGCCATGGACGAGAGCGAGTCCATTGTAGACAAGGCCGATGTCGGCAAGAAGAAGAACGGCCGCGCGAGGGGCGCGAGCAAGAGTGCGGGCGCGAGCCTTGTGAAGCTCAAGAGCACAGACGACTTGCTAGGTAGGAGAATGCAGGGCCTCGCTGGCGGCTTGACGGGCGTTGGACGGGGACAGGAATGAAGTCATCGACTTTTGCGGTGTTCTTGTACGATGGAGGCGCACACTAGCACCTCAGTTCTTGAGTTACAGCCCATCTTGCTGTAGGGGTATGATTCCGTTGAATGGGAGACTTACCGGGTGGCTATAGACTGTCTGTAGATTGGATTCGTCAACGAAGCTGTATACACGCGTCGGGTAGTACCAAGGTTTATAGACACAGTTGCGTGCAATTGCTCATGATCGCTCCCCCTTTTGGTGCTTGTCATAAAGTCCAGTATCCGCTGAAGTAATAATGGTCGTCAGGGATTCGTGGGATGGAGCAAAACCACGGGTTTCCAATGGTCACTCCCCTTCATCCGTACGACATCCTAGGGGGACTTTGCAAGCTGGCCCTGGATGTTCAGTCGTGATAGATCTAACTTGACCACCAACTCGGAGCGACTTTACGCTGTCCTGGTGTCTGGGTTTACAATATCATGTACATGACGTGATCGTGACGGTGCATCAGTCGACGATTTGCCGTCGAGCCTGCGTCAGGTTAAGCGACAAGCAACCCCAAGGGCTTTCTGGCCTCTAATCCGGAGAAGGGGGACTTCCTTGGCCTTGGGGTGAATACTCTCATCACTTCATAGAGCGCTGCCTACTTCGACCTTGCATCATGAGCAGCAAAGCTCGAGACTTGAAATTATAAGAGACCTTTTGACGCCGCTGGACAAAGTGGTTTCAAGACTCGTCTCTTTAGCAGCGTCTGACGGCCCATATAACCTATCATCATCGCCGCACCGTCCGTCTTGGAGATTACACGTGTAGAAGGTGGCAAGACCACAGCTACCCAACACTGACTTGGCTTTGCCAACATCACAATAGCCACCAGTCGTTGCATAACTAGCACGCCAGCCCTTGTGCTTTTGCGACATCTCCCCACATTTGGATTATACCGCTTTAACTCGCTGTTAATTTACAATCTCCTCAATATCGCGAGATGACAGCCACGGGGCCGTCCAAATATCGATGAACACAGCCAAGAATCCTAGATGCCAAACGCGTCCTGCTAGACTCGGCTTAGATACTCTCCCAAATACCAAAAACTATGGAAGAATATGAGCTCTTGAATGATTCCAGGCATATGGAAAGTTCAAAAAATCGACACTCACCACCAAGAGACGTGTATAGCAGTACCTCGGCGAGGTTCATCCTCAGGGGCTACCTGTTGCATGGCCACTTGCCCCTCCCTCTCCCCTTACCGCCTCGAAACCACAAGGCAAAACTGACGGCGAGAAACTTCAATGAGAGACAATCTGAATTAGCGGGGAGTATTTCAAAGCTTCCATCTACAAATCCACTACTTTGCGGGGCGTTCTAACAAACGGGCTGTGGCTTGCCAACCTCACTTACCCGTCGCTAAAAGTTGATGAAAAGGGACAGCCAAGAGAGAAGACGGGAATCTTGCAAAAGTCATAGTTCGGAAATGTCTTTAAGGGAAAGGCGAATCACTCCCTTCTCCACAACCGATCAACTGCGCACAAACTTCAGACATTTACAGGCGAGAGTAGGGACAATGTATTCATGTCGTAGGGAGTGACTCAAGGTCATCTTGCTCGTGTCCGTCATTGTGGTCAACATGCGCTCCCCCCCCCCCCCCCCCCCCCCCCCCCCCCCCCACAACACACACAAGACAACGCATACCTACCAGCTACAGAGAGGAGAGAAAGGAAAAAATATTTTAGTTGTTGGGGGAGGCAACAACGCATCTTTCGCCTCGCCCCGCTTGTGGGCGCACTGCCCCCCCCCCCCCCCCCCCCCCCCCCCCTTCCAGTATCTTATCGACAATCACAATGTGCATGTTCAAGACGGCAGAGAACCCCTTTTCAAATTACGTGTTTACTATTAATCATTTGCTACAAGGCCATCACCAGCACCTATTCTTGCCGACCTCATGACGATCTGGTATCTTCATCTCAATAAGCCTTTTCCAAATCCCCCCCCAAAAACACCTATAGCCCCAGTTGAAGGGGGACCAGTTCAATCTCACTCGTTGAAAACCGCAGCGAGCTAGAGATAGATAGACATCGTGTCACATCTCCGACCCTCCTCCGACCCTCACCGCTGGCTAAAAAGTCAGACTCCCACCCAAACGCCATCCACCCAACCTCCCCTCCCCCTCCCAAGGCGTATTCAAGAGACTCTCCTCTCAAAAACATCCTCGCGTGAATCAGCAACACACACACACACACACACACACACACACACACACTCCGAAGCCTCAAGCCTCGACCCCAACATACCTAGAAACAACACCCTCAATCTCCCTCTTCAAAACCTCCTTCCTCTCCTCAGAACACCAGCTCCCCTCCACAGAGCCCACCGCGATCCCCCTCCACTCCTCAACACTCAGCCCAAACGCCTCTTGCACGGCGCAGTAGTTTTCGAGAATATAAGCCCCAAAGTACGCAGGATCATCGCTGTTGATGCTGAACCGCACACCCGCGTCCAAAAACGTCCGGATGGGCATCTCCCTCATCGTCCCGACGCCCCTCAGCACCACATTGGAGACGGGACAGAGGCTCAGCAGCGTCTTGTCCCGCGCCAGCCTCGCCAGCAGCGCCCCGCTCTCGGCGGACCGCCTCCCGTGGTCGATGCGCTGCACGCCCAGGTCGTCGAGCGCCGACACCACGCACGCGGCCGGCGCCTCCTCGCCCGCGTGCGCCGTGCGCCGGATCCCCGCCTCGCGGACCGCATCGTAGATGGGCTTCCACATCGCGGGCGGGTACGGCGCCTCGCTGCTCGACATGCCCACGCCCGCAATCGTGCCGTCGGCGAAGTGGCCCTTGGCCTTGGCCTCGAGGAACATGCGCATGCCGTCTTCGACGGAGCAGTGCCGCAAAAAGCACACAATGTACTCGATCGTCATGCCAAAGTCCTGTTGGGCACGTTCCTTTGCGCGCTGCAGGCCCTCCACGACCGTCTCGTACGCCACGCCGCGGCAGGTGTGCGCCTGGGGGTCGAAAAAGACTTCGGCATGACGGACGTTTTGCGCGTGTGCCTTTTGGAAATAGGCATAGCCCAGCTCCTCAAAGTCAGTCACCGTCAGGAGCACGGAGAACCCGATAAAGTAGTAGTGCAAAAAGTCGTCGAGCGAGGTGAAGTTGCGGTACCGCTCGTAGAGAGCCTCGACGCTGGCAAAGGCGGGATCCTTGTCGACGGGCAGGGCGATGTTGTTCTGTGCGGCGAGGTGGAACAGCAGCTCGGGCCCTAGTGAGCCCTCGATGTGAATGTGATGCTCGCATTTGGGCAGATCGACCAGGAAGTCGTGAAGGCCGTCCTTGCACATCGTGGGCGGGTGTGTGTGTGTGTGTGTGTGTGGGTGGGTGAAGAGAGACGGATGTCGAACGTGTGGTGTGTGGTTGCAGATGCTTAGATGGAGGTCGCTATCGGCTTTGGAGGACGATGATGGGATGAAGTTGGAGGTGATGCACGAGCAAAGGTTGCGAGATGGAATTGTAGACAGAGATGTTTCACCTGTAAAAAGTTTGCCCAAATCTCGACCTTTCTGGTGGCTGTTGTCGTTCACGACCAAAATAGATGTTGGAGAACTTCTAGAAGTCTTGGGGACGAACGCACGGCTTAGTGTCTGTCGCCGAAGGTTTCTTCTTATCCATGTTGTGTCATTTTATTGAATTTTTTCTTCGTTTTGCCTTCTTCTTTTATCTACACGACCCGACTCTGTCTCCAGATTCGCGGTTTAGGTTATCAAGTTCCCCTCGTTGTCGGCGAGTGCCGTGTTTTTCTCAGCGGCGGAGGACGGCGAAGGTTTGGCCATTCTCGTTCGCCGCTTCACTGGGTCCGGCTTCCGACCGAACATAAGTGGTTATGCTAACGCTGTTTAGCTTGGAAAATCCATCTCGATGACAAAGGGTTTGTAGAGAGACAGAGACAGAGACAGAGTGAGAGAGATAGAGTGAGAGAGAGCCAGAGAGCAGCGAAAGTCCTCCAACGCTCTCGGAGAAACAAAGAGTCCAAGACGACCAGGATTGACCGTAGGGCAAGAGATCGCGAGAACGAAGCACTGAAAAAGGGTTCCCCCTGACCAAGAAACTTCCCGCGCCACGTATTCAGAGGCATGCCCTCGCCTGAATCTCTGTCTCTCTCTAGCAGCTTAAGCGCTCCTCTCTGTGGTCAGCGGCCCAATTTTCCGGGCGCGCGACGCACACCCTGCGGCATTAAACGCACGACCAGCGAAGCCGTCGAACGACAAGATGGTTTGAAATATCCATGTTGAAGCGGGCTGAGAGTAACATCGACATGGGAGAGACATTGGACGAGATACAACCATTGACGAAACAAGCTCCGCAGAGATCAAGCTCTCCGTCTGCGTGTCACGACGATGATGTCGCAGTGAATCGGAAGTAGGCTCGCAAAACTTGGTAATAGGCTTACTCATGGATCCTACCCTTCTTTCTCTAGCCTCGACATCGGAAAGAGGCGACCCGGCGCAATTGTCGCAAGTAAGCAGGATTGAAGCTGACGTTGCAGTGGTAATGATACGCAAAGTCTTGACATTGACATAAGGAAGGTTTCCGCGAATGGCATCTTTTCTGTTTGAACAGGATGGGGCCACCAGCTTGCCAGGTTCCATGTAATATGTTAAGATCTCAACGACGGCAGCCTCACAGACCTAGAGACTGACAGGTATAGGCGGCCGCCACATATAACACTGCGTTTTGTGGTTTGGTTCGTCATCTTCAGCCGTCCGCCAACGGCCAGCAGTGTGCGGGCTAGTGCCCCTCGAGCTCGTCTAGATGCCTTCGAAACCAATCTGCATTGCACTTGCCGACCTTCATTGGCTCGACGGCCCTCGAGTTGTCTGGTCTTTGAAGGATGCTCCCCGTGGACGGAAAGGGCTTGCCGCTGAACCGCTCTAAAGTCTAGACCTGTGGCATTGCTTTTTCTTGTCACAGAGCGTAGAGACATTCAGAAACCTGCCGATTCCCCGGTTTTTTTCCCACTTTGGGGAGCTGAAGGGCTGGCAAGTGGTGGCGCCGCCGCTGCTCCTAGGATTTCTCAGTAGGGATCATCCCAGAGCTGAAAGTTAAACGTCAACTGGACCTTTCGAGGGCCGATCAGAGATCCTAGTGTCAGACTGCGGGAGGCGGGCGGGGAGATAGGAGTGAGGAAGGGGAAAAAACCGCAGAAACGACCGGGATCCTGTGCTCAGATCCGTCTCGTCGCTGCCGATGAACCGGGTGGGCAGCAGCCGACGGGATGGCTGAGTACGAATACTAACTAGGCGGACGTTAGTCGTTTCGCGTCACTGGGACCTGAGTTAATGATACCATTCACAGAGTTTCCAGGGCCACAGTGTAGAGGAGTTGAGATATTGCATGACGACCGAACGAGCCTCCTCAGGCTGTTGCTCCGAGCTGTCAAGCAAAGGAATGTTCCTGGTCTCAGGCCCCCTCTCCCTCTGAGAAGGGTCTCTGGGCCCTTGATGTGCTTGGTTATCAGCCCCATCCATGCTGGCACGGGCTGTCCCATGGCATCTGTGACGTGAGCCGTCGCAACCACCGATCTCCAAGTGAGAAGGGAAGCCTCTGCCAGTTTTGCGCAAAAGCTTATCGACAGGAATAGCTCCAATGTCCATGTGTGATGGTGGAATTGCGGTTGGAATGGGGGTGTCGTCGTTTTTTCGTCCCTTCATCCGTTGTGTCTTTTTAAGCTTGCCATTGCCGTTCCACCCCGGGGGGGGGGGGCGCCCGGTGCTTGTGCGCGGCCAGTCAACAGTCATCCCGTTGCGTCTTGAGCCCTCTGTTCTAATTCTGTCCGTTTGAAGCCGGCCACCACTTTCCCATCAGACTTTCCATTTTCCTACCTTATCCAAAGCCTTGGGATGCGCCCGTGAACCTTTTGTTCCAAGATCGACAACCTTGAGCCACATGGGACTCAAGCTTCCTGTTGACGCGCCCGAGCGTGCGGGAAGCAATCCTGTTGTCTTTCCGCCGAGCCTGTATCAAACTGCGGGTCGAAGATGGTCTGCCAAGTCTGGTTTGTCCAGCTGCCTGCTACCCATGTAGTGTATTCCCCCTCCCCGCTGGCAGGAATGTAGAATCTGCCAAACCAGCCAGACCCAATTTCATGCAAGCTAGCAAGGGCGTCTTTGACCGTGGTGTTTCATTCGGCTTGTTGACCGCCTGTTGCCAATGGTTGCCGCCGCAGACCCAATCCTCTCCGCAACCTTTGCCGGGCCCAGTTGTTTGGAGGTACCGCTGCTCCAAAGCGCGCGTCAAGATCCAAGAATGGGTTGTTGACCGTTTCCAAACGTTGCTTCGAGGAACGGGTGCTGACTGGCCTGCCAATCTGCCTGGGCAACGGAAGCTAATCGGTGGAGAGTAACATGCATCCGTGTCTTGGGCCCGGACCTTGACAGCTAAGGTAGTATTACCAACACCGTAGCAAGCCGCGGCTGACGGCACAGGACAAAAATGTGCTTCTGCTGTCGTTGCGGCCATCGTCACACTGCTTTCTGGTCTCTGTAAGTGAGCTTGCACGAGTTTAAGCTATGCGATGCGATATTACTACCATCTGTACTGGAGTCCTCGACGGTTATATTTGTGTCACTTGTGCATGACGACTCCCAATCTACCCTCATTCGGTCTCCTTAATCATAATTCATGACAAAATCTCTTCGAACAACAAAGCCAAAGACTGACTAGGCGATTCCGATCGAATTGGTGGGAAGCTTCGCCGGCAGAAAAAATCCTCGGGATTCCAGGTGGGCGGAGGAGGGCTTGCCAGCCGGAACCAAATTAAATCCCCTTTCCTCTTTGCGGGGTTGCACACCATTCTGGCTGATGTCCATCACGCTACCCAGGAGCTGTTCCCTCCCTGCGGAGATACCGAATGGCACATCGAATCCAGAATGCGGCCGATGGCGTCTCCTGAGCACCGTGCTTGACCGAGTCTGGGCTTGTCTGCAACGCAGGCTGCTGCTACGGTGCTTGTAGTGTGACTTGCGCTGCACATGGTCCGTTTCGGTGCCCCATAAGAGGGTGTAGATGGAGGTGAGGAGGTGGTGAGGAGGGCTCGGAGAAGGTGCTACTTTGGACAGAGCTCCGATGAGGCCGTGCTGGCGTGCTAGGCTTCTCGGCCATCACCCAGTGTTATCGAGATAGTAAACTGCACTTAATTCGCTCCGCGGATGGAACCTGGCAAGTTACCACTCCAGGCTGTCTTGTTTCATATGTGACGGACAAACCTTGGGAGCTCGAGCCAGCTTGCCAGGTACGCCAATCGCGCCGTCAATATTCAGTCTGCGGTCCGTTGTGGATAACGATTGACGAGAAGGAGCACGTTTTTCCTGGGCTTGTTCAGAACTTTGATATAATTAGTTGACTGAGCAAATCGGCTCAATAACACTGTGAGGTGGTAACCGTCTGTTGGTGGTTAACTCGACGGCGGAACCCCGTCACAGACCAAACTTCAAAGCTTGGCTACTGATACAAGAAAGTGCGGAGCCGATCTCAGCCATCCGCAGATTCGGCATTCGGTTGTGATTAGATGCGTCAGCTCGTCGGCTCCACGGCTCCTTTAGGATAAATGTCCTGGCTATACGTAGCTAATGCTCTTAATCCGCGGCACGAAGAGCCATTATCATTGTCGACTAAGGAGCGGACAAGGGATGGCATACGTGAGGGTCCCATCACCGTATCACGACTGTCCGTGTAGCGAGCCTAAATGATACCTGTTGGTCGCGTGCACAAATGCGGACTTGCAACAGACCTCAGCAACTCCATCGTCCCCGTTCCTTGTGGTTGACCTCGTTCCGGACTTGAAGCAATTACCATGATACCGTGACCTTGTTGACATGGGCTTGTCCTGTGAGCCCCTGTGTGTTCGCAGTACCCATGGCCCAGTTCAGGTAATCCTCTTGTCTGCGATTGACATGGAATTAATGGCGGCGATCTGTTGAAGAGGTGCTGTACGACTCGGGGATCGCGTTACATTGCTGCAAAGTGCAAACACACCGTCCCGGCTGGAGCGTAGCGAGTCGTGAAATGAATCCAATCTGCTTCTGTCCAGTACAGCCGCACCATGTACGCGAGTGCCTGCCGTGTCACCATCTGCCACTGATCTGCGCTTTCGTCACGCAGCCTTCTACCGTGGCTCGGGATTCTCCGAGGTAGAGGCCTTGAATGGTCGACTCACGAACGTGGGAAGGGGTGCTTTCTCCGTGACTTGAGCCAACCGTCATTCACTACCGTCGGGGGCTTGGTAAGTCTCTGATGGCAATGCGACCTACAGCGAAGTACGTATCATGAATGTACGTGCTGCTGAGATTAGAGTATCGTTTTGTCGAAGCCAAGCTCGAAAGTGCCAAAAGTTGACTTTAACCCTCGAGCGATGTCCCTACTCTTCTCTTCTGTCCCAAGAAGCGTAACTCCAGGCTAGATACTAGTTTCGGTCCGTTCAAAGGTTGGAGGGTTTCGCTTTTCGTGAGCAGAGGTGATATCGATGATTGCGAGAAAAAGCTTTTAGATGCTATTCTTGACACAGACCTGTGGGGTAATTACCGGGCCCGACCACGCAGTCTCCGTAACATGCGGAATACGTCCCAACCCCATGGACAACACGCCCTGTAGAGATTTTCGGGGGAAGAATGATCCCCTCGGCCTGACAAGGGAGTCACTCTGTCCATCACAGCATAACCGACCGACGTTGGACGTCGTGCGGCGTACGAGAGATATTTGCCAGTTGCGGTCGTCTGTGTGGTGTACCGCATCGCGAGCAACCACAGCGGCCAAATACGCCACAACAGAGGGCGCAAGAGCCAAGCAAGCCCTGAGGTCGGAAAGCTCATTTGCGTCTTGTATTTGCTTGTCGTTGATGTGGTGAGTGTGTCGTTGGCCGTTGTGTGTCGTGGTACAAAGTGGAAACCTACACGCAACCTGACCGGGTGCATGGTCTTCGGGAAGTGGGATGCGGCGTGCGAATGGATGCATCCCCGGCCCACGCGAATGGCGGCCCTCTTGAGAGGCCCATCATGAGGGGGAGGGATCGTCTGTTGCGGCACGACTTTGCCAGGAGAGGCTAGGGACGCACTACAAACTAGTCGTGCTAGTCTCCTCTCCCTCCTAGGCTCTAGCTCATAAGCCTGTGCAATAGCGCACTGCGTGCTGCAGGAGCGCATGTTGACAAGGACAGGGCCTTACCGGGCCCGGGGCAATTGACCAGTTCTCGACACATGATGGCGGATGCGGAGCGTTCCAGGGCGGGAAGACGCGGTTGGCGAGATCAAATCTTGCGCAACCACGATGGTATCGACTATTGCGCGGGGAATTGAAACTATACTATTGGCCGCGTCGGCTTGCTAGCCCTCGGCTGGCTGACCGAGCAAGTGCCCATGTGTCACAATGCACTGATGAGAGGAGCGGAAGGTAACCAGCCCGGCCACAGGCTACCTGTCTGTCCGTGATATGATGGTTGCGATGGTGCTTTGCCGTGGAGGAGCCCAATACTACGCCAGGAGCGTGGCAGTCACGCAGTCTGGCAAAAAGTCGGAGAAGAAACGAGGAACGTGGGAGTCCTGGCGAGCATGTCGGAGGAAATTTCGGGCCATCGGCAGCGATTTCGATGTTTTCTGCTGGGGCGGCCTGCAAGAGCCATGCAATGACCAGCTCGGGGTTGTAGCCGAACGTATGCTGTTGGGGAGGCCACTCGCTGAATGCTCTTCCAACGGTGGACACCGATCCGTGACCACAGGTATCCGTAGCGCCAGCTTAGTTTGACAATGGCATGTTGAAGAAGCCGGGTCTGGTTGGCATCCAAGTGGGAACTCGACCGTTGCAGATAGAACCCCGGGTATCTGACCGAAGGGCTTGACAGGTCGGCGTTTGAGCAGTGAGCGGACGAATCTTCCACGACCCGGAAGCCAAGGCAAGATGACATTGGGACGTTGCCGGTTCGTGGCTTCACTGTCAACGGTTCAAGACCAGGCCAGGCCTGGCCATCCTATGGCTTTGTCACCCAGGGCACCGGCGTGGACGACCCCCGGGTGGTGTTTCCCCTGGCTGGCGAGCGACATCCGTGCGTGTTTGCGTGTTCTCCGCCAGGAACGGAGCTTGTGGGACATGATTCGGGGAAATTGGATGGTCGTAACTTGGCGAGGATGTGGTTTTCGATGGAGCCACTTGGTGGCCTTTTGGGGACATCCGGATGTTGCCGACTGATCAGGAGTTACCGGGGAGTGAATCCCTCAAGTGGACATGAGCTTGTCAATCTGCGGGCCCGGTAGCACTGCCACTAGCCCAGGAGGCGGTCGTCATCAAAATCCCCGGCTGGCGGGACCCCATTCGCCGAATCTTGCCTGGTTTCCCAAGATATCCATCACCCATGGCTGTGACGGACTGGGAGGGTAGATACACGTATTTCTCACCTGTTGGATGTGTCGACAATACCTAGATGAGACAAACAGTAATCGCGCTTGCGAGTACGGACAACTTTTCAAGACCCCGAGAAGACGTTTATCGGGAACAAGAATGGTTGGCGGCGTGGGGCCGACGGCTCCTGGATCGGCAGAAGCATGGCGAGAGTGCAGAAACAAGGTGCCGTAACGTGGGACCGTGGGTGTGCGGATACCTTGACTGACGTTGTGTCTTTGGAGGCAGTTGGGTAGCTTATGTCGGACTTAAAGCGGTGTTCGGTGCTGGAGGTGTCCGCTGGCGATCTGGAGACAGATGCATGGGTTGCAGCGATGGCTTTCCAGCCATGAAGACTGATGTGAAGTCGGCACTTCAAATCTCAAGGGCTAAGAGCGGGCGTGCAGGTTGGGTGCTTCGGCAGGCCAGGCGATTGGGAAAAGGCTAATCGTGTTCGGTTGAGGCTGTTGACATGGTCGCTCGCTCGTACTATTACATCGGCATGTGTACTCCGTACGAGCGCCTAGGTAGTGTGTGGTATCTGCGAACGTGGTTGCAAAGGATAGGGGGCCACGGAGTCAGGCATCATCCATCCATGAGGTCGTTACCATGGTATCTTGGACGATTCGCGACCTATAGGATCTGCCGGCTGTGCCAAATGCTTGGTGCAGACCAGGGAACAGACAGATGCTGTGGTCAAGGAAGTGATGCACGTCTCTGAATCGCCGACGTAGATCTTGAGCCGCAGGTTGAAAACTTACGAGGCCTTGAGGGAGAAGACAACAGACTCTCGCATCGTGCCAAGCAAGCTAGTGTGGGCAGAAAGTGAAGCGGCAGCTGTGGTGAGAGGAACTGGGCGAGGCAGAACAGCAAGCTATGTCGCCGGGCACGGTGTGGGTTCGAAGCTCCTTCAACTCGGAGGCAAGCGGTATGCAGGTCGCAGATCGACGCCCAACAACTCAACGGCTTGAAACTCAGGGTTCGGCTGTGCTTCCGGCATAGGTATGCGCAGCAAGTAAATTGCCTTGGAGTCGCTTCCCCCGGCCTAGAGTTGGAGCAAACATCTGGAGTCGACATCAGACGGTGGCTTGATGTCGACCGAGCTGATTTCAAGTTGCTGGGCACGCCGGGCCTGGTTCATACGCTTTGTGGAACCCGGACATGTGGCCGTATGTGTACGGATACAGTATTATTAGAAGGGATCGGGAGAACGGAGACAATTGAATGTGTTGGACAGGACGGCCGACGGCGATGTATCCGCACGGGTAGGCGGAGGGATCCGTCAGAAGAAGAGAGGTTGACGATTGAGGAGGCACGGAGGGTCGGAGGAGGTGGGAGGTGACAGAAAGAAAGAACGAAGCGAGCAATTGCGATCCGATCCAGTCCAGTCCCATTCTCGCTCAAATTCCAGGTTGAAGTCCATTTCCAACTCCGGCTCCGGCTCCAGCTCCAGTTCCAGCTCTAGGTCCAGGGCCAGGATTGGGTTGAAAACTTGCGAGGTCCAAGATGGAAAGAACCGAGACCGAGAAAGCACGGAGATGTGGATGTATACGGAGGTACATCGGAGGATCTCCCTGTCAGAGGCAGGTATTTAGGCTGTTTCGGGGCTAGCGGGCTACGTACTTCATAGTACGTATCTTGACCCATTTTCCTTGTGCGGTGTCAGGAAGCAGGAGGAGGAGGACGAGGCTACCTCAAGGTAAGGTAGCACGCGGTTTTTAGAAGAAGTGGCACATATAGAGGCAACTATCAACTTCAACATAGAATAACAAAATAGAAAGTAAATTATTCAAATTTATTGAAAATGCTAAATATAGAACGAGTCTTAAAAGCATCTATTATACAAGTCAAAGAGTTACTAATCCATGATTCAATTCAATAAATATTAGATAAATTAGAGAAAGAAGTTGATAGCCGCCTTTTTGGTCAACCGAGTGCTTTGGCAGGTAGGTAGGTTCCTGCCTGCCTTATGGAGAAAGGTAGGTAGGTACCTCAGTCGCTCTCTACGTACTGCGTCTCCATCAGGTCATTCAATCACACGAGTGCCATCAGCCTGGAAGCACCCACGCACGACGGCACCCTCCCCCTACTTGCACGTTTCCGGTCGGTCCTCGGTGTCCTGAGATTATGGAAAGATGGCGGAATTTTGGGGGGAAGAGCCTACAATGTTCGGATACCGCGCGGATACCTTGATCCATTGGCGCATAAGGCTCAGTAGATTAGGCAAGTGCCGTCTGCCGAGTTCCATTGGCTCCAGCCGCCGATCTCACACAGTCAATCTCATCGACAGAGGCAGTATCTGGATATCATAGCTTACACGCATGCAAGGTACATTGCGTCCTCTGCAATGGTACCTCAGGCCACTATTGCGGCGTGACAGCGTTGCATCTCGCTGTTGCCAGTAGCGGAAAATTTAGGCATGGCCTGATGCCATGCGGAGGCGAGCAAAAAAGCGCCGAGGCAACTGATATCGAACTTGGAAGTGCCTCCTTGTCAAGCGTGAAGCCTCTAAAGTGAGGTACGTGGGAACAGAAGGAGAGCATCACGGCATCTGGTACCCAACCTAGGTAAGGTAGGTACAGATGTACCATATCCGTAGTTTGGATATCTCCCCCATTGGATGCGGAAGTACATCCAACCGTCCACCCGAAGACTTGAAGGTTTGAGCTCGAACCCGGGAACGTATCCGTACCTTTCCTGCTCAATCCATTGGCGAGACCCCGTGACCCGTGACCCCTTGGCGCCCTAGGTTCCCCACTTTCCAGTCGTCCCACTCAATGCCTCAGGCTTCAGGCTTCATTAGGGTGACAGCGACCCCGAAGTTCAATTGGGGACGTGGAGCGGGGAGCAGTGGCAGGCATTTCCCACTCACAGTGCTCGTCGACACCTCCCAGCGTCCAGTTCTGGCCCATCTCTGACCAACCCACGGGGACGATCTTGTCCATCTTCATCCCACTTGCAGCAGGCCTCCCTGCTGCTCCGCAATCAACCAAATGCCGACTTGTTTGTGCGCATACCGTAGCACCCTACTCCGTACGGCGAATGTAGCCGACGTGAATTGGCTTTCTATCCCAGCATCCGGCATCCAGCATCCAGCGTCGATATTGCAAAGTCCCTCTGCCCTTACACGGTATTCTTCGAGTACCAACGCTGGAGCCACTCCCTTTACCCAGGGCATTCGAATCATCCAATGGACCCAAGGGGGCAATAAGCCTCGAGGGACCGAGTTGATACCTCAACCGGCACGGAGCATGCCGTGCTATTCCTAGCACCACCATCACGTTCCGTCCTTCGCCCTTCCATCATCGACATTGACACCACCACCATCGCTTGGGGCCGAAGGGGGGGAGGGGGGGACAAACTCTGCTCGACTAACAAGGATCTTCCAGCATGGATGCCACTTGTTTCTATGCCGCCTTATCCCCAATGAACGATGATTCTGGTAGGAATACTATGGATGGAAGCTCTATTACCAGCGATAGCGATGAAGAGGCAAAAGGAGAGAAGGGGGTTGCAAGAAAACTCTTTCCTCCAAGCCATGACACTAAACACCGCAGCATCGCCAGAGCAGAACGCACAACGTTGAACCTTCCGCTCTACCTGCCATACTCACAGGCTAGAGCAGACACTGCCCTCGTCTGTTCCGTTTGGGGCACAAACCATTCCGTTCTCACCTGTCGTCTCTTGTTTGCTCGTTTGAGAATGGCCTGATTTCGTCTGATTAATCAAAACGAGCTATAACCATATGACTCTCTGCTTGTTGCTATTCTTGACATACTCTCAACCAGCTCAGCCCGGGGCCCGGGCACGAAAGGACCTGCGACTGCCAGACAAGCTTGGCTCCCGCTTTACTTCCTCTGCACATGCGGGACATTCGGAGTCGAGACTCCCAACTCTACCCCTCAGACGAACACTCATGAGCAGAAATGCTTCTTCTATGCTTCTGTCTTGCCGCCATATCCCCGGTCTCTAATCATATTGGAGCCCAGGGCCGGCAGTCAGCCACCGCAAGAAGCCTGCCGGAGACGTTCTCGAAACTGTCGTAGATGAACTAGCACAAGCAACACCCACGACTGGCTTTTCACAACTGCCACCTACCTTACCTTACTCTGGAGCGTATGCTCTTCGTCGCCTGGCGACGGCCAGTCTTTCACGGGCAGCCACAGAGTAGAGGTCCCCGATGCCTAGGATTAGGTAGCGCCTCCGCAGGGAGGTAGCCGCTCCCTTCCCGCGAGACACAGCGCGCCGTCTCCACTGTACGGATACACGCGACAACCGTCCACCAACAGTGACGGTGCCAGTGTACGGTGCCATGGCTCAACACTCCCGTGCAGCAGCTCGGGACTCGGAGTCGAGGCCTGGTCCTGGCAACCGCCAGAACCCCTGGTTCTGTCACTGGCGATGAGCTGCGCCTGGTACGCAATACGCAGTCTTTACCCCCAACGCACCGTGGCTTTTGGCTCGCCACTCGCCTTCCCCCCTTGATGCTTCTCCAATGACATCGGGCTGTCACGTCACCGTGCCCATCATTTTTCGTCAACGACCAGGCGCCGTCCATCCTTCAAGCCAACCATTCAGCGCGGGCTTCGAGGCGATGCCGCTAAGAAAGAAGCTTGAACTCGAACGGTTGCTGCCCAAATCTAGTTTCGGTTGCCTCGCCACGACTCACCAGTTTTCTCCAAGCGAGTTTTCGCATCCCGGTAGTTGCCCCATGCACTTGTTGGCGGTACACAACCAGCCTGCTGTGGAAGTCCGTCTGGTTCGCCGCCCTCTCGCCGACCGACGCCGCCGGTAGAACGGCTGAGCTCCCCTCTCCCGCCCTGGCTTGATGCCGCGCATACTTCTCATCAGACATGAGAATGGAGCATGTCTCACGGCCCGGGACCTGCGTCTCTAGAAGCTACCATCACTCCAGTTCCAACCCCCAACCACGGTATGAACCAATGCGGTATTGTGCACTCCAACACCTTGCTATGCGAGACCCTTCGAGGCAACATTCGAGAGGCGAAGGGTACGCAGCATAACGCAGCCTACCCAGATGCGGGCGATATCATATTACGAACACGAAGCGACTGGCAAAGCTATTGGGAGTCTGGAACTCAAGTAGCCCATGAGCATTGTCTCACATCAACCGGTACTTGCTTGTGGGAGGCTAGTGCGCACCACTTGTGCAACTCAAACTGTGATAATACTTTCGGCACGGACGTTGTCATCAATCATCGCATCCACACGCCCACGAAAGCCGCAGGCCTTTCGAGTTCCACGGGTCCTGAGGAACTACACACCCCTGCCCGGCATCCTGGCCGTCCCGATTCCCCGCCGATGTTTTCCCTTTGGGCCTTTGTGAACAGACGGGGACTGGAACAGACCGGCCAAGGATAACGACCCTGGCCTTGGACGACACAGTTCCAACCTTGACTCGAGTCCATCTCCTCGAAATCCTACACAGTAGCACCGCATTGCTCCACGGCCCCAGTATCCCAAGCATGTGGACCAGGCCACCACGCAGCAGGAGGGATGAGCTAGCGTTGTCCGAGTCTCGCAGATTTCTCGACGCCATTGATGAGAGGCACCTGTAAGACTTTGACGCTCACGCCAACATCACAGTTGCCCTTAGGCCCTGGGAAACCACCCGTCCCGCTCAACCAAGACATCCATGCCCTCTACGGCGCACATTGGCACACAGGCAAGCCGCCACCGCGGCGCCGCCTCAGGCTTGAAGTTATAGACAAGCAGCAAGCCATGTCTCTGCCTCGTGCCTCACGCAACGGACAGTGTCCGAAATCCTGGCCCAGGAAGACCCTTGAGAGGCCCTGGCGCGTCTGGCCGCTCCAACCTTTTCTGTCCAAGCTAAATTGGGCTTGCGGGGTGATCAATCACCACTGATCCCCATCTGCCACTTGTCACTTGCAGCAGGATGAACGATGTACCAATTCAACCTTCAGCGTTCCCCTCGCCATCCGTGGCTTATTCTTAGCACCGTCCGTTGCCTTTGACCTTGCCTTTCTGAAGGCGTTTGATCAGCTCCTTGAAAGGAAAAAGACAGGACGACAGACACTGGCGAGGTGCACAGAAGCTCACCCACACCCCGTACCCCGTTGCAGGGATGCCTGCACTACTATACAGGAAATGCTGATCCGTCCCGGCCCCAGCGCGCTGGTGCGTGGGATCAGCTACCTCTCTGATACCAGACCGTCACTGCTTTGATGTATCTTCCATCCTCCCGCCGACGGTGCAGGCAGAGGGAAGTGTAGAGATTGCTTGTCGAGAGGCGGCCTTATTATCACAAGAACGGTATCTGCTAATTGGCTTCCCTCTAAGCCTCTCAATTTCGCGTCTCTTTCTCGAGGATCAAGGCCTTGTGGCGGTACAAGCCCATCGGACTTGTTTTGCATTGTCTTCCAGAAAATCATATTTCGCCGACTATACGTCCGTACCTTCACAGCTATTTTCTGAGATTATCGTTACTACTACCCACCCGCCTTACGACGACCATCATATCACGGGCATCTCCATGCTCCTCCCCATCGGCCACTATCACCCCTGAGTCCTTGACCCTTTTGTGTTACAATACGGGCCCCGAATCTTGCCATTCTTTGAGCAGTTTTCACTCTGGAGTCGCCAAGCAATATCCAGCCATCCAGCACCAGCAGGCTGGATAAGATAAGCTTTGCTGCCTTCACACATCAAGCGAAGCCTACAGGAGCAACATCAGCACAAGTCCACTTGAAGCTGTTCTCTGGCTCTCATTACCAGGTGTCATCCGCCTGATACATTCTACCCCGGCGGCCCAAAGTTCCAAAATCAAGAGCTCGACAGCCGGCTCCGGGAAACCGAACCCCCCCCCCTTGAAAGACCAGACGTTGACTAATACGCCGAGACGTCCTGGGCCACTTGCGCACCTCAAATCTGGTTCCCGTCTTTTTCTCAAGAGTCAAGACCACCAACTGTACCACATCTCCTCCTCCTGGCTCCCAGGTACCGGTTCCGTTACTGGCCGATCCTACCCCGGGAAAGGAACGTGGAGAAGTAGACTTTGGAAGGAGGCGCATTTGTTGCCGCATAGCGGTTTCGTCGGCTTTGGGCCTGTCAAGGTCGTCACATTCCACCCTGCCACTGGCAGTAACGAGCTCATCAGACCCTTGCAACATCACGTTTGCTGCGTGGCCGGTGGACACAATCGGCCGTATTCTTTTGCGGCAACGTGCAGAATCCCGCTGCTACAAAGCCCCCCCGGCCAATCTCAGCCCCTAGCCAAAAGCCCGGAGAGGAGTCTCGAATTGGTCAACAAGCGTTCGACAAGCACTCGGAGCACGACAAGGCGGTGCGAGGACCCTAGTTCGGATACTAAGCCTTTCCGTTGACACAGGGCCTTCGAAGCCATCCAACGCCTCGCGTTTGAGGAACCTGCCAGCAGCGGCTGCTTGTACGAACACATCACTCTTACCTTGCTTGTCCTGCCTGCGCCAGTCCATCTACACCGTTCGGAGAGATAAAACGACTGTCGGTGATTTGGTCCTATCATTGAATTATGCTTATTGTATCTTTGTGTAAGCAATAGACGCAACACGTGCTTGACCGTTGCAGAAAACCGTGGACAAGCCGCTACGTCGACGCGGAACACCACCTCATAGCCCGCAAACATTCCGACGTCCATCAATAGCAGTTTAGCGAAACGGTCTGGAACACAGAAGCTTGCCTTGTAGTCTACCGTCAAGTTTGGTACGTATGCCACTTGTTTCATTTGTCTCGGTTCCTCCCCGTCTGAAGCCGGAATATGTCCTTGTTCCAGTCCAAATCACCAAACCGCCTCTTCACCCGGCCCGGGTATCGGCTAGTCGCTCGCCCTCAACCTCGAATGTTAGCTAGCACATCAACGGACATTATCTTATGCCAGATTTTATGACAAGATCGGAACGCGGTTGCGTGGCCAAGACTATGCTTGCCCAAATACCCAAGCGACTCCTCGTGGCCGGTCGCAGCGAAATCCCCCCAATGATCATTGTTCGATAGCTCCCGACGAACGTCTTAGCGGCCCCTTCTCACCAAGCGCATGTCCATCGTCCCGGCTGGTTATGGTCGGCTCGTCTATCGGCTGTTCTGTTGCCTCCAGCCTGGTCTCGCAGACACAAGAATGCGAGACAAGGGACAGATGCAAAGGGGAAAATGGAAGCGACCTGGACCAAATTGGACCATCTGCCCGCTGCTGCAAAAATTGCTGGGAGGATTCTCGATGCACATCATGTCCTAAAGTAGTCGACCTCAGCCCACAGCACCAAAGTGTCAGTGGTACAACCCGAAAGAATGCCGGTCGATTCTCAACAGCTCCAACAGCAAGTCTCCTGCAATTGAGTGCAGAAGCGGAAGAGCTTCCTGCAGATTTTACCTTAGCAAGCCAACCGAACCAAAGACGGGCTGCCTACCCCCATCCACATGGCATCTTGCCCCAAAGCCCTCTTCTCCCCCCCCCCCCTCCAAGCCCAGATGAGGGTTGCATAAGGGCAAATTTGATGTCCATACGTACGTGCCTCTGTCCTGGAGCCCGTTTCCTCTGGATGTTGTAGCGGCTTCTCCTGTCTTGGTACGGCCCACATGTTGCAAAATTCCCGACGAGGGAGCTCGACGCGTGGTACCCACGATCATACAAGTCAAGCCATATCGACTTATCAGCCCCCTTTAACCCGAATCCTTGTCTTGGGGACCATCAACATTCACGTTCACGTTCGCGTTCCCCCTGCTTCTTTGCCCAAGAGGTTGAGAAAAGCACCCCAGCCGAGTCCAAGTGGGCTTGTTCGGCGGGAAATGCCATTGATTCGCGGCACAGCGACCTTATTTTCGAAGCTGTTGCCGATTCGCCATTACCAATTCTTGGTGTCGACGCTTGGAGGCAGGGATCATGGGGTTTCCTGGCGACTTGTCCGAGGTTCATGGACCCCCTGCTCTCTTGAACCGGGACCCTGGCATCCCAGCAGCGCCCACTCTCCAGTCGAAACACGTTAGTTACTTTGGTTGATGAGCATCTTCCACAGCCCTGTTCTCCCTCCTTGCTTCCTGGGCCCAGCGGCAGCAGGGATTCCGTCCAGCCCTCCACCACTCTCCAGAGATAATATTTCCGATTCTGCTTTCAACGCGCGGAGAGCCCAGGATCCAGTCCAGACCTGATGCCTTGAGGGCACCGCAAACCATTGTCACCAAAACCTCCGGCGGTGTTGTACCCGTCGAGTGACATGACGGCCCAAGACCACCATACCTTGCCTTGCCTTAGCCTCCCTGGTCCGTCTACCTTACCCGCTTACTCGTTGCTCTGACTAGACGCCGCTCGCTATTAGTCTTTTACATTTCTGCCACCATCCCGCAGAGCCACACGGCTTGCCATTCTTTACATTTCTCTTCCCTCCGGCCAAGCTACAACTGCTGTTTGTTTCCCCACCGGCATCCTTCGTCCACACTTGCTTGGTTTCTTGCTTGCTACTTGCTTGGATAGCACTTCAGTCGACAGCCTTCTCGACGGATAACGAATAGTGTACCCGCTAACCAAGCTGTTGCGTAACAGATGCCGGTTGTTGGTAGCGTCTTCAACAGCGGTATCAGACAGCACGGCAGCCGTGCCTCTTTCTCGCCTTCTCTGCGGCCCTGTACTGGGAAGGCGGAGCTCAGACAAGCAAGCCATTGGGCATTGGAGATCTAGGCGGCCTGGGGTGACACAGAGTTACAATACAACGGGTACGCTTCAACATCGCCGAAGATAAACGGTGTGCGCTCCTTGCTCAGACGCGGAGAGATACGAATCCTGAGTGGGCCCGAATTGCTCAACATACAGCACTCATTCTCCTGTAGGATACCACATCCTGTACCAAAGAGACTGTCTGTCTACACATTGTCTCGAGATCCTGAGCCGAGCGTTGAGTCCAGTGCGGCAATATACCCTCCGCCAGCCTCGACAAACCGTCTGTATGTTCGTGGAGCATCGTTTGCCCATTGTCCACCGTCTTGGGGAGCCCGTGGAGTCTCCTTTGAACCAGACTCGCGAGCACTGGTCTGTCGAACAGAGTTCCGCCATGGCTGCGTCGTCGCACAACCCATATCCACGATCTCCTAATCCCTCCACCAGGTCGTACGACTCATCTTCAGTCTCCTCTGCCACATCTCCAAGGCAACCTGCCCAGTACATACCGCGAGGTATGATGAACACTGGAGCGAGAACAACTACGGCACCACCACCTCAGCCCATTGGCATTCCACCCTTACCACCGATGAACCAAAACGTCTTCACGCCCTACACACCGGTGACTGGTGGCTCAATGATGGGTCGCGACTCGCTACCCTCGACCGATTCCGTGGCAAGTACACCTGGCCCGTCGACAGCTTCACTACCCCCGATTTCTCAAGCCCAGAAGCGGGCGTACAGGCAGAGAAGGAAAGACCCGAGTTGCGACGCATGCCGCGAAAGGAAGGTTAAATGCGACGCCACAGAGACGACGAGTTGTTCAGAGTGTTCAAGTCGTAATGTCAAGTGCCAGTTCACAAAAGAGACTAATCGGCGGATGTCCTCGATCAAGCAGGTGCAGGACCTAGAGAAGCAGATGGAGCGTTTACGGCGGGACAACAGCAACTTGAGAAGAATGCTCCAGGAGCGGGACGGGGCGATGGACGTTGATCCGGATGGCCTCGAACAACTACCTCTCCAGCTACCAGAGGTCGGAACTCACCCCAAGCGAAGAAAGCGGCCTGCCGCTATTCACGATCTAGCACGTGCAAGATCGAATATGCGCATTTTCTCTCGGGGCATCTGGAAAGCACCTGTCCAGTACCGCCAGGCACCTGCGACGCCATTGTTCGACCCTCAGAGACCCGAGCTGCCTCCGAGGCAGACGACTGAACAGCTTCTACACGCGTACTATGGCTCCGCACACACCATGTTTCCTATTCTTCACTGGCCAACATTTCAGACGGGGGTCGACGATCTTTACAGAATCGGGAATACGAAATCAGTGCAGCCAGCGTGGCTATCAACGTTCTTCGCGGCTCTAGCACTTGGTAGTCTCTTCAGCCAGGATCCCCATCGCGCATTTCGGGCAGCGGAACTGTTGGAAGTTGCTAGAGGCATGATTGACCCGTGGAACAACGACTATGTTCTCGACAATGTACGCACAGTGCTCCTCATTATACTGTGCCTCAACGAGATGAATCAAAAATCAGCTGCCTGGACATGGCTGGGAACGGCAGTGCGAGCTGGTCAGGACCTGGGGTTGTACTCGGAATCCGGACCGTGGCCTGTTATCGAAGGCGAAATGCGCCGGCGGGTATGGTGGACGACTTACATCCTGGACAGGAGTCTGGCTCTTGATCTTGGACGACCGGTGTTGATCGACGACACTGACTGCGACGTCTCGCTTCCTGCCGGCGTGGACGACCACTACATTCACGAGGGAGGCATTATGGTGCCTCCTGGCCGCGAGCCCCTGAATCACTCCCTCCTTGCTCTGATTAACGTCACCAGGTCATACTCTTTTCTGATCAAGACGCTGGTTGCCCCTATCGTGGCGCCCACCAGGCTCGCAACCTTCGATCACCACTTCACCTCCTGCCAGCAAGCTTTCCCCCCAGAGTGCAAGACATCCAGCACAGGGCAAATATTTCCTCACCTCTTGACGCCCTATATCTTCGTTCTGCACGCTCGTCTCGCGTTACACCGCCATAATCTTGCTCCGACCTGCCCGTTCGATGTACGTCTGGCCGCCATGGACCAATGCAATAACACGGCTCTTGACACAGCGTCCCTCCTCTCGCGCGCTACCCCGGCCCTTGCAGACGGTGCCACGGCCCTCCTCACTGCCCATACCTTCCGCTGTGCCCTCTTCCTCCTCCTGGCGGGACACTGGGACCATGCAACGACGTGCCTACGTGCACTTGCAGCCATTGACTCGAAACGCGATGTTGCCATCCCATGTGGCCGGTTCCTCGCCTTCTTCGTGTCTACACTAGGTACCAAGCGCGCCGAGTACGCCGCATTTATCGCCCGCACGACACCTCCAAAACCATTCGCCCCGCCTCCTCCTCCTCAGGGCCGTCCCGGACCTACCCCGCTTCAGGAGGCACTGATGCAGGATGAAGAGCTTCTAGCGTATGTCAGTGCCGATCTGCAAGCAGCGCCAGACTCGGCCTGGGTCTGGGCCGGAGGCGAGCGCGAGGCCATCCTCTCCCCGACTTCCCCTGGGTCGATTATAGCTTCTGGTGGCGCCAGCAGTGGTCTGTTTAGTGCAGAGCAGCGAACCGGGTTGAGCGAGGAGGAAGTTAAGGAATGGGGAGGATGGGAGCGCCTCGAGGCGGCCATACGAGGCCTGGCCTCGGGCAACACAACTCCCACGCCGACATCCGCCACTTGGATATCTGCTTTGCCCGCCGGGATGAAGAACGAAGACACGCCAACGTTGCCGAGCATGATACCAGGCGGCGGCGAGGGGAGCAGCGCCCATAGCCCCACGACGAGCACCAAGGGCCGGCCCCAGGACAGGTTGAGCATCGCCAACATCATTTAAGGAGAGCTCGATCTAGGACAGCACGGGGCTGACCGGCGGCTCGGAACCTTATATCGATGGAGTCCCCCAGGAGCTGCATAACAATGTTTCTTGATGTTTAATTACATCAGAACAAACAACAGGCAACACATCATGACTGTTTACGAACGTCACGGAAATGAAGCCATGTAGACCATGTTCAAGTCCACGAACGGGTTCTTATCATTATGGTCCCACGACAGTAAGCCGGACTCGAAAAGCGACTCCGATGTACGATAATGCGTTGGCAACGAGGCTCTACCATGTCTCACTCGACTTTCTCTCATCAGCTTCATTTTCTTACAAAAAGATTACTTTGCTCGAATCATTCCAATTTTCTCTCTCTCATTGGAATCCCCAAATTCTGAGCGGACGTAGCCATACAGGCCCCCTTCAGACCATTCTTTAACACCTTAATGTCTGCACTGTCTTAAACAGCAAGGGTGAGAAGGAGAGGTACGGAAGTTGAGCCAGAAGCGCTTTTCCTGGTTGTTCACTCCCTTATTTGTTCATGGCCCGGTTCGCTGGAAGACGGAGCCTGGTAAAAATGAGTTGTATACTCTCTCAAAAAGAAAAAGAGAAAAAAAGGCTCCAGCATAGGGTTGGTTTGCCTAACGGGCGCGGCACAGCCAGGAGGCGCAGGGTAGGGAGTGGACGGGGAAGAGGCCGGGCCTTTTTTTTCCCCTTTGGTGCAATGCCCAGCGAAGAGGATGAATTGGGGCTGAGTTCGGTCTGAATTGGGGTTTCATTTTATTGACATTGTCTACCCACATGGTGGCCTACCATATTCTGCTGGCTTTTCGTTTTCCACCACTTTTTCTTTTTTTGTTGCTCAATCGCACGCTTGCTAGGAGGGTTGTACGGGTAATTTCGGGAAAAGGACAAGGGTCATGCCGCCTAAGCTTTTTTTTCTCTTTTTTTGCACATAGGATTTTTTATGAACAAACGAAGCAAGAAATGAGTCTGGGGAACTCGCAGAGGCATGGTACTCGCGGGTTCTTTTTACTATAGACCACGATGAACATCACTTTCCTCCCTTGGGGTGGGGGGCCTTTTTTTTGGATTGTGAAGAATTAGTCAAGAGCTGGAAAGATTGGATGGCTTCTTGATTTAAACGGGAGCTACAAGTGGAAGCGAGCAGATTGGGACTTACCACGAGACCAAGCTTCATAATGACGGCGACTTTCCGGGCTACGACTGACGAGCAGTTTTGCGAATCCCAAATGGCTGGCTGATGGCGATTCGGTTACAGAGATGCCGCGAAGAGCTTCGGAAAAAAGGTCTCGGGGGGAGGTTCATTGTCTTAGTGTATGGCACTTGGCTGCGGACACGACGAGGCTATGGAAACCCCATCGGATCGCGCATCTGCAAGGCCTACGACCGTCGAGAACACCAACTGTCAGAATCGCATTATCGGCCAGCCTGTTTTGCCTGCAACCATGAATGGGTTTTTCGGCGGCGACTCCGTCCATCTCTTGGCACACCACGCTCTGATACCCTGAGGTGGCTTGTCAAAGATCCCCCCCCGTTCAGCGCCTACGATAACTCCAATCGTTGCCTGCCCTTGATTGAGGCGGTCTATAGAGTAGCTTCTCACACTTCTGACAGAGCCGGTGACACAGGTGTTGTCACACCAGGGGCAAGTGACTGTTTGTTGGCTACACTAAACTTCACTTTGAACCGAAGTGTTGCGCGTCCCTCTGCTTCTTGAAGAGACTTGGATGAAGTTGATACAGATTCAATCGCACCAATCCTTCAGCGGCTGCACTGTTCCAAACCCCTGTCTTGTCTCGCACCGACCCCACAGTTGGGCTTCACTGCGTATTTCTTGTTTGTCGAGAGGCTGGGTTTGGTGTTGCCCTGTAGATGGTGCGCTGCGACGGCGCGTGGGGTAGACGAGTTTGACGCGGGTGACAGGCTGTCCCGTAGCATGCTCGACTCGACTGCCACCCGTCCATAGGTAACCCAAGATGGAGCGGGGGGTTGAGGATGGGTAAACAGGGAGCGTGGGGAGTCTCCCCGAAGAGAAGCAGAGATGGATGGAGAAAGGGAGGTTGGGGTTGTATCGTCTCTCCCCGTTAGGATGAAGAAGGCTCAGATACCCCCCCTCCCCTGGTAGAGAGCTCGTAGATGATGCTACATGGCCACTCTGGTCTCTAGCAAAAGGGCCGCGATCAAACTAGTGAGCATCACCCTCCTGTTCTACCCGCGATGGTGCCCTAGCTAGTGATCGAGTCTCACGGTCGTGCGGGAACCGGAAGCAGATGCGTGTCATACATGACGCAACGATGGACGGGAAACCTTTCTTTATCTCAAAGTCAAGTTTTCCCGGGAATGGGTGTGATGCTGCATAGGCTTGATTGTCAGCAACAGTCTTCGAGTTCCCTGGCTTGGGTTTTGCCTACATAGCCTCAGGCCTTTGTTGGTGCAGCTCAAGTTGCCGCAGCTGTACATCTCGAAGTCATATCCACAAGTCCACAAGCCTCTCCAACGCGAAAAGTATAGAGACTGGCCGTTTTTTTTTTTTTTTTTTTTTTTTAAATTTTTTTTTTTTTTTTTCATTGGCCAATCCGCCCCCCCCCCCCCCCCCCCCCCCCCCCCCCCCCCCCCCTCCTTTCTGTCAGGTAGAGTGTGGTGGGTTGTTGTTTTTTTTTTTTTTTTTTTTTTTAACGAATTTCTCAGTCATTTACAGCGGCCAATCCCTCCGCCCCGGCTGGGCTCTTCCGCCCGCCTTTTGGCGGAGACTCGCTAATAAACGAGAATGAACCTCATGGTCCATTCCTTCAATCCCCTCCCCCTCCCCCTCTTCCAACTTCCGTGCCCAGGGAATGAAAATCCGCTAGTTCAAGTTGGTGATCCGCGGGAACCCGGGCCGGCGATCATGGAGGGAGGGATTACCGGGTTGATGCCAGAGGATTTTGCGCTCCGGGATGGTTAGGTCAGGCACAACCTTCTTTGACTGAGCCGTGGCCTGGACCCTGGATCATCAACATCAACGCTCTGACCCCCTTGGGGCTTTGTTTAATGATTGTGTTTTACAGGGTCGCCTAGGCTGTTTCCGTTATCGAGTGTTTGTGTATCCCCGTGGTGGGGGCGAAGGTTCCCAAACTCTTGTACGATGGCCTGGCGTGTTGCGAGTGTATTTCCCCGCGGACTAGTTTGCGCGTCGCGAAACGTGAGAGAGATGATGATGATGGGTACAGTAGGCCCATGCTTTGCCAGGGTTAATCAACACTCCTCTTCGCCATCTTGACTGAATTGCGCCCGATGCCCTGAGACATCAATTGCTATGTTCATGTGCAGCGGAATCGGGGGTTCTGGGCATTTGGTTGTCGCATGCTCGTGTCAGTGATGATTTGTACTCCATGGTGAGGGTTTCGCGCTTGTTCGTGTGGTAGACCAGAGGGGCCATGATGTCTGGATCTTTTGCAACAACTTTCCATTGCTTCTGGTTCATGCATGTGTTCAACATTGGTGCAATAGACTGCTTGTCCGTACTTGGTCGTTCGTTCTCTCATTGAAAGAACAGACGAGCGCGATGGCGAGAGAAATCTTCTTCAGGTCCCCAAAAAAAAAAAAAAGAGATAACCCGAAGATTGGCTTGGACAATCGCGGTGAGGATTTGAGCCTCACGCGGGGGTCGAACCCGCAACCTTGAGATTAAGAGTCTCACGCTCTACCGATTGAGCTAGCAAGGCGGATTATTATCAATTATTGATAGTTTGGCGAAATTTGCAATAATAGTAGCCTCAGCAACAGGGCCCTCTGACTCGTGCAGCGATCCAACTTTCCCCCACTGTCGGATGGACTCCACCGCATCAGGCAGAAGGTCTACCAACTTCTCAACCACGATAAGTTCAACAACGATAACGTGTCACATCAATCAGCACCGACTCCCTGCCCGGATATGAACTTCCCCGTCTCTATCTAACCTATTTATAGGCTTTCGACTTCGGTATAAGGTAGATAGGGAGGTGGAAATGTTCCCTCGCAGGCTGATTAAGTAGACCGTCAGGATGGCCTAAATCGGGGTTGGTAATTCGACGCCCGGTGACCAGAAGCGGAGGGACCTGACGTATTTGCTTAGATAATTACTTAAAGTAAGCACTAGAGCGGACAATGATAGGGAGGAGCAGGTAGAGTTTAACAAGATCATGAAGGGGGACGAGGTTTAAGGAGGAATACAGCTGTCACGTTCAGACCGTTAGTTCCTAATCAACCTCTTTAAGTAGGCTTGAGCGACCTTCGTGGGGCAACGTCTCCGACTTCCTTCACCAAGTTAGGGATACTTTGATCCTGGCTAGGTTGTTTTACTGGCAGCTAGGCAGTTTCTTAACTAGCGAAGCTAAATCGCCGACTCTGGCCTTCAAGACAGCCTTTCCTCCCTAATTGCAAGCTTTCGGTACTATCCCCCCTTCTTTCCCACCTATTTTAAGCTCGTTTAGAGAGGTCCTTCGACCCCCCTCTCCTTTTCATCAGGATCGAAGTATCCCTTACTCGGTAAAGGAAGTCGGAGACGTAAGTCTACGAATGTCGCTCGAGCTTACCTTACTTAAACAGGTTAGCTAGCTAAGCTTCCAAGCCCTACATAGTCTAATAAAACCGGCTTAATCCCCCATTCCCAGCCTTACTAAACGGCCCAGCCTTATTCTATAGCGAATATACTTAAGATAATAAGAGATTTTTGATAAGGGATTCTTTAAAAGTTAAGGAAGCTACTTATTTTAGTAACTTAGTTCTAGCGTTATTTAGGCTAGTCTTAGGTATTAAATAAAAGTCGGGCTAAGCTATTAAATAAAGCTCTTATTTATTAAAAGGAAAAAGGCGGAAAGATAAGGAGTAAGGGTCGGTAAGTATATTAATATGGATATAATGAAGGAGAAGACCCCCCTAAAACTAACGTTTTAAAAGTAGCTCGACCGAGGGCTAACAAATTAGAGCAGGGAGAGAGGCGGCGGGGGCGAGGTCGGGCACGCGGCTGCGCCTCGTGCCTCCGTGCCTCAATATGACCCTTCGTACCGAAGGTCACCGGATCAAGACGCTCTCCAGCTGGTCTCATGCTGCGTTACTAGAGAATCCAGAGTCCTCCAGTCCCTTAAGCTGGTTCTCTCGTCCACGATACTGATTAACTGGATTAGTAATCTCTGTTGATCAGCGAGGAAAGGCATAGCGGTTCTACCATTTTGCAAAGGGATGTTGAGTCTAGAACCTAGCAGCAGGACCAAAGACACATTTATGACGATCCAGAGACCGACACATCCGGATTGAGCAGTAAGCGTCCTTGCAGCCTGCTTTCTACATCTTCATATATCTATTACGCTTGAGGACTTGCATCTTGTCCCTTGATGACAAATTCCCGTATATGATAGTCCTGTCTGCCTCTAGTTGCTGGATTCGGTGGTCAATCTACTGTTTGGCTTTCGTCACCGAACTTGAAGAACCACCATGACCGCACGCGCTCCCTGCCCGCGTCTATAATCTTCCATTTGATCACTCAAGAGTTTCACTTTCCCTGATTCGTCAAGCGCGGTGACCTTTTCCTTATAGCCATTCTTCTCCCATACAGCCTCGTACACCGTCGAGATGATGAACCCACCAGGGCGAACAATCCTCACAAACTCGTCAAAAGCATCGGGCCCCACATGGCCTTCGGTCATTGTACCGACGCAGACAACCACATCGTAGGACCGCGGGGCCTGAGACAGCGGCCGGGATAGGTCGGTAGTGCTCAAAGACTGGTATGCGCCAGATCGCTCAGCGACCCGCAACATGCCTTGACTGAGATCTATCCCATCTATCTGCGTCGCCCCGAGCTTGGCCAGATTGGCCCCGACGAGGCCTGTTCCGCACCCAGCGTCCAGGATTTTCGACTTTGCAATTGCGGATGGACCGATATACTTCACCACGTGCTCGCTGGCAATGACTGGGGCGACATAATCTTGGTCCGCGCCAAGTAGGTCGCGATTGTAGTCTTCGGCCCAGTCGTCGTACAAGGATTGTGCCTCTGCGGTGCTGGTCACTTTCAAAGCGCGTTGAATCGACATGTTGGAGAACGACGATCGGCAATTACCTCTTTCCCGGTAGATGGTCGAAGGCGAGAGCGGAGTAATGTCGATGAAGAACTAGGGTTGAGGATGGTGACTAGAAATGCTCTACTTCCTCCAAGGCTTGAAAAGATGGATTATTATCAAACAACACTTTGAGCCAAGCGAGGATAACGTTTGCGTAACGCATTCAACAGGATAGGTATACTACCCTATGCTGATTGGCGCTGCCTTTCACCCAAGCACGTGTTGAAGGCGATCGACAACTTTCCCCTCAAGTAAGGATCACTCATAGGTCCTTTACTAATCCGATGGCTGATTATTTAGCATGTCCCCCAATCTGGAGGGCTGAATTAGCGCCACGGTGTGGCTGGTTTCTGCCGGGGACAACTGGCTCTCATTCCACCGGTCCCTCGGACTTTCGGAGTATGCGGGGTCGGTCTGTTCGTGGCTTTTACTAGACACCGCTTAAGGACTTTCGCATTTTGCGACAAGATGACGACCTAAGGGCGGGGATTGGGACTTTGTTTTCTTTATTTCAATTGGAAATCAATCACATGTGTCTCTCTTCGAGAGCAAACGTGGCGCGAATGCCGGAGCTATAAGTACTACAGCCATGCTTCCTGGTGCAAGCTAGTCGTGCTCCGTGCTGTTCACAAAACATTCCAGTTTTCGTCCTACCTCAATAGGCCTATTCTTGTCCACTCCAAGTTATTCCCTGCATCTTGGTCACAATCCTGTTTGAGATTCCATCACTCACAACCATGCCTGTCTACCCAAGAAACCAAAGACCCCTTCAAGCGGCCTTGGCAGCGGATAGGCAGCGTACTCTGGAAAAGGCCAAGATCAAGGCTGCAATGGCCGAAAAGACAGAATATGCCTTTGGCGATCGCAACGACCTTCAAAAATACGACACAATGGATGTAACTGGTAATACCAGAAAGGCCAGGAATTGGCTCAGCGGCCTCCACAGAACTTCACAGCCTACCAGCCGCACATCGAAACCTCACACATCGGACTACCAAAGCCTGTGAAGAGCAGGCTCTCTCTAGCGGTCCAAACATCGACCGTTGAACAACCCTTGATATAATTTGCAACGTCCGCCATCTTTACAGATTTCCGGTATTTCATTATCGGACAAGAATCAAGTTTGCCATTGCAAACATTCGATGGCCGAACCCTGCACAACCAACCTGTACACGAATCTTTTCAAGGCAACGAAGGCACCATAATCAGTCATCTACACAACAAGGTAACCCGCCGTGGGTACCTGATAGTGAACACGTGGAGATTTATTCAGAACGAAAGGAGGCACGCAGAATCTCTCTGAGAGCGAAATAATGGGTGCAGCGGGATGAATTATGAGGGCATTGAGAATTTGAAATGATTTTGATCGTATTCATGTCGCGAACATAAATACTAGCTGCCAGGGTTACGGGTGGTGCTATCAACTGTTGATTTGTCGTACAGGAGTTACGGGAAAGAGGCTTGGTCCAGGGCGTTGGTGTGGGAATTTTCGTTGCCGCCTTATTATTTATGCTCAAATGTCGAGTTTTCGTGGGATGAAATTGGGAGTGTGGAAACAAACCTGATCGAAATCTCCAAGAACACGTCCTCTGTGAAGACCTAGAGTTTCTAGCACGTGTAGCTGTTTGCTTGGCATTGAATAAATTTCAATTTTGCGTCACCCAGTGCCGTTGCTGGCAAGCCCGAAGTTTTCCACGAGCGTCCCTCGAAATTTCCCTTTGTTCGCATGCCGGAGACGATGAACAAAGTTCTTGATCTACTGCCTCAAGATCCAGCCAGTTTATAGTTTCATACGTCCAGACAGTTTGGTCCGAAGGCTTTTCAAGATGAGAGTTATGCGGTCTTTACAACACCCTCTTTCCAATCAATGACAGAGTTTAGTTGCGTGAGAGTCTCTCATATCTTTGGAAAAACCTACGGTCATTTCAGTGGACTAATAAGAAGGCCGTTTAAGCAGCTCAGTTGAAAATGGATTTCGCTGATTGCCCGAAAGTCCCCTCCCGTATCTGACGTCTACCTTCCGGGTCAGTTTCTGACTCTCTACACGTCCATTTTTAAGTTGCATTCAATCCTGAACACTATCTCGACAAATTTCTTGGCCGGTACCCTCGCTTTTAATTGAAGGAAGAGACTTGTGAATCGAGTTCTGCTGTCTTTGTCGGCCCAACATGCAAAACCGCTGACCCCTCGTAGAGCGTCATAAAAGACCACTCTAGATTTATGCGATGGCGCTCCATGAAGAATCGATCCTCTGATGGAACACCATGTTAATGTTTAGGTGAAAAAGTGACCAAGGCCATAAGAACATATCTAATCACTCGCACAAGCACATCTCATAACTCTTGATAGTCCCTTCCTCGAAGGATGCTCTCTTTCGTCAAGTCTTCTGCAAGTTCAATCAGCGTTTTGCGTTAATAATAAAGCGGCTCATGGCTTCTTACCTGGTCTTGGCGACAGCCAGTTCTCGGTCCAAAACTCCATCGGGCGCGAAATGCTCATAAAAGCCCCTAATACTATTGCCAACCCCTTCCCGCCCCAACATCCTACCGATGCTCTCTAACCCATACCTTCTCACTTTCACTCGATTCTCGGGACGAAACTCGTCTTCGTAGTACTCCCAGGTTTCCTCGCGCGGCCGCCAGTAGACTGTAGCAAAGCTGCCGTATGGACTTTGCGCACCCTCCTCTTCAATGTGGATGTCCGTCTCGTCGCATTCGAAAGCGCCCTCCCAGCTGTCTTCCAGCCGGTAGACAATGGCGATACCGCGGCCGTACCACTCATCTTGGAAGCGTTCAGGCAGGAACCAGAACTTGGCGTCGTCAATGTCCTCCATGACGACGCGGGAACGAATCTCGTGTCCGTGATGGCGGATGCAGGCTGTTGCACGCTCGCGGGCCGTGAGATGGGATGGGAGAGGGAAGCAAACGACTTCTATCCTCTCCCGTCCCCATTCGACGTTGCGACGAAGTGTACGACGAGAAATAGCGTGCGCCATCTTGGCGGCTCGAGTCGGGGTCGACGAGGGGGTTGTGTCATAGACCACCATACCAAAGGGGGCTTGCTGATGGGATGAATAATCCCAGTCGTCCGGCTGAGGCGCGACTTTTGGTTTCAAGTACGCGGCGTACGTCGGCGTGCCATCGTGGCTAGGCGCAGGTAAGACTACGAACTGGAGTGCATCTAGCTTTTTGCGCCTGAGTGGAATCATCGGTGCTTGGTGTGGCTGCTCGTCATTGTCTTCGCCGTCTTCATCGTCCGAGGGGACGTCTGGCACTGGGTCGAACGAGAGTCGATCGCAGACGCGACACACTGTTGGGCAAGAATTAATTAGTGGTCAGTATACCCGTGCAGAGTAGCTTAGGATTTGTGAGCTTTACAAAGACGATGAACAATGCCACTTCAAAGAGGCCAAGGGGTATTCATCATCACAAATTCATGGGAAAATTAGGATTGGGGCTGTTGTCCTTCCGTTGGTCTCGACAATATCAAACGCACCGAGGAGGGTCATGCATTCCGCAAGTGGGGACTGATGCCTAGAGGCGGAGAAATACAGATCTGATCGCCCAACCCCAAAGAGGGAGCTCCAAGGTTTTATTAATCAACCGGTGTCCAGGTGTTACTCAGAATGATTTGTACAGATTTTAAAAAAGCCATGTAGTGCTCTAGAAATCAGATCGTTCTATCCAGAACCACATGAATAGGGGGGCTGAGTAGGAACAGCTGGAAGAATACTCGTTTGAGGTGAAGACACCGGTTGATTGTCAAAAAGATGTTGGGCGTTTAAGGTCAAGGAAAACTTGACTAGCATCAGCTTCAACCAAGGCTTTTGATTTGCCCTCATCTTGGCTTTACATGAAGGAGTACGAAGACTGAATGTAAGGATGTTCTTCTCCAAGCAGCCACACTAGCTGTCCATTAGGTAAAAAGGGGCTGTGGAGATGTTCTAAACATGGACAGAAACAAGTACTTATTTTTATACGTTAAGGAAGAAATAATATCTACAAGTGAATAAGCTCTCCCAAATTAAACGCTGGGTGTGGTTCCAATAAGAAATATAACTCGAAAGAGACAACACCGAAGTCTGTCAAACGAGATGCCAACGCGATCAAGTAAAACGGCTTCGGCACCTCCTTGACCCAAGGCAATAGATCATTGTGAAACTCAGCTACGCCAAAAAGCGACGGATGTCTAGACGCCAGTGCAGACGTAGTAACCCAGCCACAAGTTGCTGCAGGTCGAGTCAACTTGCGTGTTGTACGAGAGGAACTGCTCAAACGTGATGCCCGCGCCGCTGTAGATGGACCAGCAGCTGTCACCGGAATTGACTTGGTAATACTTCTTGCAGTTGGAGACGATGCCGGGCATCTGGGGCGTGGGGCCGGTGGAGGGCGGAGTCGTCGGCTGAGTGGGAGCCTGCGTCGTGGTGGCCGCGCCGGGCACGTGAACACAGACGTAGTAGTCGAGCCAGAGATTCGTGCAGTCTGTTCAGCAACTTGTCAGATTATTGGGATCAAGAGCAAGCTTGCCATATCATGGCTTAGAGAATGAAAGTTCTACGTACCAGCGTTGACCTCGGTGTTCCAACTCTTGAACTGGGCCGTGCTGATGCTGTACTTGGATGCGATGGCGTCGCAGGAGTCACCAGAGGAGACTTTGTAGAAACCATCGCAGTTGGCTGCGAGGCCCGGCATGGCGGGGGAGTTGCTTGGGGCAGCAGCGGCGGTGGTGGTGGTGGTGGTGGTGGTTGGCGCTTTGGAGGTAGTCGATGTCACGAGGGTGGTGCTCTGGGCAGTCGTGGTCGTCGGCTCCGGGTCGTCAGTGATGGTGCCGATCACACAGTACGAGTTGCTGGTGTCGAGGGTGGGACAGGTGATGCCGGGGTTCAGATTCTGGAGCTCATCGACGGACAACCCCCAGCTGCTCGCAAAAGTTGAGCATGTGTCGCCTTTGCTGGCGGCCGTGGAGAAGGCACAGTCTACAGCGCGGCGTGAGAGAGCCGCCTTGGCAGAGACGATGGCGGGGAGAACTCCCGCGGCGGCGATGAAGTGCGTGATCTGCATTTTGCTGGAACTTTTGAAAGGGAGTGAGGCCTTGAAAGAGAGACAAGAGAAGTGTGATGTTGCTGATGACGAGAAGAAGACACTTTGGGGCGGAATCGTAGCCTGAGTCTTATACTTGAATTCTGCAAAAGCTACCTTCTCTCCAAGACGATGTTCAAATTTCGCTAGCCGTGATCCTTCGAGGCAGAAGCACGCTTCTCGACGACCTTGACAACATCACATCCACATCTTGGGAACTAAGTCAACTTTGGAAAGGACGGTGCAGGAGAATCAGTCAATATCGTGGCCCGGCTTACACCGGGCTTACACCAGGAAAGGCCCGTCCCCGGTCGACAACGGCTAAAACCCGAAATCCACTCTTTGGACTTTTGTGTAGGTATGACCCTGAACGTATGGTGGTGTATGGTGGCGTAGAAGGATGGAGAACGGTCCAAAGTTGCCGAGACAGGTCAAGTCTTTCAGGTACCACCTTGGCGCCAAGAGCCGCACGCGTGATCTTTGCTTATTCCTGCTCCCGCTCATTGGCAAGGCTGCCGAGAAGGATGCCATAAATGTACTATGTGTCCGTAGGTACCCGCAGCAAGGATGTTGGGAGCAACGGGCCTATCAATACCGTTGGTTTCTGTCATATTATTAAGGGCGTTGTTTGCGCCAAGCCGGCCAATCGGCACAAACGCGACTTCTGCTTAATTCAACTCCTTTCTTCCCGTCATCCGCGCAAGGGGGGCCAAAATACATCGGAGAAGCAGCCTGAACTGAGCAGGTTGGCGGGAAATTCCCCGGGACTGTGGAGACGGCAAGTACCTTTCTAGCCCATCCATCTGTATAAAATTCCATGTTCTGACCTTTCCGTGCCTCGTCTTCTCCATCACAACGAAATCGTTGCCTGCTGTTCTGCCCCTCCCAGCCGAGACATTGACATTGGACAACGACATCAGCTGCTGCTATCCATCAAGCTTCTCCAAATTTGGTAGAGCGTCAGCATGCACGTACTATCCTGGACGAGCCGGTGGTCCCTCCTGGCCTGTGTCTGGACCATCCTCGGAGCTGCCGCTGCGAGCGACAACTCGGGCATCGTGGAAGTTGACCTGGTTTTCCCACGCAACGACACGTATGCGCCCACGCCGCTTTTGCCCATCATTTTTGGTTTCCAAAACTCCCCGCTGGCGCCGGCTCTCGCGCCCCAGATCACATTTTCGATTTGGAACTACGACAACAAGAGCGACGCGGTTGACACCACAGCATACGATGTGCGATGGGCCAACTTCTCCAGCAGCGACCCGTACTTTGAGTACCGCGGCTTCGTCGACTTCAATGTCGAGAAGACGTGGGAGATCAGGTACACTGTGAGATGGTTCAGCTGCACGAAGGATTCCCTGGAGTACCCATACGACATCACCAGCAACAACACCTACAAGTCCGTCGTCTTCACTACCAAGAACGCCGGGCAGAGTGTGGATCTCGTGGCCGCCACAAACGAGAAGGGATGTTCGTCTGACGCCGGTGTCGCCATAAGCGTGACTGACACCCTCAACGCCACTGGAATCTCAAGCTGGACAGGTGGCGATACGTGTGCTGTGGTGGCATCATCGACGGTCACGCCGAACCCTTGCCAGATCAAGATCAGCGAGGCTGAGGCGTCGAGCATCTCCGCCTCTGTCACTGCTCGAGCGTGTGAGGCTCAAAATCCACCAATTGAGTGTCCGGCGGGCAACGAGGGTCATGGGCTGGTGGTCGGAGGGGTGGTGTGTTTGGCGGCCACATTAGGTGCAATTTTCCACGTCATGATGTGAGATTGTCTAGGTTGTAGTTGGATTCCACACTTGATTGCCCGAATCTGGAACAAAATTTGCCTCTTCATATCCAAGCAAAAAGTCTATACAATTCGTCCGAGATCGGGCTGAACATAGATACCTTGCGTCGTCCTCTGTGCCTCCTGCAGATAAATTGCAGGTGACCCTGCTTGAAGGATTCAACTTAGATTACTACAGGCAACAGCAGCATATCATTGGGCTGATTTGATTTAAAGGTGGTGCTATGGATACGTATTGCGGGAGCGGATGAGATCGAGAACTTCTGAGCCCTTGAATGCAGGGGAAGATGAAGAAAGGTGGGAAGGGGGGCCAGGCTTGGCGAGCTCCGGAGGGTGGCGGTTCATCCCGCTGCATGGCGGCCGCCAGACTGCTCGTTTAGCTTAACTCTAAGCATGTTCTCTCTTCAGGGTTCTAAGCTCCACTTGTTCGATCCTTCGGACGTCTTCCGTCTGGGAAACTCAGATGCTGCTCGCGCCGGTTAAAGAGGGGCAGATGCGTGAAGGATCGCTTGCTGTAAAATTGCGTTCAACTGCCAAGACTCTACGATTTGACTGCCAAGCTTCAAGCCTTTTCAGGCACGCTTGTGAGCATAAAGAGCATCGGGAAAGACGGCATAGCAAAGGTGATCGTGAGGCAAGGGCCGCAAGGCAGCCTTTTTCGCCCCCAACAGGGGCCCAAGAGGGGCAAGGATCTCGCAACTTACAGACGGCCGGGAGGTTTTATGTCTCGTTGAAGTGACATCCTTTCTGCTTTCTGGTCGGTTAATCCAATAGTGCTTACTCGCAATTTTAAACCTGTTCATGATCAGTATAGGTCATGCGGGGTGTTGAGGTCAAGGGAGGAGTCGGAACGAGATCCAGAACTCTTGACCGGATTCGGGCAATGCTTCAACATGGCTTCAGAGTCGAGAGAAGGCTAAGGGGAAGACAAAAGTTCTTTTTGACTCTGAGAATGATATAAAGACTGCTGCGCGGTTAGCAACTCTATCTAAACGGGTCAACGGAGTACGCTCCTCACAATCATTTTGCCAACTACCCAACCTTCTTTTGACCTTGTTACCTCTCAACCAACTTCCTACCTTCTTTATTACAACTTTCTTTCTCACAAGGTGCCTGCCTCTGTAGTCACGATGCATCTGCCATGGCTCACGGCGGCCCTTATGGCCGTTGGCCTGTTGGCCGAGGGAGCCTCAGCGAGGTCGCGGACCGGACTCAGACTGCCTTCCAGCCCTACCTACAGCAGCTTTGAGACCTGCCCGGAGCGCTGCAGTGTCTCCGGTCCCAATATCGGAAATTGGTCGGTCTACCCCGATTTCAAGCAGATGCAGAAATGCAAGCAGACCATGTTCTACCGCTTCTCCCTCAATGACCCCATTGACAACAAGACGGCTAATCACCGCATCCATGCCTGCTCTTCGTACGGCCCTGACTTCTCTACGATACCCGCATCGACCGCCCGAGTTGCCTCCTCAGAGTCCGTCGATGTTGACTTTGAGATTGGATGGTGGCAAGAGGGCTTTGGCCGAGCCACCGCCGGCCTTCGTTCTCTCATCAAGCAAATGCGCAAGTACGTGGATCACGGACACGGCGAGACAGACGAACCCTTCATCATGTTTGGTCAGTCTGGTCAAGCCACGATCGGTCTCTACATTGGCCAAGGTCTGCTGAACCAAGGCATTGGCGAGTCTGCCCTCAAGAGTCTCCACGACACGCTCCCTACCCTCAATGTGTCGACACCAAGCCTGGCCATGCAACTTTGCGGGCCGGAATACGACAGCACTCACATCTTTGGCATCATGCTCCTCAGCAACGGTTCCTTTGGCCCTATTCAAGACGCCGTCAAGACCTGGGGTAACGCCACCTGCCTGTCCTTTGAGGATTCCGTCAGCATTGGTGGCCAAGCCAAGTTCACCACGCCGCTTCTGCCCACGAACGGCACTTTGCCCACAAATAGTACCACCAACTTGACCAAAAAGACCAAGCGGGTTCATGGCAGTGCCCACAGCCACCTCCATGCTCGCGCAGACTGTAGAACCGTCCAAGTCGATTCTGGCGATAGCTGCGCGGCGCTGGCGACCAAGTGCGGCATCACGGCCGCCGAGTTCACCAAGATCAACTCGGCGTCGGACTTTTGCGCCACGCTGAGGCCAAAACAGCACGTCTGCTGCTCCAGCGGCACCATGCCCGACTTCAGCCCCGGCAAGAACTCGGACGGCTCGTGCCACTCGTATCAAGTCAAGGCGAACGACAACTGCGACGACCTTGCCGCCCAGTACAGCCTCACGAGGCAGAAGCTCGAGGACTTTAACAAGAAGACGTGGGGATGGAACGGCTGCCAGCTCCTCTTCACCGACACCATCATGTGCCTCAGCGACGGGACGCCGCCGTTCCCCGCCGAGATCGCCAACGCGGTGTGCGGTCCTCAGAAACCGGGCACCACACCGCCGACGGATGGGTCAGATATCGCCGAGCTCAACCCCTGCCCTTTGAATGCCTGCTGCAATATCTGGGGCCAGTGTGGCATCACCAAGGACTTCTGCGTCGACACCAACACGGGAGCTCCGGGAACCGCTGAACCGGGTACCTACGGCTGCATTTCCAACTGCGGGACCGACGTGGTCAAGGGCGACGGCACCGGCAGCATCCGCATCGGCTACTTTGAAGGCTACGGCCTGGGACGCGAGTGTCTCTTCCAGGATGCTATGCAGATCGACACGTCGGCGTTCACGCACGTCCACTTTGCTTTTGGTACCCTGACGGACGACTACGAGGTCGAGGTTGGCGATAGCCTGTCTTCCTATCAGTTTGAGCAGTTCAAGCGCATCAGCGGGCCGAAAAAGATTTTGTCGTTTGGCGGCTGGGACTTTTCGACCTTGCCTGCCACCTACCACATCTTCCGCGAGGGTGTGACGCCCGCCAACCGCCTCAAGATGGCGACCAACGTTGCCAACTACATCAAGAAGCACAACCTGGACGGCGTCGATATCGACTGGGAGTATCCCGGGGCGCCTGATATCCCCGGTATCCCGCCAGCCAGTAAAGATGATGGTCAAAATTACCTAGCCTTCCTCGTGCTCCTGAAGAACCTTTTGCCCGGCAAAACCGTCTCCATCGCGGCGCCCTCCTCCTACTGGTACCTGAAGCAGTACCCCATCAACGCCATCGGCAAGGTCATAGACTACATTGTCTACATGACGTACGATCTCCACGGCCAGTGGGACGCCGACAACGCCAACTCGCAGGAAGGGTGCGACACGGGCAACTGCCTGCGCAGCCAGGTGAACCTGACCGAGACCAAACAGTCCCTGGCCATGATCACCAAAGCCGGCGTGCCGGGGAAGAAGGTCGTCGTGGGCGTCACCAGCTACGGGCGATCCTTCAAGATGGCGGACCCGAGCTGCTGGGGCCCGGACTGCCTGTACACGGGCGACCGCCTCAACTCGCAAGCGGCCAAGGGCGTTTGCACGGGAACCGCGGGGTACATTGCCGACGCCGAGATCGCCGAGATCATGAGCGACAAGCGTCGTGCCGGCCGCGTGGTCACGAGCTTCCTCGACGCGAGCAGCAACAGCGACGTGCTCGTCTACGACGACGGCGAGTACGTCGCCTACATGAGCGCCAGCACGAAGAAGACGCGCGCGGCGCTCTACAAGGCCTGGGGTATGGCCGGCACCACGGACTGGGCGACGGATCTGCAAACGTACCACGACGTGCCCGCGCCCGCCAAGGACTGGGCCCAGTTCAAGCAGCTCGCGGCGAGCGGTCAGGATCCCAAGTCGGACTTTACGCGCAACGGCAACTGGACAGACTTTGACTGCACAAACATTTACGCGACGGACCAGCTGCACCGCGACGTCGAGGAGCTCTGGGAGGGGCTGGGCGCGGACGCGGCGTGGGAGGACGCCGTGAGGATCTGGCAGGACACGGATAGCGGCTACGGGGATACCTCGTTCATCGGCTCGGTGCACGCCACGCTCAAGATCGAGGCGGGCGCGTCGGACTGCGGGAGCGTGCTGGGCGTCGACTGCAACACGGACGGCTGCTCCAAGGGCATGGACGGGCCGTACTCGGGGCCGGCGGCGCAGCTGGTCTGGAACTCGTTGGTGATGATCCGCAACATTCACTCCACGTACCACGACTCTCTCTACAAGTCCGCCTCGAGCTTCCTCGCGGCGCTCAAGGACATGGAGAGCACCTTTGCGCCGATCCCCCCCGAAGAGGACAACACGTGGCTCCTGCTCCTCATCGATCTCATCACCCTTGGAACCCTCTCCGCCGCCGGTCCCTTCTTCAACACGTTCCTCAAGTCGCTGCCAAAGTTTGCCAAGTCCCTGGATAACCTCAAGGACACCAGCATGACCCTGATTGGACAGAGCACGACCATCGCCAAAGACCTGCTGCCCTCCCAGGGCGAGCCGGACTGGACGCCGGCGAAGCAAGACAAGTTCTCCAACTACATGGGCCAGGTCATTGACGGCTGGGCCAACGTCACCTCCCTCGCCCTCGACAAGGTCTTTGACGGCTCCTCCGAGTCGGTCGGCCTGCTCGGCAAGGCCATTGCCGACGGGAAACTGTACCCCAAGGAGGTCAAGACGGACGTTGACGCCAACACGCTGCTGCAAAACATTAGAAAGTCATTCTTCGGCTACGCCATCCCCGCCATCTGGCACGCATCGAGCGCGTGGGCGTTCGTCATCGACTCGGGCTACGACTGCGACGCGTCGAACCCGCTCGACGACTACCTCAGCGACGAGACCATGAAGGCCACGGGCGCCTGCTACAACGGCAAGCTGTACTACCTCGCCAGCCCGGACGGCCAGGCCTACACCTGCTTCGACGGCGGGTGCCTGGACAACAAGTTCTCCGCGCCCAAGGGCGTCGGCTCGCTGGGCGACTCCTTTGGCGGCATCACCAAGGAGGACCTGATTGCGGGCGCGGTGCGGACGTACCAGGCCAACGGCGGCAAGAACGGCGGCGGCTTCGCCAACACGGACGACGAGGGCGTGCAGGACGACTTGCTCGACGTGGACGTCACGACGCCGGGCGTCATCCGCATCCCCGTGTGCAGTCCCGAGCGCGCGTTCCAGTCATGGGAGACGTCGACCAAGGGGTCCAGCGACAACTACCCCTGCGACGTGCCGCCGGGCAAGGACTACTGCGGCGCGTCGTCGTTTGAGGACCAGACGAGCGGCGCGTCGCCGAGCGCCGACGACTGTCGGCAAATCATCAAGAACATTGAGGGCGACGGCAGCACCGACTGGACGATTCAGGTCGTCGGCAAGAACCAGCGCGAGATTGTAAAGTTTGGCGGGTGTGCTTTTGGCGTGGAGGCGACCAAGGTCAATGGCAACGTCGACTTTACCGTCGGTGGGCAGGATGTGATTGACATAATCAACACGGCGATTGAAAAGTTTGAGAATAGCGACGGAAAAGTGGGAGCCAAGGGGGAGATGGACTGCAACGGGAACATTCACCAGCAGGCTGTTAAATGGGGTATTTACTAAGCCTTGCCTGGACCTCGGCCTCGAGTGTAGGGGTGCCGTCTGATACTATGGCAATTGTTTTCTTTGTATATATCATTCGTCTGTATGTATTGTGCATTATCTGGACCTTTGAATGTTAGATCACTCATGATGCATACCGTCTTCGTTGCTTGCACTATCATGAACAACTCCATCAGCATGACCGCGTGATAGTGAGTGATTCTTGATGGGGTTGCATTTCAGGCAGAGCATGGCTTGGCTTGAAATGGTAGGTAGATAAGTAACATGAAAGTCACATAAAAGTAACATTAACGCTGGAGATGAGTGAGACGTATTGCGTGCATGTGAGCGCGGTGATGACAGGCATCATGTGCCATGATTCTATGCTCTTCCATCTTTGCGTACGGGTAATCAAGAGTTGCGGCGACTGCGTGAATAATGTCCAATGTGTTGTTCCTGGTTGGGTGAGACACCGGATCCTTGCTGCTGCTGCTGCTGCAGAGCGTTGTGCCACGCCGTTGGGCCTGCGCTCAGGCACCGATACAGATCGATCGAGCGACTCGAATCGTGTGCTTGGGGTCAAGTCATCAGTGGTCGCACCATCTCGTGAGCTCTCGTGATGTGGCCACCGAGTTGGAGATAGTCACTTCAAGAGTTGTTCTGAATGTCCGGCTGTGGTCTCTGGTGTCAACACATTGTTGACGAGCTTTGTTCCCCTCGATCGGGAGATTCCTGTGCAGGGCCCCTAAACCAATCCTATTAATAGGCGCATTAACCCCTCATTCAGCTGATAGTAAGGCGGCTGCACCCGCACCCCCCCAAACACCGTTAGCACAGGGCAACATGGACGGTCCTGGGTCCATTTAGGCCCCGTAACACCCTCCTTTTCAATCAGCTGTCCTTGAAGAAGACGACGACGAGCTGGAGTTGGGCTTGGCCGTGGACTGTTGTCCCTCAGAGACATCAGAGACTCGGCAAGAAAGGGGGAGGGGAAAGAGACAGAGAGAGAGAGAGAGATAACGAGCAGATGACTGATTGATCAGCACCCCGGAACGCCGGCGAATGTTCCGTGCCGAAATGGCGGTGACAGGACGGGTCCTGGACTCCTGGGGAGGGGACTCGGGGACAACTCACATCTGGTTGGAATGGCGGCGGGGTGGAGACTGAAACCCTCACCGCGGCCATTGACATCGTGGCCGACGCATGGCGGTGGAGGTTGGGCATCATACACACCGCGCATGATCCATAGTAGCGACGTGGCGGAAAAAAACAGAGAGAGGCAGCAGCAGCAGCAGCAGCAGCAGCCAGTTTCTCTTTGCTCTGTTTGGTCTGATTGCCTCTGCTGCAAGCGTGGCCGCAGGTTTTCGACGAGACCGCCCCTTCACGATCCTCGCCTCGCCTCGCCTCTCTCCCTCTAGTCTCGCTCACCTCTCACCTCTCACCTCTTCTTGAGTCTGTCTGTCTCTACCCGAGTGCCCCTCCCTGGTTGCATTCGCCCTGCCTCATCTCATCGTTCCGAGATCCCAAGCCCAAAGGATTCCAGTCAGCCCCGGGTTTCTGCTGCTTGCTTGTGGTTCTCGTGGTTGGGTTTACACTACTGCATCCCACCGCTCATCCCACACCCCGGTCTCAGTCCAGTCTCCCGTCATGCTGCAATGATCCGTTACCCTCTCTTACCTACCTTACCTTACCTTGCCTTACCTTGCCTTTTTTTTTTTTTTCTCATTCCCCGCCAGAGCTATCCGTACACCATACGGATACAATTGAACCTTTAAACAACCCCCTTTGAATCTCTCTTCCTTTTTTCCCTTTCCCCTTCCCTCTTTTCCTGTTCCTGGGATGTGCGGCAAGAGATGGTGATCGGGAACCGAGATTTTTCGACTTTCAGGAGTAAGAGTACCAAGAGCACTAAGAGTGACTCGGGAAACGGGGACGATGCGTCCATAGGCACGCACGAGAGCTCGTACGAGCACCCTCTGGGTGAGTCCCAACCTCGTAGATCAACAGATGGGAGTCTGGTTATTTGTTGTTTTGCTGACATTGAGACGACTCTCCAGCTCGCAAAGGCTACGACATTGGCCCCGCATCGAGGTGCGAGGTAGGCGACGTCTTTGAGTTCCTCTGGGCAGATTCGCACGAGTTTGAATGGGAGTGGAAGTGCCTTGGCTATACTCGCTTCATCGTCCTTCGACATAGCGACACTTTTCCGCACTACTGCGTGTGTGTGTAAGTCTTGATCATCTACAGTCTGCTACCGCCGCTCTCCGTTTGTTGATGTTGGCGCGAGCTTGTTGTTGCTTTTTACCCCTCCTCGTCGCACCTCCCCCTCCTCATCCCACCCATCAACCCCTCATCGGCACACCATCCACCGCACACCAAACTTCATATCGCTGACCTCGGATCGTCGAATCAGGCCCATCTCCACCCCTACCAAAAATGACTTCCAGAAACCCGGAATCGACTCGAGCCAGCAGGGCTACGTCTTTGACGAGAACGACCGCACCCCGCCCTTCGACCGCCTCCCCTTCTCCCCGGTCGGCATGCAGCTGCGTCCGGGCAAGTTCCGCGTAAAGGAGAACTCGCGCGCAAACTACGCCGACGTGCTCGAGATTGACCACGACGCCCAGGTCATGGTCGTCGGCGACGTCACGCGCTACTTTGACCGGGTGCGGAGGAACGTCAACAAGGCCGTCATGCGCAACGTTCTGAAAAAGGCGTTGGAGCAGTACCGCCAGGGAAAACTCGTTGGCAAAAAGGGCGCCAAGCTCGAGGCGAGCGTCGTCAACGGCGGTGGTGGGAGTCAGGATGACGAGGACGAGGACGACCGCGACGAAGAGCCCGAGGACGGCAGCGATCCGGACCACCCCGACGTGTTTTTGCGACCGGATGAGACCTCGTCCGTCATCGAGAGGCGGAAACCCGACCGGGACCGCGACCGGGACCGGGACTCCTTCGTTAGCGCAGAAATGCCGCCCCCTCCACCTCCGGCCCCGCCGCTGCCGCCGATGGACATGCCGTCGCCGATGCCGATGCAGATGCAGCAGCAGCAGCAGCCGTCGCCCCCGCGAGAGCGAGAGCGAGACGATGCGTCCTCGATCCGGTCCCACGCGTCTCGAGAGAGAAGGCATTCCCGGAAAGAAGCGCCGCCGCCGCCGAGAGGTGAGGACCTCCCGAGAAAAATGTCGGACCACCACGTCGACGGAGCGTCCCGGCCTTACAGACAGCGCATCGACCTCCCGCGATCCCGGAGTCATCGGGCCTCCGAACACGAGGTATCCGGCTCAATGTACGACGTCGCTACGGCTAGGGCGGACTGAAAAAAAAAATTCGAGTGACGCTGGGATGGTTGATGAGATGACGCACATTTTCTAGGATGCACATGTGGTGATGATCGATCGATCGGTTCTTGAATCGGGTGCGTGAATGCACCACGGCGGCTCTGAATGTCCTCCTTTTTTTTCCCTTCCTTTTTTTCTATTTTATTTTATGACACGTATCATGATTGCATGCATTAGATGCCTCTTGGTTTTTTCCCGCTGCGACTACAACATATCAACATCAACAAATAACGAGAATCCGCCAGCATTCACGGAGTACAATTAGACTTGTTTTATATTTCTTGCTTTTTTTCTTGTCGTCAATCATCATGGTCTTTAAGAAGATATAAGATACATTACAAAAAACCTGTACAAATGATAACCAGACTGCAAAGTTTTGTCTCCCCTCTTACTCCATTACGCATCTCACGATACTTCGGCTTTATCGATTCGCTCTAATTTGTGATCTTCCGGAACGCATCTAGATGATGGAAAAAAGAAGGATGGAAGATTTCGCTTGGGTAGCAATTTGGGCAGCAATCCAAAGTGATTTCCTGTCGGGGGAGCGGCGCTAACTGCGGCTGGCTGCATCGTCATGCAGGATGATTCACGATCCTCTTCACCAGCTAGTCGGACCAAACGTCTCATTTTCCCCCACCGTCTTCAAAATGGCGCCATACGTGGAGTCCTATATGCAAGACACGATTAGTTAAAATGAGCTCGACGTCAGAGAGCATTGCCAATGAACGCATTCACTTGCGGGCATCCGCGTTTCGCGGGGGTTGGGGAGACTTGAGAGGAGGGGGGAGAAAGAAGGGGGGAGAAGGGGGAGGGGCAGAGAGGGTCCAGTCCCCTTTTCACACCACTCACCAAGGTATTATAGACATCGACGTTCCCCCACCACTGCGGTATCGTGACGTTGGGCAGCGTGATGGCAAAGAAGATGATAATGGTACTGATAATAAGCCCGGCGTCCAGCGCGGCGGCTGTGATGTAATTGTACGTCTGCCACCACCCGTGGAACCGCCTGCGCACGCCGTGGTTGAAGACGAGGCCGACAATGGCCCAGCTGGAGAAGCTCAGGGGCGTCGCCGGCGGCAGCCAGCCCATGGCGCCGAGCATGACGGGCGCGTGGAGGACCTTTGCGAACTTTAGTTTGAGGACCTTGGCCAGCACGTAGAAGACGATGGGCAGGCAGGCGCCGACGAGCCAAAAGTAGTTGAAGTTGTGGTAGATGGAGCCCGCGCCGAACATGCGGCGCGGACCGATGACGCCCCAGACAATGGAGGACGAGAAGAAGGCTCTTCCGTTGGGGCACGTGAAGTGTGCCTGCTGAGTGCTGTTGGGGGGGAAAACGATGTCAGATATCAACGCTCAAGTGAGTCAAGTCATCAGGGGTGTAGCTTGAATGGACTTACAGCGCACAGCAGTCTTCAATGTTGCCAAGCGTCCAGTTCATGACGGCGATCTGCACAAAGACGGCCCAGATGGTGGCCACGACCTGACACCAAAACGTAGTCCTGGGCGGAATCTTCATGTAGTGAGCCATCTTGAGATCGCCAGCGTACGTCTGCGCCTGGCCCAAGGTAATCGTGCTGTACACCTTGAAGATCATGACGCCGATGGGCTTCCCGGGGATCATGAAGCCCGCCAGGAACGGAGAGAGCACGTTGAGCGCGAGCCCGAGGTTGGAGATGGCGAGGATCGTGCACGTCGGGATCACAAAGACAATGGCCAGCAGGTTGGCGACGAAGAAGGCCCACCACGGCAGCTGGGAATCGAACCCTTCGGCCGTCGCGAGCCCGAGGCCGAGGGCCAGCACGAGCAGGACGGCGTACCACCACTCGGGCGCGTCGACGTACTTTTTCGCGAGCTTCAGGTGGATGTCGGCCTCCTGGTTGCGGGCGGCCTTGAGGCGGTACCAAATCTCCTTGCCGTGGAAGAAGCCGCAGTGGACGATGGCGGCGGTGAGGGCGGCGAAGGAGAGGCCGTAGTTGAGAGCGAACGTCGGCGGCAGGAAGAGCGGGGAGTACTTCTTGTACTTCTCTTCCGAGAAGGTGTATCCCGGGCCCAGGATCTTGCTGACCTTGTAGGTGCTCTGGGTATTGTCGTAGGTCTGCGAGGTGTTGATGGGGAGGTAGTCGGAGAAGAGGGCGCCCGAGTAGGCAATTCCAATCGTGGGGATGATGACAAAGGCGAAGAGTCCGATCAAGACGTTGACGTGCGTGTGCGTGGGCGAGAGGAGGGGGTCACCGAGGTACGCGGATACGTAGGTCCAGTCAAAGGTGATGGGGATGAGAGAGAGGCCGGTGAAGCCTCCAAACAGCTGGTTGACGACGACGTTGTTCGGCTTGATCCAGGTGATAAAGGCAAACACCGACAGGCCTTGCCAGAGAACACCGGGGATCCAGTAGTAGACAAACATGCCCACGAGGACGTAGAAGAAGTACCGGTACCGGCTAATGACCCAGCCGTTGCTGTGCGCACCGTCGCTCTTGCTCTTGTCGTGGAGGGCGTAGAACAAGGACGTGTTGGAGAACTGGCTCGGCCAGATCATGGCAGCCGGCCAGACGAGGAATCTGCGACAGAGGCCCGCGATGCCGATGCCGATGAGCTGAGAGCTCAGTGTGAAGAGCAGCTGAAAGCCCCAGCCCAGGTTGATGTCGTAAAAGGGCTTGCCCTGCAGCGCGAGGAGGGCGTCGGTGCTGTAGGCGTAGCCGATGGAGACGTTGGACATGAGGGTGATGACGACGTGCTCTTTGATGGTGAAGGGGCCGGTGTTGAAGGTCCATTGGAGTCCAAAGGTGTTGAAGACCTTCATTGGCACGACTTTGGCCCATAGACAGCCGATTGGGTAGACTAGCAATTGGACAATGATGGATGGGAAGTTGATGGCGGGACTCCTGTAAAGAGAGAGAAACAGTTGTCAACTACCAGTGTCCCTGGATGATAGCAATTCCAACTCGTCCGCTCGTTTTCACTTACCTCATGCTCAAAAACATGTTGAGACCACTGCCAATCGTCACAAAGATCATGCCCAGAATCCATGCTCGAACCGTGTTTGCGACTTCACCGCCGTCCGTATTGCGCACCGCGGCACGGACTTCCTCGTAGGGCGAGTCCTCTGTCAAGATGGCATCCGCGGCGATGATTTCCTCAGAGTCTCCGTCCTGGAGCGCCTTATTGACCATGTCGGCCTTTTCCTGGGTCAGGTTGGGGTCCCATTGGTGATCGCGCTGGAAGTTCTCGAGGTTTGTCGCTGCCTGCGTGACGTCCACGCCTTGGTTCTTCTCGTCCGCCATGACGGCTGTTGGTTGACCTTGCGTATTATTCAACCGTACTCCTGGTTCGGTGGCTACTGCAGCAAGGCTGTATCATGCGATGATTTCACTGTTCAGATCGTCGTAGCCCAGCGGCTGATCGATCCGGGGTTTCACGAGAGAGGTGATGATAGCGAAATTCGAAGAACAGTGCCATCATTGGAACTTATGCTTCATGCTACCGACGCGTTCCTCATATAAGTTCACTCAATTGGTCGATGAAAACTCAATTCCTACGAGATCCCAAGAGGGAAGTTGCCTAAGTGCGTTGCCCCAAGGACGTGATAACGGTCACCAGGACATCCCACCGTAACGTACCACGAGGGATTGTTATCAAGGGTAAATAGTCTCTTCTCCACCACCATGGCGCGAAGTGGTGGTTCACACAAGTTCGTGTTATCTCGCCCGAGGCCGGGGACGGGGTGGCGCCGTTTATTTCCCCGGAAGGAGGGGGAAAAACAGGGACAAGGGGGAATTACGTAGAAACATTGAAAGCATTGCGAACAACCCCTGCCCGCTTATCGTCTTGACATGTCTTGTCCCGCCGCGGCAATGCTTGGGCCCAATTAGCGTTAGACTCAAAGGAAGAAAACAAAAATCCCAACCGTCAGGGACCCCCTTGGCAACGCCGGCACGTTGCAACCGCGTGACGGCCAAACGACGAACGAGTCCTCTGTTTTACCCCGCCGCAAGATAACAGCTATGAAGGTTGGGCCGTAGGGGGAGTTAGATACGGATAATGTTTGTCCACATCAGGAAAGATACGGATATTTTGACAAGATTGCCGGGAGGGGTTCCGCGGGGGCTCTTCCGACGAGCAAGGATCTCGGAGTTCAAGCCCGGGTAACCCGGGTCTGGCCGGGAATATTATTCAAAAATTTCTCTAAAAAACCTCAATTGCTTCCACAGAACGTTGCTGAGTCCAATGACAACTGAACCGGACTCCGTGTTTGCTTTTTCTCAGCCTCAACCACACTCCCGGTTTCTAGGTTTCCTACCCGGGGAATCATCGTGCACAGCTGTTCCACGATTTTGGTCCTACCAGGTATATAATGTGGCCCCGGTCTTGAGGATCTTTCGATAAAAACCTCGTATTTGTATCCTTCATCGATGACAATATATACTTAATATAATTTGGAGTTTGAGTTGTCGGACCTTTTGACTTGTAAATAGAAATATCATTCTTGGCCTACTTCATAATTTCCGCTTCCCGTTGGGTCCCCAAAACCTTTCTCAGAGCTATGTCTCGCTGCTGAAATTGCTCCGGGTTAGGCAACCCATAGGCCTCCACTGTTTGTTGTACAACCTTCGCGTCCCATGCCGGGTCGTCTCTCTTTTCTGTGCTCTCCGGTTCATTCTTTGCCTTGGTCTGGAAACTCACAGGCTCTGAACTATCCCATACCTCTTGAATGGTCCCAGAAAGATTATTCAAGAAAGCTTGGATCCCAGCTACCCCACCGCCCATGTTGTATGACTTGAAGATGCCCTGGACAGCCCACCTAGGCCCAAGGCTCGCTTCCATGATGGTGTCTACGTCTTCCGTGCTGACGACGCCCTGGTCTACCAGAGAACACGCTTCCCTGAGCAGCGAAAACGCCAATCGGTTCCCCACGAAACCGGGTACCTCCTTTCTAATGACCACGGGCCGGTGGCCGGAACCCAACCCTGCGAAGAAGCTCTTGGCAAACTCGACTTTGTCCTGGTTTGTCGTCGGTGACGGAACAATTTCGATCAGCGGCATAATATGTGGCGGATTGAACGGGTGGACCACCAAAAGACGAGTCTTGTCGACCATGTCTCGGTTCTGAGAAGACGCTGCGATGCCAGAGGTCGAGCTCCAAAAGTGTGCACTGGCAGGTGCGAAGCTTTCAATCGTTGGCCAAACGGAACGTTTAAAGTCTGGGTTCTCGGGCCCTTGTTCCTGGACAATGGTGGCGCCGCCGCACGCCTCTTCGAGTGTGGAGCAGATCACGAGGCGGCCAGACTCGCGCAGGCGGGATATGTCCAGCGACGCATCTCCCGAGTCGATGTAACCCGGCAGCACCGTTGAGAGATGCTGTTCGAGGTCGGGCCTGGTGTCAAAGACTCTGACATTGCTCTTCGTATGTCTAAGGTAGAGAGCCGCGAAGGAGATGCCGATGGCTCCAAGTCCGACAAGGGCGACGCGTTCATTCACGTCGGATGGCATAGTCGCGATTGAAGAATGCCACGGAGTTTAATTGGGCATGGGTTATGTAATGGCGTGTTGATAGACGAAGCAGGGCGAGTGCCAAACTGTGGTCAAGGATTGCGGTGAAGGAAAGCCGTCCTAGAGGTAGGTGTTTATCGAGTTTTGGAAGACTTGCCCCGCATGACGGAAGTGTTACTTCGGGGGTGTTGCGGAGTTCCGAGTTCTGGTCCGTGAATATCCTATGCGCTCGTGCGCGTTCCCCTAATTTTCTCACGATGACGTGAGTTGTAGATATTGGGGTCTACCTTATGGCCGGAAAACAACATTAAACAAACAATGAGCCATGGATTTATTAGCTAAGGTAATAGGCTGAATGCTTGCCTAGATGGCATCGCAGGAAGAAAGACTGGCTGGCGGAGTTCGGGAACCGACTCCGGCGTTGGGAATTTGCGAGAAAGCATGACGAGTTTATCCTCGAAACACTAAATAGAAAGGCACTAAAACTGAACTAGAAAAGCACTAGAAAAGGACTAGAAAGGCACTAAAAAGGCACTTGAAAGTAAAGTCGCTTACTACAGAATCGAAATTCCGAAGAGCTCCGTGATCTGACGATCTCAATGTCGACGCTGAAGCTCTACATGTTGATGCCGAATATGGTCGGATGTAGCCTACCTGCGTGCACTTCTCATCGTTTCTTCAGAGGAACTCATGCTTCGAGATTGATTTACCTCCAAAGCCTCACTTTTCCAATCAAAACCAATACCTGTGTACTTTACCATCCATAATGGTTGAATACTCCAAATCCAGGGCTATTGCGAATGGCAGCAGCTCGTGCTGCGACCACACTAGATCAAATGTTACCGGAATCGCGCGAGGAGTTATTGACGACATTCGAGCAGCTGTGGCAAAGCCGTTCGGTCCTATTCTGAAAAGTTTGGCAAATAGTCGCTGACATCCTTCAAACTCTCTCAATCTACCATTGATTCGATTTGTGCAAAGGTCCCTTTCGAGGTTATAGCCGACATTGAGACGGTCCAGGCCAATGTCAGCACTTTTGCTCTAGCTCAATGAAATTTCCTAAAGAAATTTGAAATTGAGATACGGCCAAGCGTTTTCCTCGTCCAAAAGAACATTCTCATCAATCAAGTTGGAGCGTAGGTCTTCCTTGGTGTACATATTTGATCTGTAGTGCTGCGTCACGTCGCTTATATTTGAATAGCTACATCCCTGGTGGACAATACCCGATACTAGCGTCTGCGCATGCATGATTTCGAATCGCCATTCACTCACCAGTCACCAATCCAACGAGTAGTCCACGGCATGAGCCATTGAACCACCTGGAGATCAAACTTCTCCATCTGGTCTTTGAAAAGTCCCGGCGTTCGGATGTCAACGTTGGAGCCGAACATACGAGTAACTGTCCCATATCAAGAGCAGCGCAAGCTGACTCGAAAGGCAAACGTCGGTGCTCAAGCTGGGAACAGCCTCGAGGTCCTTTTTCCAACCTACCAGACGGTTGATCGCCAAAACTTGGAGGTCTCCCGTAGCCAACCCACAGGTGATGATCGCAGAAATAAAACAGGTACCACGCTCTCACACAGTTGAGTGCAACTTCTCGGCTCTTCAGCTTGATACTCTTGCTGAACTTTTCATCGTGCTTCCTCGTACCCCTGACGATCTTAAAAGACTTATCGAGCTGGAACTCGATGAGTCGTCGAATGGCGAGACCGGAGACTGACCAAGAAAGGTCGCTCAGCCAAAATGAAGCGATGCACAAGCCTTGAAATTCATAGTGATTCACACGGTTCATGAACACGAAACCGGATACTTGCTTGCGAAGCCTAGAACAGCAGGCAAAGTATTATCGTTCACCTCCGGATTTATGAAGAATAGAGACTGTGCAGGTGGCTGAGACTACGAGAGGAGATGCACGGCGAACGCGGTCTAGGTCTTCCAACCGGCTCTTGGTTCCATGTGGGTAATAGTCTATCCGCTCCAAAGACCTTTTCACCAAAGGGGATGCGTCGCTCCGCTAGAGATACCATTCTGAGATTAGGTTTTGAGGCTCCTGTGCAGGGGTTGGAGTTTTATCCAAGGAACCAAAGGAGGCGGAGGAGGACCAGAGGCATGGAGAGATCTGACTCTCGTGACTTCATGCAAAGAGCTGATGGGAGCCTGCTTTGATGGCTCAACGCATCTCTCGCTATTTGCGGACAACGAATCGGAATGTGCTTCCGCTTCTTGATCTCCATCTTCGACAAAGGGGCTTGTCTCATACGGATGCAAGCTCTCAACAGGAAGTCCCCTTCTGTCGACGAACTCTTCAGAGGCTCCTCAGAGGCCAAAGTAGCGGCTGAGATCTCTGCTGCAGAAGACCATTGATCGCTGAGTGTAACGTGTGAAAACCACCCACAAAATCCGAGCTGTACGATGAGTTAGCGACGGACCCCTTAAGAGGCTGATGCGAGTCACACCGATGTAAATCAGCATCATTCGGCCTCGACTCGACATCTCGAGCTGGTCAGTTGAAAACGCACTCGGTGTTCTTCTTCCGTCATCGCTGCAATGGACCATGTCGACTGCCCATCAAACATAACACCTTCATAAAGGGTTTAGTGACGCAATAGCAACGATACACATGCCAAGCAGACGAGATAACTGCACGTGCCTTTTGCTTCTGATATGAAGAGTACGCCTTCATTCGGGAGCTGAATCTGGCCCGGGGCAGTGTCTCCGAACTGTTGCCGAGGGTTTCGATCACGAACACGGATGGAATGCCAGTCTCAAAGATGACGCAGTAGTGTGTTGGGGATTGGTACGGGACGCACGAAATAGAGAGTCAGCCCTGACTACCCGCTGGCATGCGGAGTTGTTCTTACCGCGCCGTTGAGACCCCGACACAACGTTATGCATGGGAACCCTTTGATGGATGTTCCTTTTATGCATCTGAGTGACGTCTCCCTGGCACTTCTCCCTTGCACCTCTCCCTGTTGTCCACGCCAGTTTGGCTGCTCACCTAATACGTTCACCAGATAATCAATTGCAAAATCTCAATGAAATCTCAATGAAATCTTCTGGCCTTTTCATCAATATTACTATGAAAATGGTAAAATGAGTTCAGGGCGCGAAGGATAAGATCGCTTGAAGTTCATTTCAACGGCATAGAGGATACTGCATTTTCTTCTTTTCTTTTTCGTCAAGGGACAGATCGACTCTCAGAGAAGCTGAATACTGTGTTTCTGGCGTCCGAATACCTAGCTGAGAGGGAATCTCAGGGTAAAAGTCCGAGCACCCGACGCATCGCTACTCTTATTGTGGCCTGTTCATGTATCGATGTATCGCCAACAACCAAACGGGGAGCTCTGTCGCTCGAAGGTTCCCCCCTTTTCACAAACCAACGTACTCGACATTGAAACAATGTCCTCAGTTGTTGCCTTTTCGGAGCCTTGGCCGGAACGTACGAGCGGGCCGATTCTCGTCGAGTCTTGGCGAGTTCGATCCGGGGAAAGGGGCGCCCACCCTTTCCCATCAGCATCTATGTCACTATTGCTCTTCTTCATTCAACCAAGTGAACACCAAGAATGTATTGTACACATGCACACCATTAAGTAACCGAGCACGTGCCGAGGTGGGCCACTGGACATAAATGCCCAGGCCCAAAATGAACCAAGCTTTGGGGCTCTGAGCAGATCATCCGACCCCCTTCACAAACACAAACACAATCAGCCCAGTTAAATCTTGAACCACTACCACGTCAACTCTGTGCCTGATGCATGGTGTCTTATGAGCTTTATGTGAAGCACTGACGGCACAGCATGCCATTTCAAGCTGACTGGCATGCAGCTTCATTTCCCATCATACCAAGCACGGTTTGACTATCCCCACCATATCTCAGCCGCAGAATACCGAAAAGCGAATTCGGATCACTCGAATTCTCCCCAAGACTCTTCTTGTCAGGGCAAATGATTCGGCTCGGGTGTAAATCGTCTTATTTCTAGCCGGGCCGCTCCTAATTTTATGCTATACCTGTAGGGTTTGAATTAGAACCATCGATACGAGATTGGTACATGCGCATACATAACAATAGCGAAAGGGAAGAAAGGGAGCTATATATCCGTACTGTCTTATATACTGTCTCATTTGGGGCTGCACTAGGCGAAGTACCATTTTGCTGCAACAGCGCCCTGCAGGGTTCGATCCCGCTCCTAGTGGCCGCGCCACTCAACAGATAACCCATTCCATCGAGACAGACCCTGCCAAAGCGACCCGTATTCATTGGCCTCTTGAGTAAGGTACAGGTAAGCTAGGAACAAGGGATATACCGAAAAACCCTACCAATAAGGCAAATCCACGTGGAGTGCAGCATTGAAACTTAAGGAGGAATCTGGAGGAGGACTCTGGAAGAGGAACAGTGGGTATCCAAGCTTGCAGAAATCGTTTTTATGATCTCTTCCCCCGGACTCCTGAAAATAGTCAAGTCGGCAGGGGAATCTTAGGCCGAAGGTGGAAGCATAGCAAGAGACAGCGGTTCGGTTCAAGCTCTCGTGAACTGACCTGGATATTCTTGATCCAGAACATCAAAGCCTTTCGATGGTGAAAGAGTGGACACTTTCCAAAGGATCTGACTCTTCAGTGTTCCCACCGCAGAGCACGAAGTAAGGATGGACATTCCTAGACACAAGCCACAAATGCTCGGCAGCTGAAGGGGCGACATACAGTCCGACTCTCGATGTAGGCCTGATGGGCCCTTATCAGCTCTCAGGGATTTTCACCGAAGATTCCACTCCATAAGACATAATGGCATGCTTGAGTGGCGCAAGGAAAGGGGCGAATTTACCTGCCCTTGACAACGCCAGGTATTCTTCATAAAATGTCGCTTGGTTGTCTTTCGAGCACGGCTATTGTACCACCTTCTTGACACCGTCCAACATCTCACCACTACAGCAGCAGCAGCACTCGTGATCAGTGGGCATTGCCATCACCATGTCCGGAGACCTGGAGTCCAGCTTGTTGAAGTCCCAACCTTTGTCTAATTCGCCTCCCTCGTCTTCTTCGTCCTTTTCAGATGACCTCGAGTACGCTTGTCTTTCCCAGGACGACAAGGACGACGGGCTGCGGATTCACACTCTCGAAGTTGAGGAAAACATCCCCCTCGAAGACACCATCGTTGCCCCTCGCCCCTTGCCGCCTTGGCTGAAATATCCCAAGAGCCTCGCTTTGGCCTTGGTACCGAGCTTCCTACACCCGGTGGACCCCGATGCGACACCGAAGCCGCTTCATCCGTCAGCTTGGCTCGGTAAGCTATTTAGACTTAACACGAATGTCTTCTTTCATCAGCTGACTGGAGATTATCACAGATGGACTTCGAGGACTCGCAGCTTTCTTCGTCGTCTGCCATCACTGGTCCCTATGTACGCTGACCGGCGAGGTCCGGCGCGGTTTTATGAGCGATGACACGCCCCTAGTTCTTCAACTCCCAATCCTTCGCTTGGCTGTTTCTGGACTGTCTAATGTCTGCGTGTTTTTCGTCATTTCCGGCTACGCACTGAGCTACAAGCCCATGAAGCTCATCAAGCAAAAGAAGCTGACCGAGTTCGCAATCGCTTCTGCTTCTTCCGCCTTTCGTCGGTATATCCGCCTCTTCCTCCCGCCCATGATCACGTCTCTCGCAGTGGCTTGCCTGGCATACTTCAAACTCTTCGAGCTCGAGCCTATTCCAGGTCCTGCTATAACAATGTTCAGACCGCCGGCGCTCGATAATGTTTGGGACCAGTTGGTGGGATGGTGGGGGCATTTCGCCAACTTGTCTGACCCCATCGCTAAGAATGTCGAGAGAGGCAGAGCCTTTCCCTATCAGCCGCAACTTTGGACCATCCCGGTAGAATTTGACGGTTCATTGGTCATCTTCTTGGCACACATTGCCTTTTACCGAGTTCGCCCCAGCGTTCGAATCTTTTTCCTTGCGTGCCTCCTGATCTACACGATTCACTCCTCATACTGGCAATTCTTTCTTTTCTTCTCGGGCCTTTTCTTTGCTGCCCTCAAATTTTACGGCAAAGATGAGACTGACGGAAGCAATGACGAGAGCAATGGTGTTGACTGGCACTCTCTCCCGCTCATATCAAGCCCTGCATATTGGCGACGAGAGGGACTGAGCGGCTTCAACGCGCCAATTTCGTTCATTCGATCATCAAACACTTATAGTATATCCACGAAGTCTCTCCAGGTGGCCTCTTTTGTCGGCGCCCTCTGGGTTTTGTCGTTTCCTGAGGGCAGCGGCAGCGTCACGCAAACTCCAGGATACAGGACTATCTCCTGGTTGACTCCTGCACCATATGGCGATGGCGACTACTTCTGGATTCCCGTTGCCGCCGCTTGGCTTGTCTTCACTATTGACAAGTCGCCGTTCATTCAGCAGCTTTTCACGAACCGAATAGTCCAGTACCTCGGCCGGATATCGTACGCTATTTATCTTGTTCACAACTGCTTAATTTGGCTGTGGGGTTATCATCTCGTGCAGCTCTTCACTGCCATTACGGGAATTCCTCTTCAAGCCAACATTGGTGCTGGTTGGAACTTCGTCATCTTCCTTTCAACCTGCCTTTTCTTACCGGGTGTCGTCTGTGTGGCGGATTTTGTGCAGAGATATGTGGATGTTAATTCTGTCAAGTTTGCGGCTTGGTTCGAGGGGAAATTGATTGAGAAGACGAGATAGTATATGCAGGTCCAATAATCCGATACTCGCATGTAGTCTATAGTATAAGTTAGTATAAAATTCCATAACTAAGCCTTTGGTCACATGACAAATCTTCTCAGAGAGAAGACCAGCTTCTATCTGGCGCTGTTGCGGCCATTGATCTCGAGTCATATCCAGTAATCTAATTCGGACAACTTTTAATGCAGGTGGATTTGGATGCTTTCGAGTTAGTATCGCTTACCCAATGACGAAACATGCTCTAGCGACAGGGAAGTTGTCTGGAAAACCGATAACTGCATGTGAGTAACCTTCTGATGGAGACGAGTCAATCGCGCCATTCTGTGCCGACTCATTCATCTGAAGTGCCGGTAATCTACTCCAATCATCCGGTAATATGTTTGATGAAGTACTCCGCGGAATAAGACTCATGGGTATGTCCAATGCCGTTGTAGAATGCCCTCGCCACACCCTGCATACCTAGATTACCAAGAAATTATTTACATGGGAGACATGTGTTGAAGCTCTGGTGACGGAGTGAATTCGTCGATGTAGGTTCTTCCACCTTTGCGAAATCTTTTAAAGGCGGGGTCATTAGCAGGATCCGTCTTGTACGCATACCACTCGTCCATCCGGTCATAGTTTTCGGGAACCGGAGAGGTTGAGGGATAGTCAGAGTCGAGAATCGCGACGGTGTCCGAAACAATATTGCCTCCTACAAGGAGAAAGAGTCAGGCTTGCTTGTGGCCAATATTGGCAACTGCGACAAGTTTTGACTCACTAGGAGGGTATCTCTCCTTGTGCACGTCGTTACAAATGTCGCTAGTCTCACGTGGGTGGGATCGGAAAGCGAGTTTAGTAAGACCAGACGGTTTCAGGAAAGAATTAAGACCGCCATTCCCCACCTGTCCTTGAACAAGCTTGTTGAAGCAAGTAGGCATATCATCTCCAAAATCACTAGCTGCGTTTCGCAGGGTCAGAGATCTGTGTGTGAAGCATGGCGTTTACTATCATCGGCAGAACATGCCAGCTTGTTTCCCCAACCAAGAGCCACCGTTGAGCAGGAATTCGTCCAGACCGTCCGATTTGTTGGTGAAGATGGCAGATTCTTCCGTCGCCGCGACCGACCAAAACTTCTCACCAGCAATGGAGCTCACGAGCTGCATTGCATGAGGGATGTTAAACATTCAGGCAACCTTGTAAGACGTGGGGTTAAGGACTGTGAGAAGCAGATGGACGGGGACGCGTGCCTTGCATGAAGATGGCCGGCCGTTTTGGAGAGGAGGGGAAAGACAATATTTAAAGAGGCAGACACTTGAACGACTTGACTGGCAGCAATGGCTGCGGCGGCCAGCAAATTGGCGAGCATAACTGCAGTCGAGAGAAGCCTGAAAGATGTGGTTGGAGCAATTCTTGGTGATGCTTGATATTAGTGCCAAATTGGCTTCAGGCCCGTATGCAGGTATGTATATATAGCTACATCACATGGGTCCTCTTGATTTTTCTAGAGGAAGTGAAACTAAGGAGAGGGCATCAAGTTGAAGCTAAATAATTACAGTCTTATATGTGGATTCCTGCGATTGATAAAGACTCATTCTAGATTTCGGCGGATACATGCATGAAGGATGTCGAAAAGCAAGACTGAATCAACCAGGAACTAAAGGGCGAGGACCCGGTCTTTTTCCAATTATGCAATGGAGCGCTAAATTGTCCAATAGGGGAAGGTGGATGATATACGCGGATGAGCTAAACTGTGGTTCGTCTGTAGTATGCAAGATCTTAGCAGTGATGATGCGTTCCGATTGCCGAATAAAGACCCAGCGGCAATCAATGGGCCAAGCTAGTTTGGTAACGGCATACCCGCAGGCTGGTCGCCATGGTTCGCGGTCCAAGAACCTTATTTGTATTTAGGTAACCTTCTAGAGTTCTCACGACCTGCCCCATCTGTGCGTGTGCGCATGCCTATCTACACGCGGCCACGTCCGGACGGCGGAGTTTGGCACGTGACTGTGTCGCCCGTCCAGCGAATCCAGCTGCGGTTACTGTGTTCGCGGAAGTGAGCAACATCGGTGCGCTTCTTTCTATGCCACTTCGACTCACTTAGGGGTACGGCAAGAAGCGATGACAACGTGGGACAACTTGCCCTGTCATGGAACAGCAAGGCAGACTGTGTTCCAGGGTACGGGTATGTTTTGCAGTCTATAAATTCCGCTCACCGCCGATTTCTCCAGGCGGCGCAGTAAAATGTTGGGGCCATCTCATCAGCAACATGGCATGGCGGCCACCCTTGTCCTCTTAGCCGCATCAGCTGAAGCAGGCATGCGAGGCCGCGACCACGTTCGGTACAGGGAACATTCTAACGCCGTTATGAATCTCTGCTTGAATGATATCATGCCAGCCTCACTTTGCTGCGCCGCAGGCAGGCTTTGATACGGCACCCTAGCACTAGGCAGCTCCAATGAGACAGCCCCCGGTTGCAGCAATTAGCTGCGGCCGTCCTGGTTCGATTATCAGAGCACGACAGCCAACCACCGCAATCGCACTGTGTCGGTTGGTGGGTGGTATTTCACAAGAAATTGTGACCAGCAAGGTGAAAACCCCTGCATTACGCAAGTTGGAAGTGCTCTCGCACAACCTGTCCCGATAGCTTGCTGGCGCATTGTGAATATGCAGGTCCACCGGAGTCACTATTCTTGCGGTCTGGCTTGATGGCTTCAGGCTGCCAACTTCCTGACCGAGACCCCGATACGCCCGGCCGTGAGTAGTTGTCTGTTATTTAAATGAGACGCAGCTCCCTCCTGAGAACTCTTAACATCCAAACGGTCAACTCCAAACCGATCCTCGCCAGCCACTATTTGCCTTTCTTTCTGACAATACCTCAGCTGTATATCAGTTGTGTCCCTTACAGCTGCATGGTCCTTAGGGATGCCTGCCGGGAGACGGCCCAGGACGGGTAGAGCCCGTGCAAGTATTGAAGACGCGTAACGTGAACTCCTTCATCCTTGAATTAATGAAAACATTTTGACTAATACATCGCTCAACTCTCCAGAACTCTGGGCATTGATTTCGGAAGCACCAGCACCAGAATATTTCTTTGGTGTCCTGAAAGAAAGGAGGAAATCGACATCGAGAATCCTGGCCGCCCGAGATCATCCGAATACCCTGTTGGGGACTTTTCCTCTGTTGGTTACCCGTTCGAACAGTTTGGGTCTGTCTACCTCGGAAATGACCCTGATCCGCTCCGTCAACCAATCTCACTCAAATACGCATTCTATGCGTTAGTCAACCTAGCAGAATCGGAAAGGAGAGACAACATGATCGATCAATATGTGATGGTCTCTCCACTGCTCGCAAGAAGAGCAGACCCAGCATTTCGCGACAGGCTTCGCTCAGGCCTTGTTGCCCTGTTCTCGACCCTACACGGAAGGGTGACTGAAATTTGTGCGCTGTATCGGCTCAAGGTCACGATCATCGGCATTTCCATACCATCGCAGTGGACCTTGGATTTTGAAGAGGTCTATGGAGGAATCGTCGCCGAAGTTTTCGGGCATCCGAGGCAGGACATTAGTTTCCACACTGAGACCGAGGCATTGGCTCATGTGTTGCTGAGAAAGCACCAAGTCATCCTCGGCACGGGCGACGATCTTCGCGACCGCTACAGCGTATTTCTCTTCCTTGACTTTGGCGGGCATAACATGGTGAGGCTCTAACAAACTTGCACATGTGCGCTCTTGGAGATTTACAATTGCTGATGATACCAGAACGGTTGTGTTTTTAATGTGGCTTACAGCGCAGCTGGTCATATGAGCTATTACAGATTCGGAAAGCCTTTTGGTATGGGGATACCAAATAGTCATGGTCCATGCAGTGCTTTGTGTTAACCCCTCCGCAGGAGCTGGTGGCGGAAGCGAGCAATGGTCGTACCATGTTGGCGAGCATTTCGTCAAGCTATGGCACCGTCAAAAGAAGAGAAAACCGAGTCCTCAGGAAGTGAATCGCTTCATGGGACATTTCAACCAGTTGAAAGCCAGCCTAGGACCTGGTGGTGACTATGATCGCCTCGACACAAGCATTGTCGGTCTCGAGCTTGACCCCGCCGACATCAATGAATGTTTTGAGATATCCCACAAAAATGGCATGGAAGAAGCAAAGAGACAAATCAAAACGGTCTCAATTATCGAGAATGCTGAGCCTTTCGTCATTGTTTCTGGTGGAACAGCCGAACACAGGGTGGTTCGGGACCGCTTACGAAGCTTTTGCGACAGTTGTAACCTGCCAGCGCCGGGATTCACTGGAGAATGGTCACTTCGACATGGGTAATGTGAATGAATAACAAACTACTATCCGAAAGTGCTGATTTTCGTGGTTAGATCTGGCAAAATTGCTCGAGGAGTCGCCTTCGCTGCCGGCAGTCACATATCATTCGATCAATTCTTACATCGTGGAGCAGCCTTTGGTATCCAAAGGCAACAAGTATCCCATCTTGATGTTCCAAATAAGAATCACGGGGGAAATTGGGAGAGCGAGGCAACTTTCTTATTCAATCAGGTATACTTCCTTTCATTGTGTGCGAAAATTGTATCTCAAAAGGGGGTTGAGGGCTCACTTTCGCGCAGGGCTTCCAGGATCGCTGGGTACCCCTAGCAACAGGTACAGGCAAAGACAGGTTTAAGATCATCTGCGACCCCTTTTTTGATGCGGATCAAGGTCCCGAACCGCTCTACTACGACACCTGCTACGATTTCTTGCATCTCGGTAACCTGAAGAAGGGCAGGTGGAAGCTTTGGTTCTCCCTCGTCCGTACCCAAGATTCGACACTCCTAGTTCTCAAGGGCAGAAGAACATACGGCAGGGGACCTAAGCGTAAGACGGCTGAAACTTCGACTAATCCTTTGAAGTTATACTTTGATGGCGGGGCCAACTGCTACTTCGTGGACAAGACGGACTTTGACATAAACAACTTCCGCGAGTGTAAGCCCTCGCGGTCCCCAGAGGATTTGAGACAAGCACGGCTACAAGGCCTCGACAAACCCGATGCCGGCATTATTTATACTGAAGATGAGGCTGAAGCTGATCATCCTGAGCCGCAGTCTCCAGTGGTCTCAGAGGCCGAAGTTGATCATCCTGGGCCACAGACTCCAGTGCTTCCAGAGGTCCAAGTTGACTATCCTGACCCACAGCCTCCAGTACCTTCAGAGGACCAAGTTGAATTTCCAGACGGGATCGAGGATCATCCTATGAGTTTCACGAATGCTGTATTCGCTCTGGACAGCATGAGCAATCAACCTCACGTCAACTCCCCAACGCTATCGCATCGTTTCGGTCGTCAAGAAGAGCAGGCTCCAGAGGCTTCCATGAGTATATGGACGCCTTTTACGTGGAATAATTGGTCCTTCACAAACGGTCGCACTACAGCCGCCGCGTCACAGCTTTCAGGGGAGGCGGCATCCAGATTCAACCACCCCTCGGGTTCCACGTCCTTGCAACGACCTCCTAACAAGTCTACGATCACTCAAAGGGGCCTCAAAACACAGCCTCCTCGGGCGTTGAAGAAACCTTGTTTCGGAATATCTGGGGATTCTGACTCCGATGAATTATCAGATAGTGGCGGAAACTAAATAAAGATTGCATGTATTTCGATAGTGCTTTCTGACTGAATCCTCCGTCCTGCCATTCAATACAGTCCACGTCACCCTGGTCGACTCAATGATTTATGAATTTTTCACAGGAGTAATAAGATGGTGTTTCTTGTTCGCGCGAGTAAAAGAAAAGCTCTGGGCGGAACGCAAGATGGGGAAGGGGGGTCGAAACTGCGTCCGCCTGATCCCGGTATTGATGGCTGTGACTCGCGAGATCATCTCTGTGTACAGCAATATCTCTCGACAGTGTCAAACATAGTCTCCGCACATGATACTTATGAATACCAAGGTCTTCTCGCAGGCGGCTAACTCCTGTGCCTTCTCGGCGACAGGGTTCCGATATGGTAGAGGTGGCGGCCGCGTCTGAGTAGGCCCAACCAACGGGTTTCCAACATACACACACCAGCCAACAAGAATCAATAGCCCCCCTACAATACCAATCAGGTAACCACAGCTGCTTTATGAATCCCCTTGATCTTTGTGAACTGATTCGCTCAGAGAGGCGGGAGTCGAGGTACCTTAATGCACCTATCTTAGTTGCCTTGGGAGGTCGGCATACTCAATCACCTGAGAAATTTTGGCCTGGTGTTGCAGCGGATAGGTTTCTAGCAGATTATTGGTGAAGAGTCAACGACTCCCGTGCTCCCTTCCATGAATTGCCAATCATTGAATTCGTAGCGCACCATCCAACCTGCATCGTCTTGGCTTTGGGGAAACATGGGGTCTGTGGTTGGACTAGAAAGCTGCTCTCTGCACTCTGATCAGCATGCTAGGCTGGCTGTCTCGCTCGTGTCATAATGATAGCACGCAGCCACGACTTTGATCCCTCATGCATGGCACAAAGCTTGACTACATGTAGGATGCCGCCTCTCTTCCCCCTGACCGATGCGCTTGCCTTTCTTGAATTCTCCTACGTTTCTCAAAGACTCGGCCAAAATGCGGTTACTGTTTGACGTCAGAATCTCGTCAAAGTTTAGACAACCTTCCCGTGCCGTTCGATGGGTTACTGGGCCGCGCGGAAATATAGAGCCCTTCCAAGTTGCCCTCATCCCTCCACCTCCCAGTGTACTCCAAGAAGGACACTGTTCCTTCAGCCCACACAACGCCCCGTGCCTGTTTGGCTTTCTCCTTAGGGTCTTTTGAGGCTGCCTGTCCGTGACCGTTGAAGTACCCCGGAGTACATCCCGCAAGTGACGAAAAGAAAGGGGCCCTCCTTGCAATCTCCCGACTGTGCTTCTCTTCTGCCTCTGCGGTCACCTCAACGATGGCCCTCTTGCCAGACCCTACTCTTCTCTCGGCCTCGGAGATCATATACGTCACGTGCCGAGCAATGAGGCCCAACATGAAGACATTGTTCCCCGTGATGGTACCCTGCGACGTACCAGAGAAGAAGAGGTTGGGAAACCCGTTTGTGGCGTATCCGTGGAGCGTAGCAGCGCCGTTACGTCGCCACTTGTCGTCCAACGAGAGACCATTACGGCCGAAAACTTTGATGCCAACCCGCTCAGCAGGACTGCCTCCCGTGCGGCCGCCAGCGACGGAATAGCCGGTGCTGAAGATGATGACGTCGACAGGATACTCCTTATCGGCGATGACGATACCTCTCTCCGTGGCGCCAGACGGCCCCTTACCGTCCGTGTCGAGAAGTTTTACATGAGGCTCGTTGAAAGCTTGCAGATACTCATCGCTAAATGTCGGCCGTTTGCACCAAGAGGGGTACCACGGCTTCAGTTTCTCCGCAGTAGCTTCGTCCTTGACGATTCTGCTGACACGAGCGCGCACGTTTTCCATGTGCGGCAGGTCCAGGGCATGGAACCAAGTGGCCCTCCGCTCCTCTTCCTCGGGCGAGGTATCGACGATGCCGTGGGCGGGCGAGCCCATGACCGCAGAGTAGGCAGGCATATCGGTCCAGCCATCATTGACAAGATTGGGCTGGCCCGGAAGGACGGCGTTGGTCATGTGTCGATTCAAGTTGATCTGCCTCTCAAACTGCCATCCCTTCTTTCTCGAGACGGTCGCTCCAAACGTCTCGGGGTCGGTGGTTCGTTGGCCGCGTTCCTTGACGTAGGCTGGCGTTCGCTGAACCACGTAGAGCTCTTTTGCAAACTTTGCGAGCGCGGGAATTGCTCCTACCGCCGTTGCTGCCGTGCCGACAATGGCAACTCTCTTGTCGCGCAAGTTTGTGAGTGTTTGGTCCTCCTGTGATCCGCCGGTCACGTTGTAATTCCACCTCGAGGTATGGAATATGTCTCCCTTGTACGACAGAAGACCGGGGATTTTAGGGATTTGTGGCTTGGTGAGAACACCCGCTGCCAGATACACATACTGCGCCTGGATCTTTTGTTGAATCGCAGCTGATCCTGGACCACGCCTCTCAGAGAAGCTAATATTCCACAGCTCTTTGTCGTCATCCCATTGCACACTCTGCACGTCAGACCGGAACAGAGTCTTGTCGTCAAGCTTCCATCGCGACGCAATATGTTCGGCATATTGTCGGATTTCTGCGGCCGGTGCGTACTTCTTTGTTGGAATGTACCCAGTCTCCTCAAGCAGAGGCAGGTAGCAATAGCTCTCGAGGTCGCAGTGCAGTCCGGGATACCGGTGCCAGTACCAAGTCCCGCCAAAGCCGCCAGCCGCATCGACGATTCGTATCTCGTCTGCGGTCGCGACACCGGATTCAATAAGGTTGATGGCATAGAGTAGTCCTCCGAAGCCCGCTCCCAAGATGAAAAACCGAGTGGTCTTGGTATCGCGAAGTGGTGATGGTCTAGCATTCAGTGTCGCATGATCTGCCCAAGGATCATCGAGAAGTGAGTGAAGTCGATCCTCGGGGGCGTCGTTGAGGGGTTGGAATTGCGCAGAGCCATCTGGTCTGAGTCTCTTCTTTGCTTCCTCTGCATACTTTCTTCGAACAGCCTCGAGCTTGCTGAGGTCAACATGGGAGATGGGATCTTGCGATGAGGATGTTGTCATGGTCGCAATTTGTGATTGATACTTCGTTTTTACTGATGCGAAAGTGAGGGAACAGAATAAGAATTAGATCTTCACTGAAGAATCATTTCGATTACTTTTCCCATCATCGCCCCCGATTGAGTGAGCTGTTATAAAGGTCAAACTCATCAGAGTTGCCTATGCTGACACATCTGGATGATAAGGCACGCCGCACGCCATCACAAGGCCCTCAACACGCCATCGTTTCTTGAGCACACAAGCTGCATACGTTCGCACGAATACCGGAATGATACCTCCGACATCGCTTTACAAGCATGTATGTGGGATCCTCGAGCCTGAGCAATCGCCATCAACCAGCAATGTTAGTCGCACGATGAACAATGATTTGGCGGGGCTTGCAACTGTAATGCATTTGAAAGCTCTTGGTGTAGGCGACAAAAGTCTTCCGGTTTCCTTCAGGTTTGGGTCCTATCTTAATTTTTCATATTGGTCAAACAGCTTCTGACTTTTCGATCTCCTCATTGACGTGTGTTCCTGATTAATTTCATTTCGATTCCATCAATGGGTGAACGCATTCAGTCAATCGCCAAGTTTTGTCGCATCTTCTTCTGACCAGTGCTTGCGATTTACTATAAATATTAGGTTTGGTACTCCCTCTCTCACATCTGGTCTGTTTCGACCGGCGCATGCTGATTCCTTTGTCTTTGTCGTCAGGGCAGCTTCATGTTCTACGGTCGGCAAAAACTTCTGGTCTTCATCGCTTCTCAAAATGATGAAAAGATGGCAGTGAATGATTCTAGATGGTATAACGACGTATTTACCTACCAACTCAAGCACGTATGAGATCGTTGCACAGATGACCACAGTCAACTGCGAGCTGAGCCTCGAGATGATGCTATCAGTTGAACACACTGTGTCTGCATGATGCTTATGTGTGAAGAGAACTTTGTATTCAAACTCCTAGGAAAACAATGCCCGCCTATGCTACTATAAAGAAAAGCTGACAGACTCGCAGTATAGAGAATCTCGTCAATATAGAAGCTGGTTAAACCATCTCGCTGCAGCTGACTTTGCAGGAGCCATCGCCTGCCTCTTCCCAGGCTCTCTGGCATCTTTCTCTAGTCGAGCAAGCATGTTCAACACCGAGATCGTAATGATGCTCGAACAGGAACCCCTTCTACGTCAGAGTCTCTGAAGCGTGCGTCATGAGCTTGGGTGAACACTGCGAATCAATCTCAGGAGCCAAGAACTGCAACAGGGCCGCAAAACCATCAATTCTTCCTTGGTCAGCAAGCCGCTATGGCCAGTCGCGATGTAGTCGACCAACGGAGGACAGTGTTCCTTTGCTCCATGACGGACCAACGCCCAGGCCCCCGTAGCAAAATACAATGGCTCCGACCGTCTTGTGCTTCTTGCGAAGCTCCTTGACGAAGACTGGCTGGGCCAAACGCAGTCTTCTACGGCAATTCTTCCCCAGCAAGGACCTCTCCCGGGCTATTTTGTAGGGCTTGAGATATTAGCAAGGTTATGAGACATCTCACATTACTACATATGCAAGTCGCCATATAATTATAGCCATATCTCATGGTACCTAGAAGCTGTTTCCCTCGACTTCCTTTCCATCCCCATTTTTATTCTTTCTGAAAGCACTGACAGGGTAAACCTTACCCTGGAGAGGTCTAGTGTGGTAATAGCTTTACTGCGGTTCACTTTGTATCTTCCTCCCTGATAGCGAAATAACAAATCACGCTGCTCGCAGATGTAATATACATCGTGGTGCGGAGCATGGAAGGAGGCAAGCTTCGTCGGCACAACAAGATTGACGTTGATACGCGAAAACAACACAATCACGGGAGATTCACTGAGTACAGCAGACGTTCATGTCGTAATCGTCCCGAAATCTCGAGTTTTTAAAAAACTAACAACTTTTGTAATCCTTTTCTTCTTACATTTCATTGGCCTTCTCCTCCAGAGTCGAGACAATGCTCGGCGTCTCTCGAGTGGGAATTGCCTCTGACGGCTTCAGAACAGGGCTCGTTGGCCGGCTCCTAACGAACTGCAAGGTGGAAAAAAGTATCCCGTTAGTCAAAACAAGTTTCCTCGGTTGCATTTTCAAAATCATGTTGCCGTCCGTCCGGCGGTGGGTGAAAAACGTACGTTGCTGGCCGCGCTGAGAAGCGCAATGAGCGAGCTCTGCACCACGTCCTCGTGGATGCCCACGCCCCACACCGTCTGCTTGCTACCCGCAGTCTTGCACTCCACATAGGCGGCCGCCTTCACACCCCGGCCCTCGCCGATGGCGTGCTCCTTGTAGTCATGAACGTCAAAGTCAATATTAATGGCCTTCAGCGCGGCCACCATGCTCGAGATTGGCCCGTTGCCGCGACCGCGGAGTTTCACCTCCTCGCCATCGACGAGGATGACGCCCTCAAAGATGCGGACCAGACTCTTGGTGTCCTGTGTCTTGCCAGCCACCGCGAGAGGAGAATGTGAGCGGTCGGGTGTGATGCTGTAGTCGACGAGACTAAAGTGGGGGTTCTCGTTGACGAAATAGGTCTTTTCAAAGAGGCTCGTAATCTCGGTGGCTAGCAGCTCTCGACCCAGCTCCTCGGTATGGCGTTGGACGACCTTGGAGAATGCAATCTGGAGACCGCGGGGAAGGTCGAGCTGGAGCTTGGCTTGCAAGATGAAGGCGGTGCCTCCCTTTCCAGACTGCGAGTTCACGCGAATGATGGCTTCATAATTGCGTCCAATATCTTGGGGGTCGAGAGGCAGGTAAGGCATTCCATTCCATGGCTCGTCGTTGGACAGGCCTTGTTGCTGACGGTTCTGAAACCCCTTCTTGATCGCGTCTTGGTGGCTGCCAGAAAAGGCCGCATACACGAGACTTCCCCCGTAGGGAGCACGCTGGTGGACGGGGATCTTGGTGCAGGATTCCACCGTCTCAATTACCGAGTTCAGGTCAGAGAAGTCGATCTGTGGACTTGTGCCTTGCGTGTAAAGATTCAGCGCCAGGGTGACAAGATCGACGTTGCCCGTTCTCTCTCCGTTGCTTTTGGGGACAAGGTTAGAATTTGTATGAAGCAACTCGCGGAAGAGGGCATACATACCCAAACAGACAGCCCTCCACTCGGTCAGCTCCAGCCATCTGGCCGAGCTCTGCCGCGGCAATACCTGTTTCATGTAAGCGGTTGCACGATAACCCTGAACTTTTTGCACATACTGCAGCCGCGGTCGTTGTGTGGATGCTGGACAATTGTCAGTATATATAGACGCTCAAATTGGAACAGTTGATGTCTTACCAGAGACACACACACATCCTCTCTGTCCCCGATATTGTTACAGAAGTATTCTACCAAGTCTGCGTACACATTGGGCGTTGAGAGCTCTACCGTTGCGGGCAGGTTGAAGATGATGCGGTCGTCGTTTGCTTTGTCGGGGCCCCACGCAGCCTTCACCGCGCGGCAGACTCTCAAAGCGTAATCGGGGTCTGTGTCAGAGAAACACTCGGGTGAGAATTGAAACTGCCAATTCGTTCCGGAGGCTTCTGGGTTGTCCTTGGTGAGAGACCTGACAAGCTTGGTGCATTCTGTTGCAAGCTCCAGGGTCTGCTCCTCTGAGTAGCCGAAGACGACTTGCCGGAAGCAGGCGCTTGTGGCAAGATAGATGTGGATAATGGCGTTCTTGGCTCCGCGGACTGATTCTACAGTCCTTCGGATGAAATCGGGGCGGCATGGTGACAGAACTTGCAGGAAAACGTCATCTGGGACAACTCCCTCGGTCTCAATCAAACGACGGGTAAAATCATAGTCAATCTGAGACGCCGAAGGAAACGAGACTTCAATCTCCTTGTAACCGAGCTCGCAAAGCATCTTGAAGTAGCGCCATTTCTCATCACCATTCTGAATTCAACCATGTTAGTCATTGACAGGGCTGAGAAGGTGGTCCACAGCCTGCCGACAGTAGAGCAGACAAAGGAATGAGTCACGTTGATAGAGATTGAGAAACGTACCATTGGGTCGGGGAGACTTTGGTTTCCGTCGCGGAGGCAAGACCGTGGAGGACGTTAGCAACGCTCGGTGCACTAGGGTGGGTGGGAAACATACGAGAGCCAACGAGGGGCGCGATCAATGACTTTGTCGGGCCATTGTCTGTTTGGGAGAGACAACGGCTTGAGAAATTAGCTGAATGACACAGATGAGATGGCAAAAAGGGCAGTAATTACCTTGAAAGGCTTGTATTTCTTGGATGGATCTTTCAGGCTGTGGAGAATTGAACAAGTTAGTCGCGCGAGAGCCACACGACCTTGAGCGACGTCAACAGCTGCAATAACCTACACTGGCATCTTGGTGGTAGAAAGTTGGCCGATGATCGACCGACAACGACACAATTGGCGCAAAGTGAGTAGGAGTCGAACAAGAGACAACAAACAGTTCAAGATGTTGGTTGTTGACCTGATTCTTGGACGCCTAGATCGGAGGATGGTATTAAAAAGGTTGATTTTTTTTTTGAGTCACACAAAGGTGGGGTGATGGCCGATGCAATTCATTATGTTTTTAACAGGCAGGCGGTGAGACCCCGTTTCTGCCATTTGTTGCCCCAGCCGCCTCTCTCCATGCGGGGTGTGTGATACCCTGTCACGCCTATGACACATAGTAATGTAGGTACCGTACCTGCGTACCGTACCTACCTACCGTCAATTACCAGTTAGGTACGGATACTTTATGACGGCCCGGTTTCCGGAGCCCAGGCGGGGTGGCGGGGCAGAAAGCTGAGATGCCTTACTAAGGAAGACCCCACATCCGCCCTCCCGCCCTGCCACCTGCATAGTACCTGAGCCTCAGTACCTACCTACCTTAGGTTCCATACATCAGCCTGGACGATCCTACTTATTCCAACAAATTTCAGAACCCGTAGAATCTTTCTTTCTACTGTAGCATTGTTCGAAAAAGGGCATAGAATCCAAAACAAAATGAGGCAGCAATCTGCAAGATGGCGGACAGGCGATAGGCTGCGATGTTGAGTGTGTCAGCCAGATACCCGCCAACATTCTCTCTGCAGTACTCGACCTAGCAGCGTACTTTTACGAACCCTCGCCAACGGAAAGTGCCAGGCATATCCAAGGGCTGCGCCAAGCCTCCTTGTCTTCTATCGTCAGCTAACGTTTTTTTCGATTGCCTCCGGAGATCCAATCTCGCATCGTGGGGTTTTGTTTTACAAGTTTCGCACTTCAAAATGGGACAACTATTGTTGTCCTACACAGCAACCCGGCCAAACCGACTAGGTCTTCTCCCAGTGTTTTCAAGGAGATTTGAGCCCATGTGACAAGCTCCGAAGCTATCGATTACCTGTCATCTTTGAGCAATCATGCCGACCACAATCATACTAAGCTCAATTTTGAACCCGACCGTACACGATCTGTAAAGACTGTTTACATTGCCAAGAATCGTTTAGGTGTAAGAAACGTAGCCTTCTGCCATAGCGGGGGGAGCCCCAAAGGTTGCTAAATGTCAAAATATTTGGTGGCGGATGCTTTACGTTGAGACTCAAGCCAAGCTCGTCGTCCAGAAAGACGTGAGACTCTCCCAAACCAAGATTTCAGGAAACTAACGCACTACAGGGTCAATCCGTTGCCTTACATTTCAGAATGAGACGCCGAAGCCCGTCCGTGTTGTTCAGCTGGAAAGATCCTCCCGAGCTTCTAAGATGTCATCGATGTTGTGCAGTGAACGGGGAATCATCGAGTACGCCTTTTAAGGGAACTTTCGCATCAGATCCATGCACGCAGTCACTGCCGAGCAAGACTTCTCCTCAATTTTATCACGGCAGCAACAACGGCACGTGGGGCATGTGGATGTACTTTCCACTCGATGAACAAGAAAGAATCAGAGATATATGGAGACGCGGCGAAGCCAACTGGGATATGGCTTTGATTGTAACGTGACCCGGGTTTCCATACGGCCATAATTCTACTCACATGCACACATTTCAAGACAAGCCGAGACCGTACCGCTGTGATCGGGCCTCATCTCCAGCTGCCATCAGCAACAAACATCAGCTTGGTAGATCTTCCTTGCCAAAGGAAAGCTAGTCGAGTTTACTTTGAAACATCTCGGATCGGTATCCGCAATATGGCGTTCACCAGCCCGCAACCTGAAATCGTGCTGGGCCGCAAAATTACTTGACCCTACCAAAACCATGGTCCAGTATACCTGGAGGGCACTACTTCCACTCGACAGCCATACTCAATGGTGTCAATAAGATCGTGCCCTGTCAACGCCGAATTGACGGGCAGATCAAAATCACTAGCGTTTTCTTTCATTACTCTGATGGTGGTCGCGCATGTCTTGGGCAGATCCGCCTTGGTTGCCTAACACCTTCACTTCACGTCGGCAGCCATTGGAAATTTTGGTTTGTGTTTTTCTGAGGCATGCTTTGGGCAGTTTGTCACATCGTTCAGACTAGACCGTCCTGGAAGGGATGGTATCTCATGTTGCCTCGATGTGTCAAATTTTGACCTTTTGGATTGGTCGTTTACACCACAGCAAACTCGATTGTCGCGCTTTCGTCCATCGACACAGTCGACTCAGTATACTGGTGCCACACATTTGCAATTATGAAACATGTCGTATGCCTTTGAAGCCGCACTTTTTTTTTCGAGTGCTATAGCAACTACATAATGCCCACTGTGCACATATGAACTCATGCTATTGCCTAAATTGCGGGACGAATCCGGCTGAAGCACCCGAGCCGCTGTGCTTTTCCCCGGGCGACCAAGAGCATAAACCGGGCCTATGCTAGGCCAGAACGGCCCGAACTTGCCCTGAGTAAAGGCGGTGTTTTGTTTTATAAGCAACAGAGCTTTCTCTAGGTCGGATTAGGGTCGTAAAACTATACATCCGCAACCCTCGACCGGACAAACAACAGGCCTAGTAGAGATATCCACTCCAAGTACCTCACGCTCGGAGTCCCATGTTGGCGATAGCATCGAAAAACAACATGGGAAATGTGATGAACCCTATAACATATGCGCGAGAGAATCTCAGCCGCCCCATCTCAGTTAGTGCCCGGGATTCGATAAGATCTGGAGACTGCCGCTGTAGACTCCGTCCTACCTCGCTGCCGAGAGCGCGGGAGCGAATCGGATCTCATGCCAGACGCACCGGTGTATCTCGGCAGCGGCTGGCGGCACAGGGATGGTTCTGCGGCGCGGCTGGGAGACGCAAAGTCCCAAGGGATGCCTCTTGCAAAGCTCCATCGCTGATGGGTCTGAGAGTACTGGTACCGCGGACGACAGGTAAGGCCAGCCAAGTAAGCTGGCCTTGATTGATTCTAGATGAGCCCGAGTATGTACGTTTCTCTTGCCAACAAGATCGGTGCTTTTACTCAGTGGTGCTAGTAGAGGGCCACCTTACCGCTGGTCAACCATGCAGTCCGAGAATACGAGACTCCTTGTTCTACCACGCGGCAACTGCTATTTTTGGTTTGATGTGAGGAGAGGAGTCGATTGTGGAGCTAGCTGGTCTTCACACTGGTCCGACCTTTCACTGGATTTCCTCCAACGTTGATTTTTACTTAGGATGGTGGGGAACCTAATCAGCAAGACCTTTCCGACAGTCACATGCGCGCCGAGCTCGCGAGATATTGACCCTGGGACTCGCCAGGCCGCTATTACTAATCTAGGACATTACCACATCCACGGACTGTAAGTGAGTTTTGGTGACAGAATCCTGTCTCCATGGAGCTGAAGCTAGATCCAGGTCGAGGTTGACCGAAGTGGTCGTTTCCTGTCATTCTCTGACCGATTTACTAGCCGACAGTGAGCAGACGTGCCGGACACCAACCTTGGAGCGCGGGGTAAGCAGAGGAAGCTCAAAGTGATACACCGTGCCGTCTTTGCAACCGGCAGCTCTTTATCCAAGGGGGAAAACAAAAAATCAAACCTCCGCCCAAGCCCACGGATTCCACGTTTGTTGCCTGCCGTATCCATCAGCCGTGATAGCTGCCAGGCACGCTCGGCACGATAACGTGCAGGTGGCCGGCCATTGGGAACAAAAAGGGGAAACTATAATGTCTTGATTCTCGGCTTCTCACAATGCCAAAGTGTCCCAAAGCCGCTCTCCAGTTCCGGCCTTGACCCACTGACGCACGTCCTACCCACCCCGGTCTCGCCCCCAACGGCATTTCCACTCGGGAAAAGAATCGTCCCCCAGGGCGAGTAGAGGGGCCCCAGGGAGGGGCCAACAGCGTAGCCGAAGGTTTCCGAAGGAACCCGGCAAGTGGAGGAGGGGCGAGGGGAAAAGTCGGGGACGCAAACGCGCAGAGTCTCGGAGGTGAGCATTCAGTTTGTCCAAGGCCATTCGTGATGCAGGACTTTACTTTTGCAAGAAAAGACAGAGAATTTGGAAGATTGAGAGACGGTTTCTCAAGAGCACAATTGCTCAATGTTGCGCCGTAGCATTCGCCCCGAACGTTCATAGCCTCAAAGTTTACGTAGTTGGAGTCATAGACAACTCGGCACGCGGGGGGGACCTCAACCAATCACCAAAGTACCGCGAACGTGTACCGAATCAACTTGAAGAGGATATCAATTTCTAATTCGTGCGGAGAAAACTGGGCCTTCTACGGGCCACATTTTACACTGACGCCATTTTGCAGTGCGGTTTGGGATAGGTACACACGAAGACGGGAAGGGAAAAAAAAAAAGTGAAGAGGCTCTCCGTTCTTCGGAGTCTCATGCTCAAAACAATTATCCAGCCAGTGTGTTGTTGTCCTCTGTACTATGCACGCACACCCACACAGATGCCCGCACACACACTCTCTCGTCTGTCGCTCTCACATGCTGAAACAACCACTCAAATGCCTGACTCTTTCTCCACTCAGAACTTGTTCTGGTTGGCGTTCTGCATGAGCATCTGGGAATCCGGCTTGTACTTCTTGGACACCAGACGGACGTCGTACTCTACATCGAGGACGGCGCCCTTGGGCTCGTTCTGGACGGGCTTGAACGTCAGGAGCAAATCGTCCTTGACGGCGCAGGCGGTGTCGGTCTCGAGGTACGGGTCGTCGCTGGGGTAGAGCTGGGCCGTGACGCCGATGAAGTCGGGGTGCGTGACCATCATGTGGATGTGCGCGGGGCGGTACGGGTGGCGGCCCATGAGCGTGAGGAGGTGGGACGAGGGGCCCGAGGTGTCGATGGCGTACTCGGTCGGCTTGAGGCAGTAAAAGAAGAACTTGCCGTCGGCGTCCGTCTTGAACTTGCCGCGCAGGTTGTGGCGGGTCTGGTTCTCCGGGTCAAAGACGTCGTACTTTCCGTTGGTGCTGGCCTGCCACATGTCAAAGACGGCGTCGGGGATGCCCTTGCCCGTCTCGGCGTCCTTGATGACGCCGTGGAAGTACGTGAGCTGGCCGTCCTTGGGCATGTCCTGGACCACGGACGCGCCGAGGTCGCGGAAGGGGGTTTCGGGAGACCAGAAGGGGCCGAGGATGGTGGAGGATGTGGGGGCCACGCCCGAGTCGGTCTCGACCGTGTGGTTGATCTCGTCGACGAGACTGTCCGGGATTTGTTAGCCACTGGCTGGGGTTTCTCTTGCGAGCGGTCGCACTGGCGCGCCGGAAAAGCCGCGCGGGGTAACGATTTTCAGAGCAGACGGCGCTAGGGAATGGGAAAGGGGGGGAGGGGGGTTCACTCACGACTCGATACCCAGAATATCGCACACTCTCCATGCCTCATTGCGGTTCTTCTGGTAGGCCTGGCCGATGGAGTTGATGTAGTTGACTCCCAGAATCCACTCCTCTTGTGTGAGCTCGACGTCTCTGCAGAAGTCGTGGAGGTGCTTGATGAGAGAGCCGAGGACCTGTCTGTGTCTGGGCTTGGTCTCGGGGCTCATGAGGTCGATGACATGTTGTGTGAAGTTGGGGTCGAACTTGCTCTTGGTGCCATTGGTGCCGTTGGCGTGTCCGTTGGCGCCGTTTGTGCCGTTCGTAGCCATTGTAATGGACGTTATGGAAATGTGTTTTGGTGGAAGGTATCTTTGGGGGATTTACAGGAACAACACGCTGTGATGAAGATGAAGGAGAGCACTTGTAGGATGAGAAATTCTTCAAAGCAAAACCAGATCGGGGAACAAACCGGAGGACCACGATGGTTAAGTATCAAAATCTGGAGCCCCGGATTAAGGGACAGCTATCAGACAAGCCACGGATGGTGGGCATGAATCGTATGACCAACTTCGTTGCGGCAACAGAATGCGGCATCGAGTGCGGCAAGAGACTTCGGCAAATTGACTAGGGGTTCAGTTCTTTGGGGTAAACTTTCGCGCCTCGCGCTTTGTGCCCCGCGGTGGCTTATCCATCCCACCAGTAGACACCGCGGACTAAACCCCCGCCATGGGCCCTGCGGTGCTTTACTCAGCTCAAGGGGGGAGAACAAAGATCCGGGACAATAAGTAGCGATGATGGCATGGGTAAGTGTAATTCCCACGCCTAGCAGCCGAAATGCGGGGGAAGCCCGTGGGACGGCATGCGGGGGGGGGGGAACACTCTGAAGGAATACGGCGTTGACAAGAGCTGTTTTAACTGTCTCTGACTGGCTAGTTCCGGGAACCTATGGGGACAAGAGCCCATTCCATTGCCAGATGGCTGGGATTCTGCTCACAGCTCGCTGACGGATCCATCTCTCCTGATTGGTATGAACTGTCAGGCGGCGTCGCTGTCGGTTTTGGATTTTGCCGGAGCTGTTGGACCCTTTTGTTTTCCATCGTTCGATATTTGATTATGTAGCGCATTAAATCGGCGCATCGAAGCGGCTCAGTCGGGAAGAAACGCGGATGCTGGGCGGCTGTGGCTGACTCTTCCAGGAGTCGTGAGAGATTGTAAGAACTCGTCAGGACAACAAAGTGTATCACAATTCCGACACCAGACTCGACCATGTCATTGGATGCCTCTAGTCTTTCAGAGCCTTTTGCTGTTGTTAGTTTCCTCTCTTCTCTTAGGCTCAAAGCTCTCTAGCAAGCCATGCCAGCAAATCGCAATGTCTCAAGAGTGTGACCAGCTTGGACCCTTCAATCCGGGGTCGGCGCCGATGTGACTCTGCGACCCGGACGGTCGGTTACCTGGACATTTCCCAGAAGTCCGGTCCGAAAAGGCTCGCCTTCATCTTAACTCAGTGCTTGCACAATTCACTCTGCCCCGGATGCCCCGGCACCAAACGCCGCATTCGCGGCTTCGGGATGACTCCTTGGCATCCCCAGATCTAAAGATCCCGGGTCCGTTCCTCCGTGAAACAGCACCCGCATCCCTGCCCGACTTTGCTGAATCCGATACAATTCCAGCGCCGCGCGTTCGTTCTCCTTGAAAAACGTCAAATTCCTCGCCCATCAGTCCGCCATCTCCGGGCTGGTCACCACTACCACCGCCATTGCTCGCTCTGCCAGCAGTATTAGCCCCCTTCGGACCCGTCGTACCGGCATGAGGTGCTCAGCAAGCTCACCTTGTGGCAGGTCAATATCGTGGAGAATAAAGTGCCATCAATTCTATTCAATCATTCGTTCGGCGCCCGGGTGACCTCGTCGCTTCCACCCACGCTGAAGTTGGTCCAAATGCGTCCTGAGACGTTCAAGGCCTGGCTCTGGTTGATATAATCGTGCCAGGTGCCGTTGTCAATCATGCAAGGGTTCTGCCTGCCCACATCAGTGATTCCTTGGATCATGGCGCTCTTTATCCCCCTTGGTCTAGTTGGTGCTCATTAAGTATGAAGGTCTTCACCGCTTCCATTGATTACCAACTCCATGAGTTGATAGGCATGACTGGTACATGCACATAGCCATACTATTCCCCGCCCCTCCCCCGGGTAGGTAAGTGCACTAGGTAGGACCGTTTGGTTGTGATCTGCTGATCAATCTATCATTCCATGATCCTCCATCGCCTTCAACCTCAGGCCTCCGGCGACTGCTCAGGCTTCCAACATAGTCATTGGCCTAGAGCTATATCGAATGGCAAAGTATTCCGATGAAGTGAGCTCGGAGACACCTACGAGACTTGTGGCCGGGTCGCCGGGACAAAATAGTGTGTACGGCATGGTGTTGCCCCTGCGGCCCCCGGTCCTGAAGCATTGAGATCAAGTGCCTTCCGGAACCAAAAGCGAGAGGGCTAGCGCGGCCCCCCTCCCCCCGGACTCTGGCCGCCTAGGGGCGGGAAGCTGCTTCCCCGTTGCATTCAGCCCCAACCCCGTGAAACTAAGCTGCGTCAAACTGGGCCAGACCGCAGGTTTTCTCCGCTTTTTTGGGGACTTTGGCATTTCGAGACCCCGAGGAATAGCGTTGCTATGATATCATCTTCATGTTGATACTAAGAGCGAATGTTTGGCAGGTTTATGGATAGGGGGAACCCATACTTCTAATCGGCTCTGCAAGTTTTGGGAGCACAAGTTAAACTGCCGACCAAATGTGAACATTCACCTATCGAATACAAAAGCTTGAGATCACTGGTTTCCATTCTTAACAACCAAGCGTTTTAGTACCTCGAATCCAATGCACAGCATCGAGCATGAAGGCCGCAGTCGTCGGCGCAACAGGTGAGACTGGTAACTCCATTGTCAACGGACTACTCTCTTCACCAGAGATAAAACATGTTAGGATATCGTCTTAATAACGTTTTTTTTTTTTTTTGGGAAAAATACGATCACGACTTCAAGCGCTGATAGGTCTTCTGATAGGAGATAACCGCGCTAATCCGACCGAGCTCGCTGCAGAAGCCAGAGGTACAAGCTTTGGAGAAGAGGGGCGTCGAGATTGTCTCAGTAGACCTAAGCGGACCCGAAGATGAGATCGCGAATTAGCTTACCGGTCATGAGATGGTCGTTTCAGGTGTTGTGGCAGACAAGCTGCTCGACCAAATCCGACTCGCCAACGCGGCTAAGAAAGCGGGTGTAAAGTGATTCGTGCCCTGCCTCTTTTGGGACAGTCATGCCAGGCAGGGGCATGCTGTGGTTTCGGGACCAGGTGCGAAGAAACAACCTGGAAGGCTGGCTGAATCAGATCTTATCAACCGAGTAGCACAATCATGTCATCTTGAAACTAACGACACATTGTCGACGGAGAAACAAGACATGTTTTTGAACCATCTCCAGATGCTCTACCTGCCGTACACCGTCATCGACATTGGCTGGTGGTACCACATCAGCTTGCCGCGCCACTCCTCGGGACGCATCGACGCCATTGCGAGTCCCTTCGACAACTGGGTCGCAGGAGACGGCACTGTTATTTCTGGTATGACGGATCTCCGCGACATTGGCAAATACATCGCGTGCATCATTGCCCACCCAAGGACCCTGAATCACAAAGTCCTCGCGTACACCGAGCTCAAATCTCAGAATGAAGTATACGATCTGATTGAGAAATTGAGTGGAGAAAAGGTTCGGAGAAAACACGTAAGTAACTCGACATATCTCGGACTCGTATAAGGAATAGCATGGAGACAGGGAACAAACGATAAATGCTTGACTTTTGAGCGATTAAACTAACACACAGAAGCAGTCCTCGGCTGACGAGATTGAGGCTGAGATGGTCAAGGCGAAAGACGACAAGGCCAACATCCACAGGTTGTCGGTTTTACAATATCGGAAATCATGGGCCTCCGAGGTGACAACCCGCCAGAGTACGCGCGCTACCTGGGATATTAAGTCACCAAGGACCTGGATCCGGATTTGACGGTAACTTCATTCGAGGCTTTCTGCAACGAGGCTCTGGAGGGCAAAGTGGACTCCATCTACGCGAAGCAGAAGCGGGAGGCCATCGGGGCAGCTTGGAGGAAATAGGCAGACAAGTAGAGTTACTCTGTACACACTCACTTTATGGGCTTCAACAGCAAATACGGCTACTGTTGGGATGCGAGAGTCAAAACGGATAGCCGGTCTTGGTTCTTGCAGGGCCAATGGGGCGAGTCTGCAGAAATTCTAAACTTCTATTAAAGTCACAATGCATCCACAAGTGAGCTGATCGATTCAAGGCAGCCCCGTTCTGAATTGAAATCCAATCTACTTGATCTGCGTGCTTAAAACCTTGAAGCTGTAAATATGAATCGCGGGCGATCTGAGTTTAGTCTAAATCAATTCGGACTAATTCTCGCCTTGGCATTAACAGCGTAGACGTCCGGCTTGGGAGGACAGGAAATGAGGGAATTCGGAAACATTCAGTCTGAGGAAATAACAGGCATTCAAACTCCGAGGACTTTCGCCTTTAGTGTCACGTCCTGCTGATCTTGGTCAGTTGGCGAGGAGGACACCAGCGATAACGCACGTCGCCGGAGGTCGCCACGGTTAGGCCTTCGGCAACTGACCCAGGAAAGCCGCCTTCCAAGCGGGTGGGTGTTTTTATCAGATCCATCAGCCGCCAAGACGCCTTCGCTCAAATCCGATCAATTTCATTTGACAAGATACCATGTCCATGCCAGTCGGTGGAGTGCGCTTGTGCAATGGAGCCACAAAAGCAGATGGGGGGGAGACGGGGCCGCCGGCCACCACCACTTCGAAATGACACTGGTAATGGTGAGGACATCAAGGTTCTCTTGTGCGCAAGTTTCTTTGCTTTCTCTGGAGATTCTGTGATGGTTCCATGTGTTTACTTTTACTTTCGACTTTAGGGGGCTGGAACTGACGATTCATCGCCGACTTTGTACGCTCCAAATAGACGAACCTTGTCGCGCACGCCCCTGGTGTTGGGCAGCAGAAAATTTCGAGGTTTCCGGACGATTGACACGCCAGAACGAACAGAATTTTAAAAAAAAAAATCCTTTATGAGTTCGGTGTATATCGCTCAAGACCCAGGATACCACCGTTCTTGTTAAAACTTGGGTAGCACCAGGAAGCACCCTATGCGGCAAGCGATTGATAGATAACATGGCAACTGGAAACCGTTCGGCTGGTAAGAAGGTGAAAGGTATGGTGATGAGCCTCGGACACTGCGGCCCTCGTTTCTGTGGCTAATTTGCTTGGGATTCATGAAGCCTTCTTCCTTGGCAATGAGCCTACATCAAAAGAAGAACGACGCCTTGTGCAAAAAATCGGTAAGCCACTCTCGATGTCTATGCGACTGCTATGTATCTCACTAATATAACCTGCTAGACTTCTTCATCTTGACATATTGTTGCCTAAGTTACTTCTTCAACTACCTGGGTGAGCAATGCCTGCCATAACTTTGCAACATGAACTGCTTTACTAACAAAGGAAACGAATCGAAGACCGCGCTGCTTTTGCCAACGCTTATGTGAGTTTGTTGATATTCAACGGGTCTTGAAAAGACCAAAACTAACAAAGCCCCGCATTAGGTTGCCGGCTTACGTGAGGCCTTGCATATGAAGGGCCATGACTACAATACAGTCTTGTCGGTGACTACTGCTGGGTAAGATGCTGACCGATAAACACCTTTTACACAACTGCGCGCTAACTCGTGTTGCAGCATGGTGATCGGCCAGATCCCTCATGGAATCATCATTGGTCTTCAAATAGTGCGGCCGCGAATATGGCTGCCGTCAATGTGTTGCCTCTGGGCTTTCTTAACTGTATGTACCATTACCATCAAGAAAGCCGTTTCGATTCGCTGATAGTGTCCAGATGGCTAGTGCTGGTGTCAAAAACACCGCTCAGCTCTGCGTTATCCGGTTCTTCCTCGGCGTGGTGGAGGCGAGCACCTACTCAGGAGCCATCTACATCATGGGATCATGGTATAAGCCCGAAGAAATCTCTAAGCGCACCGCCATCTTCACCGCATCAGGTCAAGTGGGCACGATGTTTGCTGGCGTCATGATGGCAGCCATCTACAAGGGCCTTGGTGGCCTTGGCGGTCTAGGCGGTTGGCAGTGGGTCTTCATCATTGGTATGGAAAAGTTGGCGAGATTCAGGGTTTGACGCAACATGTTAACAATCTTTAGATGGTATCATCACGCTTCCAATTGCTATTTTCGGCTTCTTCTACTTCCCCGATATTCCTGAAAACACCAGCGCCCGGTATCTCAGTGATTCCGAGAAGAGGATTGCTGTTGGACGTTTGCCTCCGGTAATTAAGGGGTCACACGGAGTCAACCCGTTCTCTCTGTTGAAAAAACTGGTACTCATGCCAACATTGTAAGTCTAATAAAAAGTCCACGATAATATATGATCAAAATGCTCATCAAGTCGTAGCTGGGTTTTGGTGCTGTGGTCACCCATTTGCGCGACACTCGAGGCCTGGGTTGTGCAAGGCAACTTCATCCTATGGCTCAAGTACCACGCCAAATCTTTCACCCAGAGCCAAATCAACACCTATCCTTTGGGTGTGCAGGCCGTCGGTATCGTAACGAATATCATGGCGGCATGGCACATGGATGCGACTGGGACCCGCGTCCCCATGGTCGTGCTGGTGTGTCTCATCCAGATTGTTTGCGCCGCAATGCTTCTCGTTCCGAATCTATCCTACGCCGGCAACATGTTTGCATTCTACGCATCAGGATCCTCTTACATGGTCAACCCATTGATTTTCGGCTGGGCCAGCATCATCCTGCAGCGTAGCGGCGATGAGGCGGTGCGTAGCGTGACGGTCTACGCCATGAATATTGGCGCCACAACGCTTTATACATTCTGGGGCATCGTCTTCTATTCGGCAGACGAAGCTCCATATTGGAAAAAGGGTGCGATTGTCATGATTGCGTGCAGTGTACTTGTTCTGTGCTTCATGGGGCTTGTCATCAATGTAAGCTGAAGAATCTTCCTCGTTTCCTGGAGGTGAAAATGGCTAATCGGAATTCCCTACAGATTGACAGGCAATCTCTTGCAAAGTACGGCTCAATGACGGTTCAAGATTTTGAGCAGGCCGCTGCAGCTCGGGAGACTCAGACGCCGCCAGACGGGGAGAGATCAGATGAAAATGAGGACCAGAAGAACACAGTTTTGGAGCAAGTGACGCCAATCTAAGTTCCAAAATTAGGTGAAAGGTGCTTTAGTTACGATATGCAAATCTGTACATGTATGTTTGATCGGACAGTATTTGACCGAGCCAGGCGAGGTTTTTGATTGTCGTAAACTATGAGGAGGGCGCCGTATGGAAATACGAGGTCGAAGCGGCACATAAAACATTGACTGAGGGCCTTAAAATAGTCCTGAGTTAAAGACATTCTGCTATATAAGGTACTTAGATGGGCGAACAAAATTACACGCCAAAGTCTAATGAGCACTCAAGCCCACACCTTTCTAAACTTCAATTCAAACACCTGCTGCAGGAGCTTGAAAGCCTTATGAACTTTCACAAGACCCTGACCATCCCCGATTTCTCGGTTTGACCTAAAGGACGTTCCTTCCGACTGGGTGGCATAACCAGCCCCGCTTGATGAACTACTATCCGCGCTGTGGGTATATGTATGGTCCGAGGAACTGTCCAAATCATCTTCCCATGAGTCAGCAACCTTTGCCTTCGTTTTCTTCGAGGTGGCCTTGTTCTTTGGGTGCGAAGTAGTAAATGAGATGGCATGGTCTTCTGGCATGTAGGGAGCCGGTTCATCCACGATCCTTTCCTCTTCAAGAGCATCACCGACGTCCAGTACATTGATCATGTCCGTGTCATCCGCATCAACTTGTCCCAGGAGGTTCTCCAGACTTGTCACGATGGTGGCCAAGATCAGTGAGAAGTCTTTGAGGTGGAACCATACATCTCCACCCTTGATTCCGTTGTCCCGTACGAGAGTATTCAAATCCCCATGCTTGAAAAAGTCATAGATGTATGCATTCCATGGCACGTTGTTTGTGTCCTTCGGGTAGATGGGGATGTATGGAATGGCCGTCTCGTCGAGGAAGACGCCAGCGCGAACAGTGTCACAGAGCTCGTGGATTGTGGCGAAGTCGTCCGTGAAACCCGAGAGCGCAGCGAATGGGGAACGAAGTGTCGGAGGAGGGAGCATCGGAATTTTTGCTGTCGAGATATCAAACGAGGCCTCTTGTGCAGCGCCCACCCGGCGCTTGCTGAATGGAAGCCTGTCATCTGGAGAGTCCGGAAGATTCTGCGCAATAAAAGTGTGTACGTAAGTCTTGAAAATCTCCAGGGTCTCCTCGTTGTGACCTCGGAGGACAGTTTCGGCCTCGGCTGGGAGGCTAGGCAGAAGGACTACCGAAGGTGATTGAAGTACGACACGATCGAGCCACTCATGGTCCTTGTACTTTGTACATGGAATGCGGCAAAAGAGATGGCACAGGATTGTCAACAAAGTGAGAATGGTCTCTTCCTGCTTCGATGGGTTGTCAATACCCCCGCAAAGCTTGTGCAGGTAGCCTTCCTTTAGTAGGGAGTGAAGAGCAAAAACAGCATTCTCTGTGAAGTATAAGTGACCGACGAGGCCCGAGAAATTGAGGGGTGCTCCTGTTTGAGAGAGAAGTTGCTGTCGTCGGAGGTACTCGATGGAAAAGCGCAAGTGATGCTTGACCGCCATCTGCGAGGCAGGCCCGCCGAGGAACAGGCGAGTCTGGTTCAACAGGGACTCCACTGCGTTGATGGCATACTGAGAGTTCTTCGTGCTGTGCAGCAGACCAAAGAGTCGAAGAACTAAAGTGACGGATATCGGAAACTGCCCCCTGAGATCTGGCAATCGTGATGAGATGATCTCCATGGTACGATGATGAGGGATGCCGTGGAAGACCACGTTACCAAGAAGGTCGAATCCACGGCGTCCAGCGCGCCCCGATGCCTGTCGATAGTTGAGAGCCGTGAGGAAGGCCGAGTCACCTGCGAAAACAACGGTTTTGCAAGGCATGTTCAGACCAAGAGCGAGAGTGCCGGTTGCAACGACGGCGGTCAAGTAGCCCTTGCGGAACAACATTTCCACTCTTTGCACCTTGATGTCAGCAGTTGTTCAGATGCAATATTCAAAGCAACTTACACTTGGCGGTACTGCCGGTTCATACCAGCGTGATGGACACCCAATCCCCGGCGAAGAGCGTCAATGAGGCGGGGCTTGATGCCCAAATTTTCGAGAGACCTGATGCGGTCCTCCAACTCCGTAATCGTGATCTTCGTGGTGTCAGCGAAATTGTACTGCGGAAGAGGTGCCTCGGGGTCGAAACTCTCCCAAGGACTGATTTCTCGGCCTGCGTCTTCGCGTGCAAGATCGGCTTGATTTGGGGCTGCACCAGAATCCTTTGCATTGTGCCTCTCCTCCTTGGAATTCGAAGCCCCTGTTGCTCTCGTAGCGTTGATTCTTTTCTTTACAGCCTTGCTATCATTCTGGTGTTGCCATTTGTGATATGCGGCCAGTTTCCTAGCCCATTCTGAACTTGTGTTCCGATATCTTTGTTCAGCGTCTTCCAACAGGTGAACAATTTTGAGAATAATCTGCTCGCATCCCACACGGTCATAATTGAAAAGAATAGCTGGCAAAGCACCTCTGGAACGGAGATCAACTAGTAGTGAGAAGGAAGATTCACCGTAAACGTCTGCCACAATTTCAGGTTTCTCGAGGCTTGGCTCAGAAGTAGGTCTCTGTGTCTTGAGCCGCTCGAATACCTTGGGGGACGGTGACTTGGTATCCTGCATCCATTGCCAGAGCTGTGCTTTGAGAGAGGCCTCCCACTTGATGATGTCCGACTTCTTCGCCAACTGCGGCAACGAAAGCTCAGGTTTGATGCTGGGATCAATCTGGTATGACTCATCTTGACTTTCTTTCATGGCCAGCCAAAGCCGAAGACAGTCGCGAGGCTCGAGGCTGGCATCATCGAGCGTCTCGCGGTTCCTGTGATTCAAGCAATTAGAAATCGGGCAAGAGAATGTGGAAATAATCTCATGATTTACTTATTTATGATGCTTCCGACTGGATGCACGAAGGCGAAACGGGAGGATTCTCCCGCTTCTGCATCGAGTCCAGGAATTGGCAGGCGTTCCACTGGCTCCAGGCCTTCGAATTCCAGCTTCGGGGGTGGCTGGTACAAGAACTTTCGCAAATCGGAGTATCTAGCCGAGTGAACAATCATCTCAAGGTCGAAGCCCTTGACTTTCTGGGTTCCTGCGAGCCACTCTTTGAACTCGAGTGGATTACCCACCGTAGCAGATAGGGCGATGATGGGACAGGGGGCAAGAAGCAATAATTGCTCCCATATGATTCCGTCTTCGGCTTGGCCAATGCAGTGTACTTCGTCAAATATGATTCTCTTCACCCTCCGAGCCCAGGATCTCTCATTTTGCGCATTCGAAGGTGCGAGGAGCATAATCTGGAGTATGTGCGGAACTGTAACCAGAACTTGACAGCCAGTGGGGTTGTTGACGCGGTAGTCTCGAGTATGAATAGCCCAAACCGAATGGCCGTCATGATGCTGCGACTTGGAGAACCTAGCCTGGACTTCCGCTGCAATCTGGTTGACGAGGGCTTTGGTAGGAGCCACGTAGACGAGGACGTCATCGTCGTTGTTCTGCAGAACCTTCTTCATGGCGTAGAATGAGATGAAGGTCTTTCCAGCGGACGTGGGGGCGACGACGAAAAGACTCTTTTCATCATCGATTGCATCAAGTACTCTTCGCTGCCACGCGTCCGGACTGAAAGACACACGCCTGTCGGGGGCTGAGTCGAAGCTTCGCTCCAGATATGGTCCGCAGTGAGCAAGCTGGAACTCCAGACCTGTCGTCTGAACCTGAAGATGTTTGGTCGATACTTCGTATGTTGAAACAAACGGAAGACGATGGCTGACAGGCACAAAATTCTCGCCATGGAGTTCATCTTGTGGCAACTTCAGGGCCGCCATTAAGTGCTGTAGCTGGTTTATCGTCTCAACGGTAAGTGGCAAGGACATCATCTCTCGAACCTGGGCCCAGATCATCGCCAAAATACTTGACTCTAGGAGAAATCATGTAAGCAGGAGACACAAGGAAGAAGGGTTGAGGTTTACTCATACCTGAATCGCTGAAAGCCTTTTTCAGGGGTCGGCGAATAAGCTGGAGACCAAGCATGTTACACATGTACAGCATTACCTCTCCACCAACAGCGTTCTTGTCTTCGATAGAAAGACTTGACAAATATTTCTTGACCCTGAGGTAGCGCTTCCCGACAGTTGAATCCTTGTCAAAGTCCCGGCACTTCTCTTCCCAATTTCTGATGATCACCGGGGCTCTGGATCGCGTCTTCTCCTCTCTTAGCCTTCTTGATGTCTCGATAGCCCTCTCTGTACCGCTCGTGATATGCTGGCCTTGCTTTTCGACTGAGGCCACTTGCTTCTTGGCCTTGCCGGACAACTCTGCCTTTTTGACAACGATTGGCTCAGGATAGATGTTCTTTCCGGTAGAACTGGTCAGGCTAGCAGAGTACGCAATCGTGTCAGCCATGTATTTCTGGTTTCTTTTGCTTGCAAAGAACCCCAGGCGCTTTGGAACATTCTTTGGGTCGAGGCTCTTCTTCGAATTGTGCCAGTGGGAGAGCTCTTGAAAGATTTTGGAGTCAGAACTTTCATCCTCTGTCATGGATTGACTCGTCAACTTGACGTCTTCCAGATACTTGTCCAATATAGGATGGCTGAATGCAAGGATAGATTGGGTGTCCGAAGTTTGAAATTCAGTGATACATTTCCCCACGCTGCCTTTGTCCTGTTCAATGGAAAGCGGCAGGTGTGGAGACACGTCGACACCGGACAGGTCCCTGACAGCGAATGCATAATCATAAGCATCGCCAGCGGGGACTTGAAGGGATTCGAGCCCTGCCAAGACGTGGCAGTAAAGTCGGCCGTCAATGAGATCGCAGACTCTCCAACTAATTTGGCGACCCATTTTCCCATTAGGCCACTTCTGGATCAGTTCAATTGCTACATTGGCAAAAGTCGCAAAGAACTCATCGTTCTCCGAGGAGTTTGTCTGCTCCGGCGGCGTCGAAAAAGATCGCTGCGAGAGCTTTATATGCTTCAACAGGGCAATATGTGAAAGAAAGGCGGCCACTTGTCTCTCATTGATTGAAGACGAGGTCTTATTCGACAAGAAAGTTGCGCAAGCAATAATCGCTACCTCTTCTCGGGCCTCAACTTCGTCACTGTACCGAAGACACCGCCACTGATGGGGCTTGGACGTGGACTGGAGACGGTCGGAAATCTGTCTGCAACCGGAATCGGGTTTCGGTACAGGTGTTGGCTCTGTAACAGAGATCAATGTCGCCGAGGTTGGGATTGTTGTAATGAGGGTATATGCCTGCGGTTGACAAGGAAGTAAGCATTCTACAAACTTTTTATTGAAAATAACTTCGAAACCCACAGACCTTGGAGCTCCGAAACTCGATGTCGTCGATAAAAGCCAAGCTGTAACCGCGTCGGGCGAATAAGTACATAATCTTCAAGAATTCAACCTCCTTGGTCGTGTCTGGGTTTGAAGAGCTGCCATGGGACATCATGACAAAGTGAAAGCGGTGATGGTTGGTGTACTGCAAGAATTCAGGGCTCGTGATGGAAGGGAATACAAAGCTCATTGGAGATTTGATACCGCTATCATCGGGGGCTGTGCCAGGCCGTAGCTCAGGAGATCGTAGATGCTCGATGGCGACAGCACGCGTCAAGAGGTATTTATAAGATTGTTTCTTGGGGGAATCCGGCGGAGTAGTCAGGTCTTGGTGGCTATTGAACCAAAGGATATGGAAGTAGCATCCTCGCTCCTTGAGTTTGGCTAGGAAGACCTCGATCGCATGCACTGCATGGAGCAGCTGAAAACCGACTGCGGCTTATTAGCGAGCGAATATATAAGGACACTTTTCTGGAGATATTCACCGGCATAGTCGACGTTTGCAGTGGCGAGACAATGAGCCACCAAGGATTCTCCATGAATAGCGAACAGCTCTTTTCCAGCAAAGTCACCGACGATGTCGACTCTGAGGGGACTCAGATGCTTCTTCCACTCCCATAGAGAAGCCATGGGATTACTGCTATCTGTTGCCGGCATGACAGGCAATCTGAATTCGATTCAAGCTCGACGCGGATGGGTTGTCTTTGGGAGGTTGTAGGTTTTTGGAGGAAGAAGTAGGAGGATAACATCGATACAACAATGGAAAGCAGGGCGTCAAAAGAATTGAAATATGCAGAGTAATAACACAGAGAGGTCAAAAATTGCGAATCTGTTTGTTGTGTTAGGGTTAAGGGCGGTAGGCCTCCTGCAGCACGCTGCCGTTGGTCATCCCCCTTGTCTCGCAGCGTAGGTTAGATTCGATAGGTCAGGTAGAAGCTACGCGACAGTGATCATGCATTTGATTTATTTTTGGAGCAAATTCTGCAGGTTTTCAATCTTCTTGCGTTCTCCATTCAACTTGGGGCCATATTCGAGGGTCTTGACGCCAGTCCTCGGATCACCAGGCAATTTAGTCCTTGAGACTGGATGGTGGACTTCATGAAGCACCGAATCCTCAATAGTCATTGATGGAAGGAATTACCATCACTTAGAGTCTGCTCATTGTTTTATCCTTTTCTACCAACACTGGAAAGCAACTGCAGCCGTGCATGATTGGTTTATGCTATGGTTAAAACCCGAGTGATCTCTGCCGGAGGCCGTCCACGCATACTAGGCAAGGGGTAAATCTGGTCAATAACAACTAGCCATCAAATTGAACTTTGGACAATCTGATGGAGGAATTGATCCACATTCGGTAAGGGGTCATCCACTAATGAAGATCTCTTGATTTCTTGTACCAGACTGACGTACAATTGAGTCAAGATACTGCTTGACCTTTGGGCGATACACCTAATGACTGTTGGCACCCCAATAGTTTTCGTGTATCTCAATTCCATCGAATTTCCCAAGTCTATTGGCAGATGATCTCCACTTTTCCATAATTAGCCAGGTACATCAGTTGAAATAAATAATGTGCATACTGCAAGCCAGATGGCGCTACTCTCTTTTGATTTGCATATTCAGTGATTCTGCAGGGTAGACCCCGATAGAAGGAGTTACTGACTGTGCGACAAGCAAACCACAAGGTGATACATTCCTCACATCCTTCCTCCTCGTGCTACCATGTGAAAGGACCAATGGCACGGCGTTAACTGACTTACCAAGGCTCCAGCCGAGGTCTGAAGGTTCAAACTCCACGCATGTATCGGTGATGAAATCTCTTCGGTAGGTACTTGGCAAGATCTACATGGAAATCTTTTTGTTCAACTAACCTGTACCGATGAAAGCGAGCAGCTCGACTGCCAGCTGAGCCTATGAGTAACTTCTGGCCACCAAGACCTGACACTGAGTAGTCAACAAATCCGAAATGTCTCTTCTGGTTACATTGAAAATTTGTCGAGATATCGGTACCTCGTTGATTGCTTCCTCAGACTTCATGTCTTTACGGAGAGACCAATCATCTCGTAGGCTCAGCCGATTAGGCTGGTAAGCCTCTAACCACCAAGACCTTGCACTCATTTTGACTTTGATCCTGATTGATTTCACGCATCATACATACTCGGAAACAACCCCGACCTCCCTGAAGGTTTTGAGTCCATCTAGCTAATCCATGCAACGCAAGCCAGGTCGCAGATTGGGGGGGAACCGTTTCAATTACAAAGTTCCGGTGGTCAAAAGTTGAGGTCAGTAAACACCACTCAGCGTGCAAGCTGCGTAATAGGGAAAACTGAAGGAAGTAACTCAAAGGAGGAGCTTATTGCTGCTAGAGCAATCCGCGGCCGCCGAGACGGGCCTAATGCCGCACATTAGCTTCATCCCCTCTCGCCCATGAACCCAAAACTTCCTCTGATCATTTCGGCCACACGCTCATCGCCTGAAAAATAAAAAATAAAAAGTCTCCCCTCCTGAGTCAGTAGATTCTCCAAATCGGGCAAAATTGACGTGTTCCTGACTCTGACTCTTCCATCCCGATCGTGGTTCAACTTAGTGGCCTCCGAGGTTCAAAAATGAGTTGATAATAATACCCCATCAATGATCATCGCCTCGAAAGCAACAATGATTCTAATCACACTGCCAACACAGACATGGATTACGACGTTCTCATCATTGGCGGTGGCTTCGGGGGATGCTACGCCTTACACCAGTTGCGCAAGTCGGGCTTTTCAGCGCACATTGTGGAAGCCGGATCGGCGCTCGGCGGCGTATGGCACTGGAACAGCTATCCCGGCGCGCGGGTCGACACAGAAACGCCTTACTATCAGCTTTCTATCCGGGAAGTCTGGAAAGACTGGACATGGTCGCAACGTTTTCCAGGGCATGAGGAGCTGAAGAGGTACTTCAAGCATATCGACAAGGTCCTCGACATCTCCAAAGACGTTTCTTACCAACATTTGGTGATTGGCGCCGACTTCGATACTGAGACTGCCAAGTGGACCATCAGAACCAAGACGGGCCGCATATTCACATCACGATTCTTGATCCCGGCGACGGGCAGCTCAACTAAACGCTATGTTCCCGAGTTTCCAGGCAAGGAGTTGTTCAAAGGCGCTGTGGTACACCCCACGGCGTGGCCCGATTCCGGGATCGATGTTCAGAACAACAGAGTTGCCATCGTCGGAACAGGGGCGACAGGAGTGCAGTGTGTGCAAGAAATCGCAAAACAACCTGGTGTAGAATTGACAGTATACGTACGAAACATCAATACTGCGCTTCCAATGCGCCAACGCGAAATATCGAAACTCGAGCAGCTTAGCTTTAAAGCAATATACAGGACACTATTCAAGGTGGCGAGAGAAAGTGATATTGGATTACCCTGCGATGGGCCTAGTCGGCTCACGAAAGAGACAACAACGGAGGAGAGGGAGGCATGGTGGGAGGAGCTGTGGCAGAGAGGGGCGTTTAATTTCCAGACAGGACAGTATGCGGACTTTTTGAAAGACGCGGAGGCTAATCGTTTGATCTACGAATTCTGGGCGAGAAAGACGAGAGGTAGGGTGCAGAACCCGGAAAAGCGAGCCATTTTGGTGCCCGACGAACAACCATATCCATTCGGAACGAAGCGAAGCAGTTTGGAGCAGGACTACTACGAGTGCATGGACCAGGACAATGTTAAAGTGGTAAATGTGAAGAAGGCGGCCATCCGCGAGTGGACACCGCACGGCATCGTGACGGAGGATGGCAAGGGGAGGCAGCATGACATCATTGTACTAGCAACGGGATACGACAGCATGACCGGAGCACTGACAGACATAGGACTACGTGGCAGAGACGGGATTGATATGAAGGAGAGGTGGAAACAGGGCGTCTGGACGTACCTTGGCATACTGGCTCGAGGATGTCCTAATATGTTCATGGTACATGGACCGCAAGGTAAGCACAAAGCCCTGAAGGCCGTTCATCAAAGACTCCACGTAGCTGACGGCAAGTACAATAGCTCCTACGGCTTTTACCAACGCACCAGTGTTTATTGAGTTGCAAGTTGAGTTTATATCTGACTTGCTAGTAAAGCTACGCGAGGAAAAGGTCATTTCCATCGAACCACGCCGTTCGGCTGAAGAGCACTGGAAGAAAACTGTCCAGACAGTACATGAGACCTTGCTCTTTAGCAAAAACGAAACATCATGGTATGTGGGCGGAAATATCCCCGGAAAGAAAAAGGAGCAGCTGAATTATATCGGCGGCATTCCCCAGTACCTCAAAGAGTGCCGCGAAGGCACCAAGGACTGGGGCAATTTTGACGTCATCAAGGAGGGAGGGACTACAGATCAATTCAACATTAGCGAATAGACTTGTGGGATCGATGATGACAGATATCTAAATCAGGATTTGCCCCGTCTAGATATATCCATAACTTACAAGACGTTCTCAAGCCCGTGTTATAAAGAAATCATGCACTCCGACCTGGCAAGATTTGTGGTCAAAGACATCGCTAGTGTACTCATGGAGAGTTACCAGTCATGGAAAGACTGCTCCCTTGGCTTACGACTTCTTGTCAAGGTGCAGTCGGCTGACCTTCCATCGGCAGTTTGCGCAAGATATATCTCTATTTCGCAGCTCTTCTCTACTAAGTGCTGGAATAGCGTATGCATTGGGGGCTCGAGGCTATTCACCCTCCACTCGCGTGGTTTCCCTCGTCATCTATAGAATACCAACCGATGCGAACTTTTCTTGCATCGCCAACCGGTCTTGTCCCAAATCACATCAAGCGTCGCGACACCATCCAACTGCACTTTTTCCAACCGCGTCAACCGTCCACTAGCTAGTACACCTTGAACAGTTTTGCGTACCCATTCATCTTCGCCACGCCAAATATGTAGACGCAAAGACTCCAAAGACTCTGGCAAGAGCGATTCCAGGCCATCGAACGAACCCGGATCCGCCCCTGCTGCGTTTTCGCCGTCGTCGTCATCTTCTTCATCGTCACTGCTCACAGGCGTATCTTCACTTCCGAGCAAGATGTTTTCGGGCAACGACAGGTGTTTAAGACGCCGTAGCGGCCGGAGGTTGCCAATGTTTCCTGTCCAATATCCATACTCGTACGAGAAACAACTCAGGGGGTCGAGATCCAGAAATTCGAGGGAGGCTGCGTGCTCCCGCAGCGCCCTGCCGATCTGATCAAAATCGAGGTCGCTGTCGCCCACCGTGGACGATCCCCACGATATTTCAAGTGTCTGCAAGAGAGGGCATGTGCTTAGGAGATCGCATATGCCCTCGGCATTGGCGAGCGAGTATTTGAGGTGAGCATGCCTCAAAGAACTGCGTTGCTGGGGCTGTTGCTGTTGTTCCGATGCCCGTGCTTCTCTTGCCAGATTGGTGTTGAGGGCCACGGCCCAGCCACGGAATGTCCTCAGGCGAGGTAGGAGAAATAGTTCCTGAATGTTCTTCAAGCTCACCGTGAGCTCCGTGTCTTCGTTGGCTATACAGAACTCTTCCAGCTTCGACAGTGGCTGTGGCAGAGCTGATGTCCAACCTGAATCCCGCTGGGATCGTGGTGCCAGACTGCTCTCCCGCGACGCCGTGTCTGCATCTTGAGCGTCATCGACGGCTCCTCTCGCCACAAGATTGGCTGCTTGGCTAATCATAGCCGGGAAGAACCTGTCGTAGTTCCGAGTTGCGTACGCGAGCACCTTCAAATTGGGCAGCAGAGCGGCGCAATGGGCAAACCACATGTCGGGCACACCTTCTGGCCACTCCGGGCCGTCAAGCAGGCCTCTGATCTCCGCCTCGAGGCCCTCGGGGCTTGATGATGGGGTTCGCAGTGTCCCGGAGTAGTGTGGCAGGACGAGCGAGGTAAACTCGTCGCGAGAAAAGATGCCGTCGCCCAACGCTACGTTTCGGGCATGTTGTGCGAGGTGCGGGTACTGTTGAAGCGTTGATAAGAGCTTTGCCCGCGCCTTGTGATCCGCCAAAGGCAAAGTGCGGTACAGAATCGGTTGAGCGAGTCCCAGAAATCGGGACGAGGTCCTACAGATGCGTGACAGCACTGCGAGGCCATTTATCCCTGGCTCACCGTCACATTCTCCGACTCCGAATTGGACAGCGAGGAGAGACGGCCCTGAAGAAAATTCGAATTGGCTGAATATGTGCAGCCACACTTCGTTGGGAAGATCCCGCATCTTGCAGCCGTCTGAAGTCACCGTCAATGGGCTCGTCGAGGTGTCAAGTGTAAATGCTTGCTTGTCTTTCCATGATGCTGGATGCACTTTACTTTGTAGTAGGCCGTGGATGCCTGATTGCTGCAGGGGAAATGAAAGGATAACGATTGCGGCGTAGCAAGCCTTACGTAAGATGAGGCCACATTTTAACCACATGCAGTTGATTTTGGCGCTCATACTGACCACTTCCTCGTAACCTCGTTCGTCAAGGTTGAGCTTCTATGAAGCAAGTCCATGAAACTTCTAGTTGACTTGACTTGACTTGGAAATAAAAGCTTAACAAATACACATTTGATTTTTCCAAGACAGTTTTCATACAGAGACAAAGGCTGTTGGAAATAATGACTCCTTCTAGGAAACGACTCCAAGGTGGCTGTATAAGTCTCATCAACGATCACGAACCTGAATGGCTCAGGGCTTGAATGGCATCCTCAATTTCAGGAGTTGATGCAAAGTACATGCATTTGCTCTTGGGATCTCTCAGTCGTGGATCAACTTTCTCCGCCTGGCATCGAGAGGTTACATGACAATCTTCAACGCCGCGCAAGGAACTTCTTCAAATCGAGCTGCCCATATCACACACGGCCTCTCTACTCTCTAGATTTTCTTTGCTCTATTTACCTTACATTGGCTGCAACAGTAGTCATGATTGCGTTCCTGGATTCAACTTTAAGAATTCGGCTCTGGGGCTCTTTCTTTTGTCGAAGAGAGCTTACCGATAATCGCCTCTAAGTTCGCTCTATTCCTTCAAAAGCTGCGCAGATCATTCATCAAGACGCAAGGGGTGAGAGATTATCATAGTATATCACTTTATGACATGATAATTCAGTTCCCATGCGTGCTTTGGGCCAACGCGGCTTCAACAATGCCTTGAATGTGGTAGAAGAGAACCTGTTAAATGGAGTATCATACCAACAGCGCCAAAAGAATGACTTCAGAAAGACTTCAAAGGATGGCATTCTAAGGAGCCTCCGAACTATATGCCCGCAGGGCACGTTGTCTAGAGATTTCCAAGAGGGGCTGTTTGTCACGAAAGCTGCCTGGTATCATCACAGACGAGGCTGTCTACTAAATGGTTTCTTTTTAGTCCTCACTCATATACACCATCTCCATTTTTTTATCAAATTTAGGTTGATATAAGCCACCTTCTACATAGTTGATATGCGAATTGCTGTGTGCTCCAGCTCGTGACATTTTTATAGCTCCTCTTGATGAGGAATAATCACGGTCCTGAAGTTACCCTAACAAAGCCACCGCAAAGACCAAAATCTTCATTCCCCCTGGGGCTAACGTACAATTACTGATGCTGATCCCGAGAACCGTGGCACAAAGTTGCCAAAGGACCTTTCACCAAAAGGCTATTTTTCAGCCTCGCTACACAACAATCACACCAGGGCACCAAAGAGTACCATTACAGTTTTCAGGTCGTGCCGAGGCTTCCCCATGATCGCCATCTTGCTTCCCCTCCCCCGCCTTCAGCTGCTCAACATCGGCAGAATCTCAACCACAGACTTTCAGTTCCCCCCCCCAAAAAGGTAGGCAAATGAATGGAAGCTAGGCATGCACATCCAGTCTCCACTCTCCGACCAATACGGCAACATCATCGAGACAGCCCTGGACTACCATCATGACCACCCTTCTCCCCTGCCATTTTCAGACGAAGATACACTTCCCTCCACGGTCTAGACCTTCCCATTTAAGCTCTCCCTCCAGGGATTCCCTCTAGATTCCCTCCAGGGACCTCCACATGCCCTTGAAAGCTCTCGTACTAATCAACCCAACACGTGCCCCGCTGAGCTTCACCAAGCTTTCATCTCACCTTGGCTTTCGTGACGGATGATCTTCTCCCGCGCCCCACGGTGTAATGCTCTGAGTAACTCTCGGGAAGTCTATTTCTCGCAAGGAGAGCGGGGAAAGGAGGGGAAGTAAGCACGGGGGGGTTCGATAAGAGCATAACCACATGGCTGAGACACATACACACACACACACACACACAGAAGCCGAAGGGGAAAAGGTTCCATCTGATGACAGCTTTCATCTGGCAGAAACCTCGTATGAGCATTGGGTAACAAACCTACGCTTATGTGTCCTCATCTACGAGTACATATCCGTACATGAGGCTTAAAGCTCACTCCGCATTTCTTCTTGTCCTTCGCATGAAAAGGGAAAGTGCTTCGGTTGGGGGTAACTGTAGACTGAAAACGTTGCAACGGGTTCGGATGACGGAGGTTTCCACAGTACGGAAGAGCTCGGGAAACTCGTTAGAGACTGAACTCTCCCTCCGGCCGGTCGAGCGTCCCCCCTTCCATCGGGTTCCGGTGGCGTCTGCCACACCGGAGAGACAGAAGAGGGAACCGACCCCTGAAGTGCCGAAAGAGGCTTGACAAGATGTGGCGGCGCTCGTGTGGGTGGTAGGACGCCACAGCTGAGGGGCAATGTGGCTGTGCTCAAGGGGCAATCGTCACTATGACCTGTGGCTCATCCCGCATTGGTTCGCACCCGACCACCAAGAAAACCTGTTCTTGACAGCTGGTATTGATCTACAGGGGAACTCGCTTCTGATAGGCGGCTTTGTCTCCTAAGAATGTCCTGCCAACAATTTTCCGGGTGTACACCTTGAATTGCCACTGTTTGTGGCGATAACATTGGGATTCGCACGGAAATCAGAAGATCGCGGGTCATCGCTTGGTGCGAATCACGATTTGTCCTCCCCTGCGTGCCCCGGCATCGTGGCACCGTGGCATCCTACCCTCCCGAATGAATGTTAGAAATCCTCCCAATTTAGGGACTTCGCGAGCTTGTGACCGGAAATTTATTAAAGCTGCTGGACAATTCCCGAAACTTCAGCCGGCGCCTTTAGTAAAAATGTGAGGCTTCACACAACTGACTACCGGACCGTCTCCCCATATCTTCATTTTGGATAATCTGTTGGCCGCTAGACTTACGAATCAACAGGTACATTGATTGAGAGGTTCTAAAATGGCCACACCACAGGATAACCACTTGGCACCATAGGAAAGTCACGCTAGATAAAGATGAATATCATCTAGATCTCTAGAACACCCAGTCAAGGGCCAAGGTTCCTCAATAGTTTTGGACCAATAACACCAGGTAAAAACTTAGCCGTCGACAAAGGAATGGGCAAGACGGGCACGACAGTATGTACTTCAGCCCATTCGTCGAACATTGACGGTGCGAATCGCCTACCAACGCAGGGTGGCCACACGATAGAAAGACAGGTTCACTTTTTGGTGACAATCAATGGACAGTGTCGCGGCTCACTTCGACGTTACTCGTATATGGCCCTGCACAAGAAGGGCACCCCAAAGATAGAGCCTTAATTTATCAAAGTTCAAAATCCCTTTCTTTTGGCAGTGGCTCATTCGCCGCGCCGCTGGCCGCACGGGAAGGAGGGGGGCACGTAACCCATCTTGGAGCCCATGGGCTATCAAAAATGCTTGGCTCTCGACGCTAGGCCCCAATAGAACGGAGCATTCTGCCAAATTCGGGCCAAAATCGAATCGTGAGTCGCGAAGGTTGTTTACCAGACAAGGGGGTTTGTTAGGTACTGGAAGGAGCCTCAGCCACCCCTTGTATCTGCACTCACTCCGACTCGCCTGCGGGACATTTTTCTTCTTCTCTTGACACCGATAGGTGGGATTGTACGGATAATGACAAGGACATGAATCAACGTGATAGCGTAACGCAGCCGTACTGCTACCGTGCCCTTGAACGTGAACTGACCGCCTCTGCATTTACTTAGCTTATCATCAAATCTATGTTTTCGGTTTGCAATTGCTACAGTGGGGTTGATTTTCCAAACAAGATATCGTGGAATGTGGGGGTGCAAGCAGGCGTGAGGGACCTTTGCTCCGAATTGTCAGGTGGGTGTACCATAACTGATACGATTCGGGATGATCGGGTCCCAGCATTCAGCTCTTCGCCATGAGGGGGAGGAAGTGTAGGGAGTCGGTTTGACAGGCACTAGACGGTAGATCTTCTCCAGACTCCTAGTGATGCGCCGATGAGGGCGATCAAACCAACGCCATTCCCGCGAGAATCAGGGGGTTGGTTGATGGTGCGGTACGAGGTGTGGACTATGCATCGAAACATAGGATGGCAGGGCCTCCGTGAATTGGCTCTTTCAAGTTTGAGGTCAAGGATGACATCTGGTCTGCAGTCGGAATCATCGAATAGTGCGGTTCACGGTGCCGAAGCCCCTGTTGTCCGTCACAGTCCACAAGAAGGCTTTTTTCTACACAAAATGGGAAAAACGCCTTGTCGGTATTTGGGGCCGTTCAACGGACCACTAGGAACTAACCGCGGAAATGGGGAACTGGGATTTATGGTCCCTAGTTGGATCTTCGGAGTAGGTAAGTCGTTGACAAGGCGTTGTGGACTTCACTCCCGGGACTTTGTGGGTTGTCGTGGATGTGAAGGTGCCGTAGGTGAAACATGGCGCACATATTTTCTATTTTTGTTTACAAAACGTCATGGTTCACGCTTGGCCAGGGCGTGGTCTGGCTCGTTGAATGTCGGCATGAGGAAACTTGTGAACCACTCAGCAGGCCCAACTAGTGCAAGGATTAGTCAGTTATGTAAGCGCACACCCGATGACGGGCTGGGGAACGGCCGCTTAGTGGCTGCGGTCAGTCTTTTACTGGTGACTTTAGCTGACAATAGCCCACTGTGGGGTGTGTGAGGCGGCGAGACTTGAGAGAGACGGCACATCGGGAATGTGGGAGCCCCTTCGGCACCGGTGGGGCCAGAGCGAGGTGCCAGAAAGCCGAGACGGCGGTGGCTAGGAGCATTGTTACATTAATGCCGAAACGGCGCCGTGGTCGTCCACTCCAGGGTCGAGAGTATCGGCTTCAGGTCTTGATCGGACTCTCTGTCCTCACGGCACCAGTGTTCGATATTCGGCCTAGTCTCGCGATGCGGGAGGGCTGACTGTCGTCTGGATTCTGGAGATTCTGAAAAGTTGAAATGAAGACTGAGACAGACGCCTGCGAGCCCGTCTTGAGCAAGTGCCAGAAAGTGACAAAGAGTGGACGGACGGTTCACGGTCCAGATTGCGCGGATGAAGGGTAGGTGAGATGGCGAGGAACATGAGATTCGCTTCGAATGAACTGAGTCTGGTGGCCGTAACAAGCCTGATATCCATCATGTATCGACCTAGTTGGGAGGGCCCGTGGGTCGACGTCCGCTTGCTGAATTGTGGCCCGGGGGAACGAGGTCCAACAGTATTGGTGATGCAATATGCGCGATGCTGCAGTGACCGCCATTAAGCCAAAGCCTAACTTGCTTTGATTATTCCCGTTTGGTGTCCAAGGCTTGTTGTTTACTGCCAGCATCCAAGGCCACTCAGCGCCCGACAAGGCTAGGTGGACAGTCAAAGACGGATGAGCAGCAAGCAGTATCCGTACTCTTAGAAGCTCATCTAAGCCAACCCATGCCCCGTTTATTTTCCCACCAGCTTGCTCAGGTGTGTCGACGGCACAGCCCAGATGGAAAGCAAATGAGAGCGAATCAAACGTGGGCGGTGGGTGGATGATTTGGTGGTTTTGATGGTCACAACGGCTGTGGTGGCAGTGCATGAATCACCGTGGTAGGGTCAAGGAACGGAAGTCACCAAAGCGTCCCACAGGATTGATATGGGCGACAGCTCCAGAACCAACGGGGCGATCGCCTGAACAACGGGATCTAGCCATCAACCACACTGAGGGCGGAAAGTCGGGAGCGAATGAGGCGCCTGAAGCTTTTCCAGATGTTAATGCCGTGGACAACGGACGGCGGCACAACTTCCGGTTCGGGGGCGAGCTGGAAGAATTTAGAGCTGCGAGCATGGGACGGCCTGGTGTCAGCGCATGGTCAAACACCGTCGACTCTCCCTTCCACCACCACCTTGACCACCTCCTTGACCACCTCCGTGAAGCTCGGACGGAGACAAATGAGCCTTTTCGGAGTGACCTTTTCGTGATGTGGGCAGTGGCCCGTACGATGTCCCGTAGCGGCAAGTGAAAGTCTATGCCGCGCCGTGTTTCTAGTCGCCGAGACCAGTCTGCTCCCAGTGCGTCAAAGGAGGGCGACCGAGGGGAGGTGTGAGGGCTGTAAAAGGTGGCCGCAAGTGGGAATGCTGTGTCAAGGTGTGTCTCTGGATTGCTTCGAAATGGGGGCTGAAATGCCATAGGCAACGTCCTGTCCTGTTCAGCACGACGACCGCGAGAAGCATTGGAGTTTGGTTCGGCCAAGTGGTTAGTATTTGCATATTGCGAGATTCCAAGCCCACCTTGATCAGCTGAGTTGGGCTGCTGGAACTCATTGAAGACCATGGATTTGGGGTTCAGTCATCGTGGCTGAGCATACGGATAAACAACCTTCTTTTTGAATAAACCAAACGAGGGCCCATGATTTGTTGATGGTGGGAAGAGTGAGTGCTCAGAGCAACGTCGACGGACGATCAACCAAAGAGGCAGAGCGCCAACTAGAACAGCCACAACCGGGACCACGGCACCGTCTGTAGCGGTACATTGCTTTGCAAGCTACCTTCGGTGTGTTGTCAGGTCCTCGATACAATCCAAAGACCTGGCATGGTCGGCTTCGCAAGCGAAAGCGAACAGGGTAACAGGGGTTGAGCCGCCGCCGCACAACCAGAACTTCCCGCCGCCCGTCACCGTCGGGCAGTGGGTTGGTCGGCTCGGGTCAGCAACAACTACACGTGTAGGTGTCCGTACGGCACCCAGCACAACACAGCGACAGCGCCTGTTTGGTTTGCTCTCGTAGCGATTCGCTCGGTTCGGATTTGGTCTCGCGCCCGAACGATACGCGGCCCCGTCATCTCATTCTCACCACACTCGAGGATTGCAGCTTCGTTCTTGTGTGTCGGCCAGATTCTGCTCCGTCTTATCGGAAGAATTCGAGAGGCCACGACAGAGTGAGAGGGGATTGACATTGGATTCATCATCGTCAACGATATTGTAGAGCCATCAGTGACACCGACGAGGGTAAACTGTCGATAGAGTGGTCTAGAGGAGGAATCGGAGGGGAGAAAATTTTCAAAAGTTCTCTTAACAAGCGTACGTCTTCGAGTCGTCGTCAGCGACATTTCGAAAGGGCGACATCGCGCCATTGCTTGGTTGGGCGGCAGAGTGCTCGAGTTCAGTATCAAAACAAGCGGTCGCTGTTTAGGCGAGGTGACGAGTCGGCGAACCCACGTTGAATTCCACAGCGCCCCGGGGCTCACCAAAAGAAGCCAAAAGGCGCAGAAATTGAAGGAGAGAGGACCACCAAGAGCGAATGAGAGCGAGTGTGTGGACGAGTCCTCGTCGACTACCCAGCCGAAAAGGGCAGCAGGCGTCGTCATCCTCAGGCCGCAGACGTGTACATTGTGAGTGTGCGTTGCTGCAGGAAGGTACCTTTCGTGCTTTCCCACCCACCATGACCGCGATTCCCCCAAAGTTCCTCCTCTGCCTGCCTTGCGCTTGCTAAGGTAATCACCTACCTTACCTTCCAGGTTACCTCTGTAGGAGTACTCGCTGTCGCGCTGTAGGAGTGAGAAAGGGCGAGAGAGAAGGAACCCCACTGCCTGCCTTCCCACCCGACGAGAAGGTGCAGCCCGTCAGCCAAGGACGCCCGGGTCCAGTCTCTCTCATTTCCATGCGCTAGTCCTATTCAGGACACATCGTCCATCGGCTTACGCGTCCCTCTTTCCCTCCCATCAGCGCCCCCGGTCACCTCTCTCTGTTCCCCCGTCGTCCCTCTTTCTTCCCTCTTGCGTTGCTGCTCTTCTCGTCTCCCCTTCTCGCCTCCCCTCGCCCATATTTCACACCTCAATCCCGTCTTGCACTCCCCACCCCCAAGTATCCAAGTACCAAAGTACCGAAGCAACCCCCCTCCGTCGCTCTTCCTTGCCCATCCTTGGACTCCTGGTCCCTTCCTTCCTCAACTCCCAGCGCCCACCCCCCTGCTCAGCCCGCCCAGAATCCGCTTGGCCCGCCTTTCTGCCCCTGCTACTCCGAGGACCAGGCACCCAAATCATTCAAGAAACGTAGTCCCCGTGTTCGATCCCTCTTGCTACGCTTCCCATACATCCACCGCCCAGACCCCCCCTAACCTCTCGCCTATCTCTACTCTTCTTGTCCTCACTTCCTCCTTCTCCCTTCCATCTACAGATCGCTCTTTCTCTTCCCTCAAGACCAACCAAACCACCAAACGAAACATCTCCTGAGGCATCGCCATTCAGCATCACGAGCCTCGATCACCGAAACGAGCCGTATTTACCGATCACCTCGTCGTCTACGGGGTCTAACAATCACTACAAAGGTTCGCCATAGGCCGGTGCGGACCCGAATCCACCAAACCCATCCATATCGATACCTCAGGGGTCGATCCCTTCTTCGACGGCAATGTCGTCTTCGAACCAAAACGTCGATAGCATCGACGCCCTCCTCGACTTCAGCGAGTATGACAACATGTCTTATCAGTCCCCCTCGCTTTCTCCCGCAGCCACCGCAAAGAACACCTTCACTCGCCCATCAGTTAGCACCGTCGCGACCCCGACTATGCCGTCAGCATCACAACCTCTCACTGGCCCTAGCCACCAGTATGATCTGTACAAGCAGCAGACTGGCATCGTTCCTGGCGCTTTAGCCAGTACTTTAGCCGTAAATGAAGCCAACTCTCACATCAGCGGCTACAACAGTGGCTACGGAATGGATTACTTGGGCAACGGCCTAAGCCCGGAGAACGATATGTTTGACTTCAACACCTCTCCATCCCAGAACTCTACCGGCTTGGACATGGATATTGAGTTCGACTCGCCTCCGGATTCTCAGTACTTCTTCCCCAATACCACCGTTAACCCCACCGCCATCAGCGGACAGGAGTCTCCCGTCGTCCCTTCTCAGCAGAGCAACGTCGGCAGACTCTGGCCCGGCATGCACTCTCAGGCTGCTCTCGCAAAGGCTCAGGCCCAGCAAAGGCAACAGCAGCAAATCATCCAGCAGCAGCAGCAGCGCCAGCAGATGGGCCAAAAGCAGCGCACCAAGAGCCAGCAGCCCACTGACCCCATTGTCGAGCAGAAGATCACTCAGCTCCTCAACTCCATGCGCGCGAAACCCGCTCAGGAGGGCGATAGCCCGACTCCTCTGATGAATCTGCCCCGATGCAAGAAGGATGAGGAGGACATGGATGAGGACGAGAGACTCCTCGCTAGTGAGGAGGGCAAGAAGCTCAGCAGCAAGGAACGCCGCCAACTCCGCAACAAGGTGTCCGCCCGCGCCTTCCGCTCCCGCAGAAAGGGTGAGTCTAACAATCAAACCAGTCACAAAAGCCGCATACTGACATTTTGCAGAATACATCACTCAGCTTGAGGCCGAGATTGCCAACAAGGTTTCCGAGAACGGCGACCTCCGCCAGCACAACCGTGCCCTCCAGGACGAGAACAAGCGCCTCCAAGACCTCACCCGCATGCTCCTTGCCTCTCCTTCTTTCTCTAACTTCCTCGACCACTTGAGCACCAACCCCCAGGCCGCCCCTCAACAGCAACAAGCTCCTGCTGTCAAGGTTGAGAGGCAACCCGAGCAGCGTCAAATTCCCAAGGACATCAACCCCTACGCGAACCAGACCCAGCAGCAGCAAATCGGCATGGCCATGGTCCCTGAGCAGAACATGGACTTTTCCATGCTGAACATTGACAATGACGCCTACAACTTCCAGCCGCAGGTTTTCGCTGTCCTCGAAACTCCAGATGTTCCCGTTACCATTGATACCAACGTCCTCTCTGGAAAGTCGTCCAACTTCGTTGGCGAGCAGTTCGAGTCCGATGACGAGAAGATTGAGCTTCCCACTGTCGAGGCTCCCAAGGTCCTGGCCCCTGAGGTTCCAACTCCGGCTCCTGCCGCTGAGGAGGTTTTTGATGATGAGTTCGAGAACGACCCCGAGTTCGCCCTCTACCACTCTGCTACAGCCCCTACCACCGAATCCCCTGTCGAACTGGATACTGAGGCCTTCTCACACGTCGAGGTCTTTGGTGGTGTCGAAGCCGAGAAGGTCCTCGCCCGCTATGAATTGATTGACGCCTCGGAAGACGAGCAAAACGCCTGCGTCGCTATGGCCAAGGTGCAACGCATTGACGCAGCCATGGAACCTGTACTCGCGAGACTGGAGTCGCTTTTCCTTTAAACACCACACATTCTCTACTCCACTTTCTTTTTACTACCTCTTTATGGGCATTAAGTTCGCTACACCAATTCCTGTGCATACTAGCTTGAAATCTGGGACATGGCGTTGGGATTTATTGGGAATCAACTACACCCGAACCGGGACGGTATTTAGTTTCTTATTTTTATTTTCGAGTGTTGCGGTGGAAGAAAAGATGTTATAGGAACCAAGCCGGTTCGGCATGATTGATGATTGTTCGTTGACATTGGCGAGTAAGAGGTGGGGTTACGGCTGGCCATGGCCATCATGTACTAGATAGATTGGGCGCTCCCGCAACTCGATCTGAAGAATACAAAAGAATACTCAAACTCGAACCACAGCCCATCGTTTGCGCCGTGTAATTGATTTACTGTGCCTCTCTGTCTGTTGGTCGTTATGTTTGTCCAGACTGTTCACTCGTCCCACATCGGTGATTTATGGGCCCGTCGTACAAGATGAGGCACGAAACGTCGCGCGCGTTTCTCAAGAATCTGCTCACCCCGTGCATCTATGCCGTCCCTTCCCTCTCGTCTCCACCCTTCGGATTTCCATGAGCACGTCCCACGGATCTTTCAGCCCACCGCCCGTCTGTCACCGTCCCGTCTTGCGAAACGCTTGGCTTCTTCGGCTCGATGCACACGGCTGGACGTGGTCTCTGAGATGCCGAACGAGAAAACCACCCTCGTGGGATGCGATGGCACGCATCTCCGAAGATCCCCACCTACCGGCGAGGGTATGAATGGAAGGCTAGCAAACAGCATGATTGAGAGCTCTCTGTCATCTGTTGTCGATCTCTTGTTATTGTCTCTTGGTGCACGACGGACAGCTGAGGGGTTGCCGGGTGGAGCGGTGGGAAGAGGCGGAGGAAAAAGAGGAGGAGGCCTCCGGAGGCTCTGGATTGGCTTCTATTCGGATTTTCGGACTGACTTGCGTGGTGGGGGAATATTCTCATACGGCATATCGGTGATACCCTGTCGTCCTGCTTAACTTCATTTTGCTTTGATGACTGATCTCTTCACTCCTGACATAAACTTATTTTGTCGTCGGATGAGTGTACCGTTGGAGGTTAGGAGAGCTGAGATGGCAAGTCTTGGCGCGACTGAAGTGCTTCTTGGCTCTCTGTGTGTCAGATCATGATGTCTAGAAAGCAGGGTGCTCGTTTCAAAGCCGCCGGCTGGTTCTTGACCATCAATGCTTGAGCGCCGAAAGACAGTGGAGAAGCAAGCTCTTTGGACGTGCTTGTCTTTCCGCTCCGATGAGGCCAAGGAGACGACTGTATACGATTACTCTGAGTCATATTTTCTTTATTTGCCACGAAAAGACGATATTGACCGCTCCGCCGCCTCTCAAAACCCAGCAAGAAAGCACACCAGCCTCATCAGCATGAGAAGGCTCCAAATCATTCACCATTTACAAATCACCCCAATCCTCCCTAATCAGCTCAGCCCCTTTCTCCCCAATCATGAACACCGACGCCACGATATTGACATCGGGCAAGATGGGGATGATGCTGCAGTCCACGATCCGCAGCCCGTCGACACCGTACACGCGAAGCCTCGGGTCCACGACGCCGCCCTCGTCTTCCGGCAGCATCTGGTTCGTGCCGGAAGCGTGCCAGTTGGGGATCGTGTTGGCGCGAACGTAGGCTAGCACGGCGTCCTCGTCGTCTTCGGACACGTCGGTGCCGGGGGAGACTTCGCCGTGGTTGGGGCCGACTGTGTACTCTGCCATGCGCGGGTGGGCGAGGATCTTGCGGAGGTATTTGAAGGAGGCGAGGGCGATTTTGCGGTCGGCTGCGTGGGCGTAGTACTACATTGGCAATAGGTCAGTTTTGTATTTTTCCCCTCTCGGTATTTATGACGCCACGGGTGTAGGTTGAGTGCGTAAACTAAATGAACGGTGCAGGACTCAACTCACATTCGGATTGATCCGCGGCGTCTCCGCCATGGAATTCGACCTGAGCGTCACATTTCCCCTCGAAAGCGCCACCATGCTCGACGCCGTGAGGGAAATGTACGTCTCGTTGCCGCGAGGCGTGTAATACGGCGTCGGCCCGCTGGGGTAGAAGACGCTCTCAAAGAGGTACTCGACGTGCGACTGGTTCGCCAGTCCCGCGGCGACGACGTCGCCCGCGCCGATGGCGTGCAGCTCTTGTTCGGAGAGCTTCTGGAAGGCGTTTGTGATGCCCGAGGGCGCGGTGTACTGTCCCGTGCTGTTGGTGTAGAACTCGTCTTGGGCGGCGCGGAGGGCTTGGTAGGTTGCTGCCATGTCTGTTGTTGAGAAGGCTGGGGTCGAGAGGGCCATTATGCTAAAGATGGAGTGGTCGTTGAGGCTGAGGGGGGAGGAAGGGGAGGGAGAATGTTAGTCGCGAGGTGCGAGGGGATAGAGGAATGGTAGAGGGGCAAGTGACTTACTGCTGGCCGATGTTCTCGTTGATGTGGACTGGTTCGATGCCGAATTCGTTGAGCTGGGAGGAGGGGCCGACTCCCTTGAACGACGAAAGTTAGTCTCTGGGCCATCTTCGTCCTACTCTATTCGCAAGTTCGGGAGTAACTCACAGAAACCATCAAGAGCTGAGGCGAGTTAAACGCCCCCGCGCTGACGATAACTTCCTTCTTCGCCCTAACCTCATGTACGATACCAGTAGGATGGTCCATGAACGCGACCCCGACAGCCCTCGGCCTCTTCTCCTCCTCCTCCCCCTCCCCTTTGTCAAAGTTGATCTTCCACACGGGGGCAAAGTGCAGCACATCGAGGTTGCCCCGCCCCTCGGCCTGCCTCAGATAGCTATCGTAGCTGGAGCTGCGCAGGAAGCCGGCGTCGAGGTGGCCCGTCCCCTGCTTCACGCCCGTGCTGTTGCCCGTGTTGTGGTCCTCGACGATGGGGATCCGCAGGGTCTCGGAGGCGGCCTCGATGAAGCCCACGCCCGAGGGCGGGACGTAGCCTTGGTAGCCGAGCTGGAGGGGCCCGTCTGCGTAGGCTGCGGGGTCGTGGGTTTTGTAGGAGACGTCGAAGCCTCTGATTTCGTGGTCGGTTGGGGGGTTAAAGTGTGTGCCCTGCGACGTGTGTAAGCGAGTGCCTCGTCCGGAGCAAATATCCGAAATTGAATAAATCACTCAGCGTGTGGTTTTTTACCTTGACAAACAGAGGATACACGTCGTCCCATCCCCAACCCGGGTTTCCGACCCGTACCCAGTCGTCGTACACGGACGCGCTGCCGCGGCCGTAGTAGAAGCCGTTGGTCACGCTGCTGCCGCCGAGGCATCGGCCGCGGTGGTAGCGGAGGATGCGATTGTCGAGGTGCTCTTGCGGTGTGGTGTAAAATGACCAGTCGATGGCGGTCCCGCCGAGAAACTGGTTGCCGCCGGGCGGCTTGTAGGCCGAGACGACCTCGGGATTCGGCCCCGCTTCGAGGACAAGGACCCGCTGTTTCCCGGACTCGGAGAGGCGGTTTGCGAGGACGAGGCCGGCGGTGCCGCCTTTGAGGAAGAGAGTGGTATATTAGTCTGAAGAATAGTATGCGTGCTTGATTATATAGGTGTGTTCTGCCGTACCTCCTGCAATGATGAAGTCGTATTCATCTTGGATCGTTGCGCGTTCGAAGCCCTTTATTGGCGCGGCGGAAACTCCGGCGACGAGGGCCAGGAGAGTGAGGGTCGGCTGCATCGTCAAACGGCGTACTTGACGACCAAATGTAATCGGAAGATGATGTCTTGGGTGTGAAAACGGTCAACTGGAAACAATCGAAATGTTTCCAATCGATCAAGTCTCAGCAAACCTGTCCGAGGGCGCCTTTTACCTACTTGCAGTCGGAACAGTAGGGAGCTCCCGGCACTCATATACTCCATCCCACGGAGCGAATTGCACCTCCTGATCAACAAGCTTGCCATCGAACTCAATTGAGCCGACTCAGCCCATCTTGTCTTCCATGGCAGCAGGAAGTCAAGTCAATTACGGTACTTAGTTACGCCATCATCATGCGTCATGGCACCGCGAGCTGTCAGACCGGGCGAAGGCGAGGCGTGCCGTGGATGCTCTTGGCGAGGAAGCGAGTCGGATGAATTGGATACGGTATTTGTTATTTTAGGCTTCTTTTTGGGGGATTCTCTAGGCAAGGCACATTGAACTCGGGGGGCATGGAAGGCGGGAAGGAGACGGCGGAGCTTGGCTTTGGGGTACAGATGTGGATTCGTGGACAGGTAATGGGGCAGAGACTCAATCCTTGGCATCTAGTAAGGCTTCTTCTTCTTGCAGATCTGATCAGATGTTGGAGGTGGCACAGCTTCTGGCGAAGCGGGATTGAGAGACAGACACAGCGTGCCACAAATCGCCGGCGCAGGATCCGAGAGCGACGTATGTCAAGACATTCCGTCGACTAGTATGAGACACTAGCGCTATAATCTGTTGATGCCGCGGGGTTGGCATCTTTTCCTTGGCTTCCGCTATTCGGGTCGACAAGGAAACTTAAGTAATTAACTGTACACTGTATGTGCTGGAAGGCTGTCCTTCAAGTTACAATAGATCAAGAGTGGCCTGCTCTGTCTACACTGGGGAACCTCATAATGCGGGAATCAGCGGGGTCTCTGGGTAGGAGGGTGAGAAGACGACGGTACAGCGTGGGTGGTAATCAAGAGAGGCGGAGAAAATTTATGAACAGCCAAGCCAAGACAATGGCATACAGGCTGGAAGGATCCGGCCGACGTAGGTCCAGCCTCTCCCTGCCGGCGCCGAGTCCCGTGTGGGTGCCATGCGTGGTGCCCACTTTCGCCCCGCGTCGGCGCGAGGACCGGGGTGGCATCTTGGGGCGGGTGTAGCCTGGACTTTCTGCCGTCTGATTCGACGTATGTTGTCCTCGGAGGGCAGGCAGACTTCTGGCTGTTACGGAAATCACGTAACCTTGTTTAATTCATGAGGTACTGTGGTGCAACATGTTTTACACACCAGGCCCTTCAAGGTCCAATTGAATGTTGATTTTCGATAGGGGACGGGAGGCTCGGACGGCCCTGGGGGCTGCAGGCCGTGGCGGCTTGTTGATCGGCATCTATTCCGCCTCGGGCAATGTGATGTACATGTACCTCTGTCTCACATAATCCTGTTCACTATTTTCAGTGGAAGCTTACAATGCGTGAATGCCTGGCCAACTTGGGCTCCCTTGTTGGGAGCCTTGGATGTCTCAAATGCCTACTTACAATGCTGTTTTGTGATATCAGCCCCATTGGAGCATCATCCTTTTCTCGATCTCGCGATTGACCCGACACCAAGATTGGATTTGCTGTTCAAGGTTTTCGGTATTAGAGTCAGCGTAACGGCGTTGACAGGATGGGGGCTTCATCTAGAGTTTGCTGAAAGATCAGATGCAAAGTTGGAAGCACGAATTGTACACAAGGACATTCTGTTTCTAAAGATGTGCATGCTCAGCTGACAAGATGTGCGCCGTAAGCATAGCCACTGGCCAAGAGAGCCAAATTCTATGAGCACGTGTGTTCAAAAACTAGACCCCAGAAGACGGTCTAGTGAACACAGAGCAATCTTTCATGACTGGAACCGCAAATGTAGAATCGAATCGATGTATTGAGTGTAGAATCATAGTAGGGGTAAGGGTAGGGGAAAGGGTGAAGGTGTAAAGTGCAAATTCCAGAAGATGGGGAGTCCACGTGTATCGAACCGATAGCCCCGAACAAATCCACGTCGTTCCAAAGAATGAACCAAACTGGAGCCCTTTTTGTCCTTCGCTCCTCCCTCTCCAAATTCTCGCATGTCTGTTTCCCATCTTTCATGTCATCTTCTCGCTATCCTGAACCAGACCCTCTCCACCCAGCCCTCCATACACCAGCAACACTTTCTCATCAGGTGGGCTGTAACGTGAGTTAGACTAAAAGCCCCTCCGCTGACAGGTATTGCCGATCTCATCACGGTCTATAACCGCAAATTACACCAGTGAACGACCTGGGGTACCCGCTCGCTCTGTAATAAGGCCCCTGGCCACGAGGAGTCCCGGACCCCCCGCATCGGGACGCCAAGGGTCCCACCATGGGATCCCCCAAAAACCCGGCGCACGTTCTCTTGTCAGCAGATCTTGAGAGAAGAATGCAACACCCAAGCTGACCCCAGTCTGCTTCGATGTTCTTCGCTGGATCTGCTGCAAAGGCAAGAGACACCATACGCAAGGCCCCCGGGGGGTCTCCGTTTGGGAGCCTCGGCGCCCCAATGCAGGGGGTCCCGGACTCCTCATGGTCTGGGCAGGCTATTGATCGTTAGCTCTCGGGGGTTGGAGGTTTTGATATTACCAGTAATTGTGGCTAGATGATGGTGAGTCGTGCAGCGACACGCTTGGCGGCATCATATCCGCCATCTTGGTAGACGGCCCCAATGATGGCCTCAATGGTGTCTGCCTTGGTTCGCGCACCGATGTTCGAGCCCTGGGCAGGGTTTTGGTTGAGGCAGGGTAAGAAACAGAACATATCAAAGATCTCAGCCAGTCGTACATTATTCACACAGCGCTGAACTCGAGCATCGATGACGCCTAGCCTCCTGATGTCAGCAACTTACATACAACGAAATTAAATGCATTTCAAGTATCGAATCCACACTGACCCTTGGTCGGTATGTTCTCCTTGACGGAATTCTCGATGACAAAGGTGGCAATCAACTTGTCTCCCAAGAGAGCCAGGATCTTATTGCCATCGCTGACAAAACGATCACCCACGAAGGGGACCCCAGACCCGGAAGCTTAGAGAGCCTCCCAGAGCCAGTTAAAAATCTTAAATTTATAGCCAATGCGGCGCATGGCTTCAGTCAATTTCGCGTTCTTCTGGGCTTCCATCGTGACGGTACCAGTGATTGTTGGCGGTTATTTAAATTGAGAGATGTGAAGAGCGAGCGGGGTGTGAAAGAGTCTATGAGAATACCTTGAAGACTTGAAGCTGGGTCATTCGATGCGGCAGAAGAACGTAGTCTTATAGAATTCTGGTCTTAACGACTGCCTCAATTCCGTCGGTGGCCATGAGACCAACCTTCATGCAGGAAACTGAATCTCATGCCTAAGAATGGCGTTGTCCTTGAGACATCTCTTGCAGTTTTCATCCAATCCCATTCGTCCGATTGCGTCAAATACCAGACGTGTATGCATGTCTCGGAGACACGCCCGTATCCCGCCATCCTCGGCGCAATTGCAGCTGCGGTGGCGATGCAGCCCAAGGCGGTGAAAAGAAAACGAACAAAGCCAGTACATGCTCTCTGCAGGCTGAAATCCTTTGGTATCGACATAATGATATCAATCGCTGTGTTCTCCTTATATGGCTCGACGACTACTTAGATACTTACTACTTCGCTTGAAATTGATCAGTGTCTACAGTCTGCCTTTCCTCTAGCATGAAGTAGAGAGGCCACTTGGGCCGAAACTTTGAGCGTAGTTGAGTAGAGTGGAGTCGTTCCGGGCACAGAAAGTACCCTACTGAGTACTTTGAGTACTTTGAGTAACCATACCTCCTTCCTAGTAACCCTCTCTACTCCCGCAACCTCACGACTTGCCTTTGACACGGCAAGGTACTGCTTTAGTCAGTAGGTCTTAGAAGGACTTCAATTCCACTAGAGGGCAGGGCGACGGGAATCGCGTGGATTCTCACTATTTTGGGGGAGACGCTGCTAGTGTCGCCTTGATATACTGTGAGAAAATGATTTGATTCTACCGTAAGTGTGTGCTCAAGACTCGTACAGGTTTTATTACACATTCATCGTTCAGCGTTGAATAAGCGTAAGCTACTTCTTTGCCGGGTTTCGCGGGCCATCTACAGCCTTTTCAACTGTCCCTGCAATGCCTCCCTTGCTCGCATCAAATTGGCTGCCAATAACACCGTCCTTGGAGAAGGGGCCACCGACAGCTTCGCCTACATGATGGAATCAGCATCAGGCCAAACTCACTCACATTTGAATCTATGACTTACCAATCTGGCCGATGTTGCCATCAGGGTTAAACTGCTTGCCAATAGCGCCCTCGGAGGAGATCACGCTAGGCTTGGAGGGGCTGGTGTCCTTCTTTTGGCCGGCGGCCTCGGCGGCGTTGTGGATGGGGTTCTGGGAAGACATGGCTCTGACTCTGGATGCTGATGCAGCGAAAAGCTTGGTTTGTCTGAGGGCGATTCTATTCATGATGTACTGCGTGAGGGATAATAAACCAATTAATGGGGGTTTTTGGCTGAGATCTTATACACTTTGAATATTTGTGCGCGTCATCTTTGTCGCACGGCATGCGGTTAGCTGAGATGACGTTTTCACGCCAGTGAAGGAATGGTGACATCATGAAGCGCCGACCTTAACATTCGAAAGGGGCACGGAAAGGACCGAGTGATGGGTTATGGCATGAATCATCGCTCAATTGAGAGCACTGCTGCCAGCACCTTTCCGCAAACATCAGCATTCGACATTCCTACGGGATGGCCTGCAGGGGCTACCACTGACAACTCAGGAAGCCCGTGATAGCGTATCAATCTGTTACCAAATAGACCTGCATATGCAACATTCAAAGATTATGCTAGAGATAATTCCGATTTTGGTTATATCCATGTGCAAAGCTCTGCGGAAAATGACATTCCGCCAGCATCGTGATGGCATTATCGTGTTCAATTTATCAATAACCAGAGGCTACTCAAAATGCGGCGAAAAGCCTTCAATAATAGGTTTAGTACAACATATGTACTACTACTCGTTGCTTATTGTGAAGAAGTACTCAGAGGCGAAAAAGATCAAATTTCAAGCCTTTACTGATAGATAGTAGTTTGACTTCATACATGTAACTGGAGCATAGGGTCGGAAGGGGGGCGGGGCCTTCAGTTCTACTTATCAACCTTGGCTCACTCACTACCAAGGGTAATTCTTGGCTGACCATTCGAAGTTAAACATCAAGTTTATTCGGCCAACTTCCATGCGTCCGCACCGCCTCTATACATTCGAGTGGGCGCAGGTGTCTTGCACTCACCTGACATCCTCTGGTTGCTGCGTGATTTTGCTGGTGGCAAAGGCACTTTGCGTGAGCTGTGACTGCAGCAATTTCTGAGGAAGAACTTCGGCTCGATGTTTCCAAAGTTGGTGAGGTGCATATGGCCATTACCGGGTGCCTTACTGAAGCTGGAAGCATGGGGTTCTTAGCCGCTAGAAAACTAGGAGTAGTCCGGGGGGAAACGCTGCTAGAGATTATAGAAAAACATATCAACTTTGCTTTCTGAAGTTATTTAACACAAGTTTAACCTAGAGAAAGCCATTTTACCTTTTTCTCGAGTAATTTATGGCCATACCCTGATAAGGGGGTAAGCCGGGCATAACAGATTTGGATTTAGGGTAGGAGGATACTAGGAGTTCTTCACTTGAGTATATACATACCACAGTCCAAATCTTCTATGTGCTCTCACCTTTAGTTACCTAAAAGCCGCAACTTGTTCCTACTTAAATTGTATCTCTAGAGACGCTTGTACAGAAATTCATTTCGTGTACTTGTATTTCAACATGCTTCTCAATACTTGTAACTTGTCTGAGTTGGATTGGTTTGAATTGGATTGGTCTGAATTGGATTGGCCTGAATTGGATTGGTCTGAGTTGGATTGGTCTGAGTTGGATTGGTCTGAGTTGGATTGGCCTGAGTTGTGTTGTACTTGTGAAGATTTTCATCATTGCCGAATGAGAACGAGTGTAGACTTAAAATGACTGACGCTTATTTGAGACAAGAAGCTTACAAAACAGCAATGTAGAGAAAAATATCTTTGACCTAGTTGATGCCATGGTTTCAAGCAGGGGTTTGCTGACAAGGTCTTTGTGCTGCAACTTATTCACACCTGCATACTCGTGTATTCTTTAAATGGCTGGAACTCCCACGTATTTCCTCGACAGGAAAAAGGTGAAGTCAAGGTGATGGAGGCAATTTATGCATTAAGCGAGCGAATCCAGATGAAATAGTATTTTTTCACTTTACCTGACTTTGAATATTCTACCAACCACTTTTTCTAGAAAATTCACGGCTCGTCCTTTCCTCAGTCGGAAATCTAATTGCATTTTCCTTTTGAAATATCCCTCTTCGTTCCTTCCCTTATATCGCACCCTCCTCTTTCCTACCAATCTTCCCATTTCACTCAACCGATTGTGAATCTTTGGATCTCAATCCCTTCTCACTCCAACAATCGAGCCATGGACTCTCACGACGAGTCACTGTTTGGCTCTCCGCCCACTTCACCAAAGTCGCAATCCTACTTTGCCGTCAGAGATCCAACCCCTCTCTTTCTGCCCGGAATGAGCTCCAGTCCCCTGCCGAACGCCAACATCGCTCCTGCGCAGGCGCAGAGCGCAATCTCGAATTCACCACTGCCTCACTTGTCTCCGCAGGCCCTGAGTACTGAGAACAACGCCTCGGAGCTTAGTTACGGACCAAAGACACCAGCACAGAGACTTCCTTCTCAGGAAACCTCGCAGGCGTCTTCCTCCCAGATGCCATCCACAACTCGACAAGCTCCCTTGTCCGCCATCAACCCTGGTGTGGCTGTTCGTCTTGTCCCTACCTTACCACACTCGGCAGGCCCTCAGGTAGAGGCTCCTCTGCTCACTTCGCCATTTTCAATAGGCCGCAGTACCTTGCCTCCTTTGCCCGAATCGCTGCTGCTTTCGCCCTCACCGACTGCCTCGAACGAAATCGGAACACCCTCACCCTCAGGCAATGGATCTTTGGCCCCGAAGAAGTGTTCCAAATGCCTCAAATTCAAGCCACAGTCGGAATTTATTTCCCTCACTCACATGGGCCTGACCAAGCACCGAAGCCAATGCGATGCTTGTCGCAAGAAGAGAAGAGAGTTATCGGCTCGAAATAAGCGTCGAAAACGGCAGGCTGAAGCTGAGGATGAACAAGAGCCGCAACAACAGCAGCAACTTCCACAAGTCGTTATGGCGCAAAGTCCTCTTCCGGGCTCAAACAAAGACCAATTGCCTCGATCTTGCCATCCATCGGAGTCATTGGACAGTTCTGGACAGGTCACTCAACCAAGCCTCTTGGGTCACGGCGTCGCAACGCAGAGCACCATGCTTGGTTTCGGATCTACTGTGCAGCCATTGAGAGACGTAAGTACTGTGCTGTACCAGGTATAATTCAATATTTGCTAACAAAACTGTAGCACGCAGTTCCTCCCCAGCCTTTGATCACCACCCAGCATGCTCCTATCGATTTGACGTCCCCGATCACTACACCCTTCACGGACTGGTCCCGAGCCCATGGAATTGAATATGTGAACTTCAACACCTCCTTCAATTCTCCCCATTTCAGCATGCTAACACAGAACCTCCAGGGCGTCGATCTGGATGCTGACATGGCCTATCATGGCCCGCAGTCGTCCGAGCATCTCCTGTCGCCAAGCTCAGTCCTCCCGCAGCAGACTGGCAAGAATACAGGAGATGCTAATGCACAGGCGAACAACGAGGACCTCTACAACATTGTGAGCGTCAAGATGCTTAAGACTCCCTTGACAAAAGGTGACAAGACTTCGGTTCTCGACCACGAGAGACAAAAGTTTAAGGAAGCTCGCCACAAGTGCCAGTGGATGAAGATGCAGGACGATAAGACTGTGCAAGCGTACTGGGAGAAGAGACACGCTTCGGTTGTCCTTGGGCTTCTCGAGGTGCCTCCGCCGGACCTGCAGCCCTTCATTGGATATTCGTATACTGAGGGCTCTCATCAGAACCTTTCTGGAGCGTACCCGGATGATCACAATTGGCACTGACTTATATTGGACCTTGGAAGAAGATGATGGAATGGTTCAGGATGATTCTTTGTATTTGAAGGCGTTGACTGTCAAAGGGAATGGCAAAAGAAGCATTGATAGGAATGCTTTCAGTTATAATCCATAGAAGAAATGGAAAGGCAAATGTATCACACAAAGGTTCGCGAACCAGTAGCAACAGGCCCCAAAACTCCCAGCTTTGCCAACTCTTTGACAAGATTAAATAACACAAAATCGCATCCCCGCCTTACTACCATGTTGATGGTGACGGGCATCATTTCTTCTCGGTGAGTAATATTGCTAAAGTAAGGCACCTGGCCAATTGGAATGGTGAAGTCTGCGCTTCCAAAGTAGGACGCAAGAGCAGAACCAGCTCCTCGCGTTCCCGGACCCTGAGGGAGGGCGGCGCCAGGCGACTCGTTCAACTCTGCCTCTCGAAACGAGGGATGTCCACCTGTGCCAATGTCCTAGATCATGACGGACTCGGAGCAGCTCTCGCTTGTGTTGAATAGGACATCACGGTGCCATGCGTCCGAATCCCTACGTCGGCGCTCAAGCGCCTCGGTATGGCCTTTGGCGTCAAGCGTGAATTTTTTGAAAGTGTTTCGGAACGGTCTATCCAAAGAGGGAAATGCAGGGCTGTAGTAAGCGAGCAGTGGCGTGGCCACGACTTTAAGCTGGGTGTAGGTCCAGATGGTGTTCAGATCGGCCAGGATCCCATCGAAGGCTCGGCCAGTGACGGTTTCCACTGTGTCCGTGATGTTGACTCTCGTTACCGTCAAGTTTAGTACCTTGCTGAGTCGAACCAAAAATCTCTGGAGGACGTCTTCAGCGGCGGCATTTTTCAGCGGGAGGTGGTCCGTCGCATACAGAATCCGCTTCGAAAATGCACGAGAATCTGGAACCTCAAGTGCGGGTAGACCGTTGAGACTGCTGTCTTGATAAAGCGAAGGGTCGTACCAAAGCTTAGCAAACTTCGCCCAGTCGCGAGGATCGCGCGCAAAAACACCGGCCGTGTCGGCGCCGTAGGAAATAGGCATGACTCCATCCAGAACCATGAGCCCTTGTGACGGGCGGTTTCCAGACGTGCCCGAGAACGCCGCCGGTTGGCGCATAGACTGGCCAGTGTCTGAGCCAATGGCAAGAGATTACATGGAATCCGCATTCAAAGCTCTCTCGAGGCTCACCTAAACGCGCTGCTTTAAAGGTGAGTTTGAAAGTAAGCGACGTTTAAAATAGCTTACTAAAGGTAAGGCGGGAAAGCAGGGTAATCAAAGCTAGAATTATCGGTTATTTAAAAATAAAAGACTCCGTTTAGAAGTTATCGTAATATATAAGCAAAGCCGTCTTCGGCTATTAAATATTCGTTTTCTTTATACCTTTCTTGTTAATAATAAGTTTATTAACTTATTTCTTTATTACGTACTATATAACTATTTCTTTTCGTTTAATTCTAATATATCTACCCAAGATCGAAACTTTAATACGATTACGTATACTATCTAAAATAGTTATAAACCTTTTTAGCATATTAATATAAACTTAAAACGCGGTTTAAAAAAGTATAATAAGGCAGTTTTAAAAAGCTAAGACCGTATATTTAAAAATTATATTACGTACGTTTTGTTTAAAGTTTACGTTTTTCGTTAATAAGTTAACGACCGAGTAGATAGCGGATAAATTTTAATCCTACCGTTAAAAATCGCTTAAAAGCTATCATTCGCACTAAATTTTTAAGAGATATATACTAACTTCCACTTCTTAAAAATATTAAAGACTTTCTCTAATTCTATTCCCACTAAAGCAAAAATCGAATTAATTAGAACGGACTTCCTATACTCAACACAATATTAATTATAGGAAAGTAGTTTTTTACCGAGCCTTTGGTTATTAGAGGGTAAGCGCCAAAGACGAGAAGGGTCAGAGTGAAGTCGTCTGGCCCGGCAGTGTCGTTGATGGTGTTGACGGTCATCTGCAGGACCTACTCTGAGGAAATGGAGGGGTCCTAAGCACGAATAACTTTGTTGTTGGTCTGACAGGATCATTGCCATAGTATTAGTAGGTGGTAGTAATCGGGTAAATTGATCGCTGCGTAAATGAGGCTTTAAAGTAATTGCTGCCGCTAGCGGCGAACGCGATTAACGCTGCGAGGGGCGCACGTTACAGTACTACCTACAATCTTCTAACTTTAGTACTTTGACTTTTAAGCTAAGATGTTGGCTCATGAGGATATTTCTTGTGAAACTTTACAACCTCGCTTTGAATCTTTGTAACGCGTTCAGCCAGGCCCGCTTTGCGAGATAAGCCTAGGCCGCGGAACTCCCATAATGAGACCTCACGCTGCGAGTTAAGAACTTCCTCAAAGCCCTTCCCAAGCCTATCGAAGGCGCCAATTTGGCCGTCAAAGTGCTTAGCGTCCCACGCGCTAAGCGCATCTGGGGACCCAGCAGGCTGGGATATGATGCTTTCAACCCATGTCTTAACAGATAAAGGATCAATGCCGCCCTTAAGAGACCAAGCCTTTTTTTGCAGCTTTCCATTAGGCTGAGGGTTATCCTCCATTCCTTTACAGAAATTCTTATCAAGCCTAAGTATCTATAGGTTAGCGGATTATTTGAATACTTCCTAAGGTTTCTTTTGATTACCTGAGTTTACCATCCTTAGTGTTTTGGTAACAGCTTAAGTGCTCAAGGATCTCCCAAAGTCCAACACTCTTAGGCAGCTTCTTCTCAACAAGGCTAAACACTGAAGTCCAGGAATTGCGTGGCATGAGCCACACTAAAGTCTTAGGGCCTTGTGTGGAGTAAACCTTCCTCCTCACTGGTTTGAAGACGCTTGCAGTGAGCTCCCGAGCCATCTTAATGTTCGATAACATAATCGATAAGAAACCCATGACATCTTTTGTAGCCCAGTCTGAACCGCCAGTTGCCTCTTGAAAGTATTTGGAGTCCAACCAGTTCTTTTGCACATATACCAAGTTCTTGCTCCATTTTTTATCTTGGATCACCAATGGGTGGGTTTCTTTCTGAACGGCTGCGATTAAAAGGTCCTGTACAGCCTCAAGCATCAAGGGTGCCGTGGCTTGCACGTCCCATGTCGCATCAGCTGAGAGTTTAGACAACCCAGGGATGAAAATCAGCTCCCAAGGGTTATAAAGATCCCGTTTACCCTCGGAATCCTGGATGACAACATCTTGTTTGGTATCGATTCTGTCCTATTACAACTATGTTAGCCTGTAGCATTAAGTTTGATTACAGATTTTCGAAAGTACAACTACTTACCATACTCTGCATGACGTGACCAATCAAGCTTTCAAGCTTATTTGTATCATCCAAGTTGCAAAGTACATCATATTCAGGCTGTAAAACCGCTGCTCTTGCTGGCGTAGTGTCCACACCTAGGAACCATCCTTTGCCAATGTGGCCGGAGACCTGATGGCCTTTCATGGCCGTATTTGCGCGTTTTGTGCACTCTCTATTATAGAAATGCATTTGACCGGTCTCAATCTCAAAACCTATCTTGGGCGTTCCGGCAGCTTCTATGAGGAACAGGTATGCAAGATAGACCGTGAGTGCGGTAACGCTTGGGCGAATCATGATGGGCGAGTGAAACAAAGGCGTGAGGGTTTAATATCTCGCAAGGACAAGTTGTTTCACTGCAAACTCCTTCTTGTACCAGGGGATTGAGTAAGGAAGTATAATGTAACACAAAGGGTGGAGGAGAGTATACACCTTTGAGAAAATCAAGATAGGTATTAAATTTATATTCCTCAACCAGCGTCGTGTAAGCACTATATATAGCTTAATAACACTAAAGATAAATGCTATTATTGGATTGACCGTTAGATCTAGTTCTGCTGGCCGCTCGCTAGAGTGCCTCCCCAACCCACTTAGGGGGGCTGATTAACGGTGTTATCCGTAATTATGGGGAGTAGCTTGGAATACGGTTTAATTACAGCGCAGAATCTGCACGCTTGTAAACCTTCTCTCTTTAAGCGATATTCGCCTCATATTTGCTCAATATAACGACCAAATTATTTTATGCTCTCGGTGGAATTAAGCCTTTAGTAAGCGTACCCCATCCCGAGCGGCCCAAAATAGCCTTATCAAAAAGGGTTAAATTTTATCTAAGACCATGACAGCCCACTTTTATTCGCTATTTAAGCTGAAATAAGGTACAAAAGGTGTCAGTCGCAGCGTTTTTTGAGTTAGTATGGTGATAACCAGCATGGAGATGTCTTCTATCACGTTGGGGAAATACCTACTGCTTTTGGAGCAGTGGACCTGAACTTAGTCGGCGATGCCGTTCTTTTCAGCCTTCAAATTAACGAACGAGTTATTAACCTACCTTAGCTACTCGGCTATAGGCGAAGCCGACCAAGTCATCGTTAAATCTCGCTAAAAAGATAAATACGGGTCTGGTAGTGGTGGTGAATATATTAGGTTATACGAATTGACGTAGCAATATCAGCTATTAATTATTACTGCTTGAGGTTGCTAATCGCTTTAAGTTATTTATTGCTGTTTAATAGCCCTAGTGGAATATAGAAATAATTGCTTTACTGAGTACTTTTAAGGTAATAAGACTATTAGCCCTCGTTGGCGAACGGCTTAGGAGTAGGAAATAAGTACTGTTGGTGCTGTGCCGCTGGACTGAGTGTTGTAGACATAACGGGTGGGGCTAGCGTTTTCTAGGTGAAGGACATCTAACATTCTGTCGCTCTCTTTGTGTTGGAAGAAAACATTTCACCTATTGCAAACTCCTGGTCCCAGTAATCTCTGGCTGAGCTGGGATAATCCTACCTATAGCCGGGAGAGACGGACTATATATAGCTGAGTAGATTATTGGTCCACTTAGGAAACCTGGTTCTAGCGTCCTTAGGGTCCGCAGTGGAATCTAGCGGGGCTATAGACCGGTATAACTAAATTGCTTTAAGCTCCTTAGTAGCTAGTGTTGCCATACACCCAGCAATAACCCTAATTGGGTAGTGTAATGCATTTAATAGTTATTTCCAAAGAAGATATTTTTAAATTTAAGCTATATATAACTAGTAATATGCTAGCTATATAATTTTAAGAGGATAGTAATTATAATTTATTATAATGCGATTTAGTATTTATAGTAGCTTTTTATATTAAAAGCGGCGTGCGCTAACCGACTTATTTAAACTAAAGTTTTCTTAACGTATTAAGTCTTAAGTTTCTAAAAGCTTTTTGCTTTGGATTTAGACTTAGAAAAGTTTAAAGTATTTTATTTATATAAATATTATATATAACGTACATACATAGCGAGTCGCTTATTATAATAAGTCGCCTACTTTCCTTTCTTTCTACACTTTTTATCTTAATAATTATTTTTCTTTACGTATAATTATAAATTCTTTTTTAAATAAAAATCGTATTATTTTTATATTTTAAATTATTAAAAAAGACCCAAATTTATTTATATAAAAAATAGCTTTTATTTATAATATTTTAAAAATAATACTTCGTAATCAATATACTAACTTATTATTTTAATATAAAATTTATTTAAATTTAAAAAAAATAACTTTTTTAAAAAAAAACCGTAATTTTTAAACAAGTTATTAACCTAATTAATCAAGGATTTTTACCACGATTTAATAATATATAAAATATAACTAATTACTTTTTTAATAAATATAACGTAATATATATTAAACCATAATAAATAAAGAACTTTATATAACGCTAATTATAATAAAAAACGCGTTTTCAATATAAAATCGATTATTAAAAAGTATTAATTAAGGATTTTATAATTATCTAAGTTTAGTTTATTTTTGTATAAAATACGATTACGAAGTATAAAATATACAATTATAATATTTATAATTTTAATAAGACGGGCTTTTTAATAAGAATATTTATATATATAAAAATTATTATAATTTATAATTATTATAAAAGGCCTTATATAAAATAGCTTAATAATTGAGAATAGGTTTTAATTATTTAAAATATATATACGGATAGCTAAGTACTATTTCTATATATTATTATAAAAAATAAATATTACCTTTTTTTATAATATATTAATAATTAATTCTTTTTTAAATAGCGTATCTACTTTAACAAAAATAAATAAATTATAAATAAAATCGGCTTAGATTAATTAAAATATTTTAAAAAATATACAAAATCTTATATAAAAAGTATTAAACAGCTCTTAATCCTTAATAATTATAATAATTATAAATCAATTAAATTCGATAATTATTATAAAAAATATAGTATTATCGTTTTTTATATACCTCTTTATTTATTATATAAGTTTTAGCTTTTTAATATTAATTATTTTCGCCTATTAAAAGCTTTATATAATAAAAAAATTAAAAAAATAATACGAATATAAATTATATATATTATTAAAAACGACTTTTTTTTATTTTTAAAATAACTTTTTTTATTTTAATAAGTAAAAAAAACGTATAAACTAGTTTTAAATAAGCTAGAATTATATTTTTTAATTTAAAAATAATTATTTTTTATTTAAATTTTAAGTTAAAAACGTTAATATTATTTAATTTATATTTAAATAACTAAAGTTTTTAAGACTTAAAAATATTAATTATAATATATAATGCCGTACGAAGCTCTATTTTATTTAAAAAACGGATTTATAATTATTAATATAACTTATTAATATATTTATATAAAGTTATTAATTTATAAACCAAAAGTATTAATAAATTAATATATAAATTAACTCCTATTAAAATTAAATACTATAGGCTTTATATAATAAATAAAATATTAAATAAGCGCCGGAGGGCTAAAAAAATATAATTATATTTTAAAAGCTTATTTAATATTACTAAGGCCGAGGTAATTTAAATAAAAAAAAAGGTTATTATTATACGTTTTTATATAATAAAAATAAAATAATATATTAATACCCTTTTCTAAAATTTTTTTATAAATTTCCTAACAAAATCTCTTAAATATATTATAAAAGTTTTAAAAAAAACCTTTAAAAAATTTTAAAAATTTCTTTATAATTTCTTTTAAAAAAAACAAAAAAAATTTTAAAAAATTTTTTACGATTTTTTTTAAAGTTTTTTTAAAAAAATCTTAAAAAGATTTTAAGTTTTTTTAAACGTTTTTTTTAAATATTTTTCAAAAAGTTTTAAAAACTTTATAGCTTTTTTTTTTAAATAATTATATATAAAAAATAAAAAATTTAATTATAAACCGTAATAATTATCGTTATATAAAAGTTAATTTTAATTACGAAATATTTATAAATACGATAATTTATATTATTATAAAAGTTATATATTAAAAAGCTTTATTATAAAATAAAATTTAATATATAAAATAAATAAAAATATAAAAAAATTAATATAATAATATAATAATAAATATATAATTTTATAAAAAATATAAAAAAAGTAAATATACGTATATTAATTTTTATTTTTTAAAAATAATTTTTTTTTTAAAAATATTATTTTTAAATATAAAAATAACTCTTATTTTATTTTATTTTAATATTTATTATATATAAAATTTTAAATAATATTAAAAAACTTAATTTAAATTTTTATTTATAACTTTTTTTATTATAATATTTTTTAAAACCTCGGTTACTTTATTAATAATATAAAAAAATAAAATAATAACGTTATTAAAAAATACGTTATTTATAATTTAAACGTTTAGTTTAATTATAATTATATAATAAAAATTAGCTTAATTAAATTTAATATTATAAAAATAGCCTTTAATTATTATAATTATTATAACGGTAGTTTTACGTTTATTAATATAAAAAATTAAAATAAGTTTTTAATTATAATAATATCTTTTTTAAATAGTTTCGTTTATAAAATAAATAAATTTAACTATATTTATTATAAATCTAAATATAATAAAAACTTTTATTAAATAAAAATATAAAATAACGGATTTGTTTATAATAAAATTTATAAGAATTATATAAATTATATAATATATATCTATTATATTAATAATATTTTTATTATAAAAGATAAGTATATAGTTATTATTATTTTAATCAATTATATCCGGCTTAAGCTCGAATTTATAAATTATTCTTTTAAATAAGAACTTATAAAACCTTTTATTAATAATTAAAAAACGAGCTTTCTTTACGGTTATAATAATATTTATACCCGTAAATATAATCTTTATTTTTAAAAAATAAAAAAAGAAATATTAATAAAAAGCTATCGTTAAGTATTTTAAAATAAATTATTATTTATAAACTTATTAATAAAATTAATAACGATACGTTTATAAAAAGTCTAGTAAGAGCTATTAAATAATTAATTAATAAATTCTAATTTTAAAAGTTTAATTATAATAGCTTTATTAAGGAAATCTTATAATATATCTCTTACTTTTGAATTATTATTTTATAAATTAAGTATCGTAGTAATAAAATCTTTTTTAATTATATTATTAACTATTAAAATCTTAATTAATCTTTACATTACTTTAAAAAAATAAAATAATTCGCGCATTTTCGCTATTAACTTAATATTAAAATTAATTTTATTAATATATTAAAAAAAGGTAATATATATATTATTAACGTTACGGTTTTAATT